AAAATTTTGTCGGTTCGAATAACTTGAACTTGTTGAAACCCAACGGTGGTTTTGGTACCCGAGCTGCTGGTGGTAAGGATTTCTCAGCTCCGAGATATATCTTCACCCAGTTAAACGAAATCACGAGAAAAGTTTTCAACCCGTTGGATGATCCTTTGTACAACTATTTGCAAGATGATGAGCTGACGGTTGAACCCGAGTGGTATTTGCCTGTAATCCCAATGCTTTTGGTAAATGGTGCTGAGGGTATCGGAACAGGATGGTCGACCAACATTCCCAGTTTCAATCCGGCTGATATCGTAGCAAACATCCGGAGGCTCATGGAGGGTGGAGACTTGGAAGAAATGTATCCATGGTTTAGAGGATGGGAAGGAGAAATCGAAAAAATCGATTCCGGTGAAGTTTAGAATTTGTGGGACGCGTTCGAACAACTCGAATGAGAAAACCTGTGGGAGATCCACCGAAATTCCCCATTAAATTCGTGGACAAACCAACGTGAAAAGAGTTTCCTTTTGGATGCGATGAATAGTGACAAGAATGCTTTGGATCCAAGGGATATGGAAGAACATCATGGAGCAAACATTCGTTTCATTGTCAAGTTGAGTGAAGCAGAAATGGGCCAAATCCTTGAAAAATTGGCTTGCTCGAGAGATTTAAGTTGATCAGCACTTGTGAACTTAAGTAACATGGTTGCTTTTTGATCCCGTTGGGGCAGAATCAAGAAATATGACTCTCCGAAACGATATTTTGCGTGACCTTCTAGTTTCGTAAGGTTAGAGTACTACCAGAAGCGGAAGGACTTTTTGTCTGACGAGTTTGCAAACACAGTTGGTGAAGATTGGAGCGAACAAGCACGGTTTATCAAGATGATCATCGATAAGAAAATGTCTGTTTCGAACAAGAAACGGGCTGTGTTGGTGCAGCTTTTACTTGAAAATAAGTTTGCTCGTTTCGACAAGAAGGGCCGCATTGTTAAAGAAGCTGAGGATGATCCGAACTCGCTTTTCGTTGCAGAAGAGCTTTTGCAAGAGGAGGAAGAAAACGTAGGCGATGTCAGCAGGCTAAACTCGAGAGGAGTCAATGATTTGGAGCAACATGAAAATGAACATGTGCCAGAAAATATTTACTCGCATTATGATTACTTGCTTGGCATGTCGCTTTGGTCCTTGACTCATGAGAGGTACCAGAAGTTGTTACAACAGAAGGGAGAAAAGGAAGAGGAATTGAACACCTTATTACGGAAAAGTGCAAAAGACTTATGGAACGAAGATTTGGACGAGTTTTTGGCGAGCTGGCAAAAATTCTTACAAGACGACGAAGCCGAAAGATCACAACTTGTAGCCGGAGGTTCGAACCGCACTAAAGCCAAAAGAAGAAGAAAAGTGAAGGATGAAGATGACGAGGATTTTGGGGCTCCTAAAAAGAAGGCACGTCCTCAGGCCAAACCCAAGGCTAAAAAGGCCACTCCCGAACCAGCGAAAAAACAAACAAAATTGCCGTTCGTCAAAACTGAGTCGCCAACTGAGGGAGAGTCTTCAAAAAACGAGACACCTGTTGCCGTTGAGTCTTCGACCCCAGCCGACAATCTTCCAACTTTCTTCAAGAAGGCTCCTGCCACCAAGCCCAAAAAACCATCCACCAAGAGCTTCTTCGACAGTTCTGATGACGAAGGTAACTCGACTCCCACAATAGTTGTGGGCAGTTCCGACGAAGAGAAGCCCAAGACGGTGCCTAAGAAGAAATCGATACCAACAATCCAAGACGAGTTGGATGACTTGGTCATTGTGAAAGAAAACACCCCCGGTCGCCGCCGTCAGCGAGTCAACTATAGCATTGAGGGATCCGACGAGGATGAAGAGTCTTCGTACGAGGAGTCTGACTAGCTTTAAATTTTGTAGCAACAAAAGGGTTTAGTGTTTGCTTCGTTTTATGTATAGTTAAGTAAGTTTGTCGTGATAATAAATTCGAAACGTGAGACAGCATTCTTCTTCAATTCGACATCTTTTCAGAATGCACCAAGCCATGATTTTGCTACTGCCATGAATATGAGATGGAATGTGTTAATGCTGAAAAGGGATTGGGGTCTTATAGTTCATTTGAAGATTTTTTGGCCCCCGAGAGCGGCTGTTTCGAACACAAATTCTCTAGCCAAACTCCTGACATTATATCAGTCTGGACATTCCTGGGAAACCAGAGTGGTCATAATAACAATCATTTGTTCGGATGATATGTATTTCCGCCGCTTTGTCTATTCAAATGGCAAAAGATCCAAGCTCCCTTAATGCCTTTTTCTGCGGGTCTCCTATTTTGCAGAGAGTTTGTGTCAAAGGTATCTACTGGCAGTAAAGTAGTCTACATTAGAAGGGTAGATAACCCGATTGGATGTCAGAGATTTAAATTCACAGATGGAATCAAAGTTCATGGAAGCTCGTGAATACAAGTTCAGCGACGTTTTCGCCGCAAGACAGTAAAAAATAGATCAAGCAGAGCCTGAAAATGCATTGAGAGACAAATGAATGGGAAATAGACAGGATATTGAAATTTCTAGAGTTTGCGTAATAATTTGCGAGGCATTCCCAATACGTTTTCGTACATCCAACATCCGAATCCCCAATCTCGTACTTATTTAACGCATGACCCATTTCCGAATATCTTTACGAGTTCCTTACTTTTCAGATTGAAGATAAGCCACATGTGATACACTGAGGAGATATTTTAGAAGAAATAGAGACAAATATTCAGAACAAAAGTACAAGGGATACAAACACGAAAATTCAAATTCGAGATGAAAGACAAGGGATAAAAAAATGCAGACACGAAATTCAGAGATGAAAGCACTAAATTAGGGATACAATAGTCAGACACGAAGACGGAAAAATCCACAGAGACGGAGATTACAGAAGCAAGTGCATACACACAAGAATGCACTAACAGTACGAATACAGTAATAGTACGAATACAGTAATAGTACAGTAGTACAGACTTCATTCACCGGCAGTATTTCAATCTCACTAGACTCGCCCCTGTTCCGTTCCCTGGTATGCCGTGCCTAGACCCTGAAAGGCGACGCGGAGATCTTTGGCGTATCTTGGGCAGGCGGAGCCGGTGCCTTGATCGTGCAGGCCGAACAAAGACAGTAGTGTCCCAGTCGGCCCTGGATAGGGCGTACGCGCATAGTGAGCTGCACCAAGTGCGTCGAAGCGCCGCGAACGCCGGGCTGGATGCAGGGCGCGTGAGTGGGTCGCATGGTTCTTTCCACACAAGCGGCAAGGTGGTGCCACCAGGGCCGCTAACCGAGAAGGGACCCCATTGCTACTGCTTGAGAAACCCTTTGGCTTCCCCTCAAGAAGCGCCGCAACAAAATTGGCCCACCCATTCTGCGCTGATACAGCCCCTCTGCTCGCCTCTGCTCGTTTCGCGGCTGCACCATTTTCAGCCTCCCGCATTAGACGCTGCGTGAAGGACGCCCACACTTAAGACCTGCAAGCGTTGGTTCTTGACGCACAAACTCCATCTCGCCTGGGCTCTTTTACGGTTTGTGCCGCTTTTGTTGTTTCTTTCCTTGACTGCGTGTTTTTCTTTGCCCGACTGCGTGTTTTTCTTTGCTTGACTGCGTGCTTTCTTTCGCTGCCGTCTATTCTAGCCATGTTTGGCTCCTCCAACTACGAATACCAAACGCCGTCGCAGCCCAACCCAGACCCGGCGCCGCCGCATCCTTACCAGGCGCCGTCCGCCTACCATCCGTATCCGCCGCCCTACCAGCGACTGCCCCAGCTCCGGCCCGACGCGCCCAAGATGCTGCCGCTCCAATACCAGTACACAAGGCCAGCGCCCGAGCCCGATCTCCAGATGGGACTTCTGGGCTCTGTGCCAGTGTCGATGCCCCCCGGCGCCAACGTGGCCATGGCGTACGGCGCCAACGTGCCGCTTCAGCCGCAGCTGGAGCCGCCGCTGCGGCAGCTGCCCCACGAGCTTCATCAGGAACTGTTGCAGGCGCCCAAGTTCTGCGAGCAGGACGTGGAGTTGCTCCGGCAGTTGCTCAACGTGGGCGAGAAACACAAGTGGAAGCAGATCACCAAGGAGATCAACCAGCGCAACCTGGGCCGCGAGGAGCAGCACTGGAGCGAGGACGAGGCCGCGTCGGGCGCCCGCAACGTGTCGCCCACATATGTGATCAAACAGTACCAGAACTTGCTTGGGCTTCCGAAGAACTCCGTCTACTTTGGTGTGCTCGGCTCGTCGCTCCCGTACGTGGTGGCCGAGAAGGGCTGGAGCAACTTGGATGTGCCGGACGAGTAGAAGGCTACAAACAATGAACATTGCGTTTACGTCGGGCTACACGGTGATGTCTTCAAGCCATGTTCGTTGCTTTCGCTCGTCCGTTCATTCATGCTCATTCATTCATGCTCATTGGCCGCTCATTGGCCATGCTGGCATGGGCTGAAATCGGCTCAGATTCAGACGCACGGCCGTCGTACAGGGTCCGAGGACCCACTATTTTATTCTTAGCATCAGACATACGTCTACTTTTGCCGTCTCGCAAAAACTTAGTGTCTCGTTGCCGCTGCATGCTATTCCTGCGCTCGGTCTTAAGGAACATAGTCTAAATACAAATGCGGTATTGGTTTCCTTCAGTAGCCGAATCATACTTCAACTCGCCACAACACCACACCCTGGCTTTCCCCTCTGGCTTTCCCCTCTGGCTTTCCCCTCTGGCATTTCCCCACTTCCTTCAACAAACCCACGGAAACAATTCCAGACCCATACTGGACGAATGTAGTGTATAACCCAATCGTAGACCAGGCATGTACGTTGGAGGATATTTTCTGGACTTTGTTTTTATTTTTTTCTGTTCCTGCCAGGCCGGGCCCGCTCGGCTGTTGGCGGCACTTACTCTCTTGAGCACGCTTCGCATGTGAGGAGAGCTTCTTTGCCGTCCACATGGCCCAAGGCCACCGACGGAAAGAGCGCATTGCGAATGAGCTGTTTCAACAACTTGGAGTCGGGAAACCCGTCGTAGTAGAACGCCTCTGTCTGCGGGCCGTCGCTCTTCTTCATTCTCCGCCGGTAGATGGGTCTTTTGCCCTTGTCATCTTCCACGGTCACTTGGAAAAGGCCCGGTTGCGTGTACGACGGACAGAGCGCAATTTCGGCCACAAGATTCGACTCGGGGTCGCTGAATGTCTGGAGAATCTCTTGGGCATACCACACGGCCCGATTGTGCCACTTGCACTTGGCACAGAATTCGATGGTGACTTTGGGAAGCATGGTAGGTAGTCGGAAGGTACTGATGTGCGACGTGGATCTGAAAACGTCTTGTACATGCTACTTGGCTGGATTTCTGGGAGTCTTTCTACTTTTTTTCCTAGTGGTCATTCTACCATGACATTAACAATTTTGGACATAAAAACCGCTGGCAGAATAGTATTTGACGTCTTTTGTCTTTCATCTACCGTTTTCCCCGAGGACCCTTGAGCCTCATACTTACGATATCGGCAGTCGACTTGATGTCTGCGAGATGGCTCGTAACCATGGCATGATCTGGAGATACGTCGTGAAATGGAGTCAAAATATATACTAACCTGTCAGTGGCATGCTCGTTATTATTTGAGGATTAGTAGAAACTTCCAATCATCAGTTGCTTCGCAAACAGAAACGACAGGGGAAAAGTGGCATCATACACAATTATATTAAACACCGCGTAGGAAAAGAGTGGTTTGTTGAATCGCTGAACACCTTCTTTTACTGGCTGCCAGCTTTTCTAGCACTCATTCAGAAACCATTAGCTGGCCGTGATTCGATTACTCCTACCCAGATAGATGCATTGTAACTTTGATTTTCAGCTATGATCAGCTCTATAAGTAATAATAAGTCGGAATGCTAGGATAAATACGTCGCCAACTGCTGGTGGACCATATCCCACCTCATTTTGTCTTCTCTCCTTTGTCTTCTCTCCTTTTGTCTTCTCTCCTTTTGTCTTCTGTCTCTTGTCTATCCTCTGTCCTTTTGTTCTTCTGTCCTCTGCCTCGCGGCCATTATCTATACAAGACGAAGCAGAGCTTCGCTAGGCCCAGTAGGCGGCGTCTCAAAGAGTCATGCTAAGCCAGTCCCATTTGCCGTGGTCTTCCTGGTCGCCCCACTTTTGGTCGTGCGACTCGGTCCACTTGTGGTCTTCACCCCAGTCTAGATCCTTGTCCAACTCGTTGATCGGGTGCAAATCCGAAGACAAGTCCCGCAAGTCGCCCGCGTGCACAGACTGCAAGTCGGGGTGAACATCGTGCTGTTCTTCACGCAACGGAGACTGGTGGTACGTCGCTTGTGTGTGCGCCGGCTGTTCATGCTGCAACACATGTTCCTGGTGAGGCAACGGTGGCTGCGCTGTTTCCACAGGCGGCATCGTTTGCACTGCCGGCCCTGCCTGCACTGCCTGCGCTGCCGACTGTCTGTGAGCCAGTGCTCTGTCGGGCGAGCCCGTGGATTTCTTACCCTTGGGCGGTTTTTTGTCCTTCGGGAGCGACGTCGGGTTGAAGTCGTCGCCGTCCGGCGTGCCCAGCGACGTTTTCTTTGCCGCGGCGCCGCCGCTCAGCCGCTGGCGCTTTTTGATCACGTCGGTCTTCAAACTCAACGGCCGCACGGTGCCGTGCAACTTCAAAAACAAGCCGCACGCGTTGCACAAGGGTTCGCCTTGCGGATTGCGGCGCCACAACGGCGTGGTTCGCGTGTGGCAGTTGGTGCATTGCACACTGGGTCCGCCGGCAGGCGCCGCAGGCGCTGCGGGCATGGGATCGGGCGCCGGCAGGGCGTCGCGCTTTTTCTTGGGCGCGCGCGGTTTCTTGGGCGCCCGTTTTTTCTGGGTGCGCGCGGTGTCGTCGGCCGACTCGTTCCAAGGTTCGCGCAGGAACATGTCAAAGTACGCCGGCCCGTCGACAAACAGGCCCAGGCGCGACTCGAGAAACAGCGGCCGCGGCGCGGACCCGAGCGCAGATCCGGGAACCGACCCGGGCACCGACCCAGACACCAGGCCGGGGCGAGACCCGAGGGGCGGGCGCGTTTGGATCGGCAACAGAAACGCCGGCGGCGTCACGTCGTCAAACGGAGTGCCGAGGTCCAGAAAGTGGTCGGCCATGCTGACAAAAGAGCTGTGCTGGCGCGCAAGCGGCGGCTCGTAAAGCGCATGCGGATTGGAAAGGCTGGCCACGGCGGTTTTTTCTTCAAAGGGCCGGTCGGCGGTGGGGCCCTGCAAGTGGGGCAGGTGGCCGAAGGTTTCCGTCTGGAGATGGTGCAGAGATGGTAGAGATGGTAGAGATTGGGGTAGAGATTGGTTGTGGTTGTTTTGGTGCTGGTTTTGGTTCTGGTTTTGGTGGTTTTGGTGGTTCTGATGGTTTTGGCTCTGGTTGTTCTGGTTTTGGTGGTTTTGGTTCTGATTCTCATAGTGGTCGTGGCTGAGCACGTCGTTGGGCCCTTCGAACGCCAACGGGTCGAGCGAAAACGCAAACAGCTGGTCGTACGAGTCGGGCGCCCGGAGCGCCGCCAGAAGATTCAGGTGCACCGGCCCAGAGGAGGCGGTCGAGCTCAGGCGCGGGCCGGGGCTGATCAAAAGACCGTCGATGCCCGCGTGCTGGGCCAGAAGAAACGGCAGCGTTGGCGCCGGCCGCTTGCGCAGCGCCCTGTCGGAGCGCGGCGCGCCCAAGTCCTCGGGCAGCCGCGGGTCGAGCCCCAAGTGGCCGAGCACGGGCGACGAGAGAAGGTCGCGCCACGCGTCGGGCGCCGCGCTTTTGCGCCGAACAAACATCATTCGCCAAGTAAGGTTTTCCATGCGGGCGCGGTACGGGAGAAGGTTGCGCGAGTTTTTGTACATCAGCCAGAGCAGTTTGGCCGAGTTTTCGGGCACGTCCATGCTGTGAAGGTTTGCGTGGGGAGGCGGGTGATCGGCTGTGCGGTTCGGCAAATGTTGATTGTTAGACTTTGGCGATATACGGTTGTCTGAGTAGCTCAGTCTGCACTTCGGTACTTGAGTGCTCTTTGACTGGTTTTTTCTCGATGCTGTTGATTCTGTTCGTTCTTGACTCTCTTGATGTTCTGACTCTCTTGATTGTTCTGACTCTTGATTGTTCTGACTCTTGATTTGTTCTGTTCTGTTGCGTTCTGACTCTCTTTTGATTTGTTCTGTTCTGATTCTCTTGATTGTTCTGACTCTCTTGATTTCTGTTCTGATTCTCTTTTCTTCGTCGCTTCTGATACTCTTGTGGATATTTCCGGTCTTCTCGTTCTTGCCACGTTTCTGTCTTACCGATCACAGCAAATGTCCCTTCTTTCAGTCGACGATGCGGGATTTATGCACAGCCAGTTTTGGCAAGAGGAATCAGCGCAAATACACCAGAAAAACAGTGGCTGACAGAGGATGCGAAAGCAGCTGATGAGACACTTCGCTTTTGGAGAAAATTGTCCGAAATCCGTTTTGGGCCTCGATATACGCCGGAGACATTCTCCCTAACTAACACCGAATGTCTGCGTAACCTGCATGTCTGCAGGTGCGTTTTACTAATCTCGAGCCTTATCGAGCACGCTGATTGGTGCGATACCGCAGACCCGTTAGCCTCGCGCTGCGCGTTGGCGCATTGTCAGACGCATACGTGCGACATGCGCATGCGCTACTGCCTCCCAAATAAGTAGCCAATGGCGAAGCCTAGGAGCCATCTTCACATTCTGCTATATACTAGAGTGGTTTTGTTCTTAGAACTGGCGGATATTGGGTGTCCGGAGGTACGGGTCTGATCTTCCGGTTTTCCACGCCACATACAGCTGTTATAAACACCGTAGCGCGCGCCAGGATGCACGGGTGTACAAGATGGATCCCAGCGCCTAAATTTGCAGTAAATCGGTCGATAGATTGAGATGTACGGGTGCATTTGAATCGCTCAAGTCTGAGATGCTCGGATGCTCGGATCTTCTCTTTTGTGCACGCACAACAAACACTGCCGCTTTGGGACAAAATGTATCCCGCGGGCTTCTGTGCGTCGCACCCGTGCCTCCGACACCCGTCGTCGAACACCATAGAATGTCGCACCACCAGTCTCCCGCGCGACATGCCGCACCGACTCCAGCGCCGAAAGTTGCTCCCACAAAAATGTCTCAACGGTTTCTCGCCACCTCAAGTCCGCAGGCGAAACCACTTTTCTTCTTCGTCTACTTTTCTTCTCGTTGAAGTAGCATCACGCAAGCCACCTTCACCAAAGTCTTGTGTTCGCCCCTGTTTGTGTCGGACATCCCTTTTCATTACCTGCAAAACTCGCCCCTAAAACTTTTGTGGGCAATTTTCAACGTCTCTTTCTTCCGTATCGAGTTTCTCCGTTGCCGTTTTTTTTTCTTGCAAACAACAGGGCGTTTCAAGGTTCCGACGTCTGTTTCCATCTGATTCTTTCCGCTAGGAAAGCTTTGTCCTTGTACTGAAAGGTGGAGGCAACATCATTATTCCCCACTTTACTCCTCATTACTGAACAACCGTCATACTTTGTTCGCCGGGCATTTTCCGCTGCTTTTGTTCGCCAACGTTCAGTATCCGTCCATTAATATCCATCTTCATTGAATAATAGCTTCTCCTGTTTCAGTATTATCTTGATCTCCCAGCATGGCCGCTAGTTACTCCGATATGTATCCCAAGAGGAAAATCGAGTTGGAAGACATAACCAACTGCCACAAAAAGCAGAAACTGGATAAACCCGCATACTACCCGACACAAGAACGCCTGCCCTCGCCTTCATCGCCCCAATCGGTATCGCCAGCCAAACCCCGCCAGAAATCCGTCTCATTTGAGCTTTCACGCAACCAGCACTATGAAAACTCGCCCCTTTTAACTCCAAAAGACGAGGACTATGTCTCTGAGCCCGAGGACGTTGCACAGCGGAACCTTGACTCCAACCCCGATTACATTTCCTTGTGTGCGGCGCAAAATCTCTTGTGCGAGACGAAACGGCGCATCGAATCGGATCTCGAGGAGCTTTCACGGCTCGGTGCTGCTGCACGTCATGGCTCCAAGCTGGACTTGGTGGATTTCTACATGCGGCTCATTTGCCTGAACGACTCGGTGCCGGGCCAGCATAAGGTGGTGCGGGCGCCCACGGTGGATTGGGGAAAGTACCACCATGCCATGAGCAACGTATCGTGCCACGATACTTGCAACGATAACGAACAATCTCTTTTCCGCACGTTGTCCTTGTTCTAACAGGGCCGTGGAGGAGACTCCTGTATATTAGTCGGTTATAGATTCATCAAAGTTTGAAAAAGAGTAGTAGAAAAGGGTAAGGAAGAAGCAAGAAGAACTCTTGAAGTAGCCAGAGGTAGAAGCGAAGATGCTGGCGCTGAGACGGTGTAAGCCAGCTCAAGATCCGGTTTATTGAAGATCTCATTTATTCAAGATCTGACGTATAGACCTGCGCCCGTTTTCCGGACCGTTTCGCCTCGTGACCTTACTTTTTGTCCTTATCCTCGTCCTCCAGGTCTGTCACCAAAAAAGCATCCTGGTTGACCGGAACATCGGAGTTGAGCGGGACCCACCGCTGATTGCGGTCGCGTGTGGGCAACTGCGGTGGGTTTTCGTCCATGGTAGCCTTGTTGTGGAAGTCCGACGCCAAAATCTCGGGGTCCTCGTCGAAATTATGATTAGGCAGGTTGCTGTTGAAGGAGGAGCCGCCCAACGCACCGAAAAGCTTTGGTTTTTGCCGAGGTGTCCGTGGCTTCTTTGGCTGCTCCTCTTCTCCGGCAATCTTGCGGGAAAGACCGGAAACCCAGCTGTTGATGGTGGTTTTCGCCTCCTCGTAGCCCTGGGTGAACGTTTCCTTGAGCAGCTCGAACTCGTCCAGCGACTCGTCCTGGTTCTGAGGCTGCGGAGGGCGCTGCTTCCGCGACCGGCGGCGGTCCTCCTTCTCGAACTCCTTCTGCAATTTCCGGGCGAGCTTTTCATCGTCGGTCAACGTCAGAGGGCGTGGCGCAGGCGCAGGCACTGGCACAGGCGCAATTGGCTCGGGCTTGAACGAAGGGTCCAGCAAGTACAACAAGGCGTTGAATGCCGGGTCCACACGGCCCTCGGACGCAATCAAAACTGCCTCGATGATGCGGTCTTCGCTGCTTGGGAAGGCGTCCTTCAAGTCCTTTTTGATCTGCGAGAGCGGCGAGAGCGGGCGCATGGGCGGCGGAGGGGCGTCCTCTTCCGCTTCTTCAGGCTTGGACTCGGCAGCTTCAGCCTCGGCCTTTTCCGCCTTGGCCTTTTCGTCCGCCTTAGCTTCGTTTTCTGTCTTTGACTTCTCGTCTGTCTTGGCCTTCTCGTCTGTCTTGGCCTTCTCGTCTGTCTTGGACTTCTCGCCTTCATCGGCGCTTAAGGTGTCCTTTCCAGATTGCTTGTCTGTTTGTTCCGGGTCCTGCGTCTTTTCTGGGGCATTGGCCAAATCCTCGGCCGAAGCAGCCTCATTGGCTGGCGTTGTGTTATCAAGATCCACTGGTTCCATCGATGCCATTGTCAATTTCTCTTTCATGTTGGTGGTTATAAATGATCAATAAGGATGTGGGGGGTCGTGCGGGCGCATATAAGGGCGCAGTATTGGGTGCAGAATGATAGGAAGACTAGACAACAAGAAACCAATAGCAATGAAATAAAAAGGTTACGAAAGATGAAAAGATGAAAAGAACAAAGAGGACGAGGATGTTTATAGGAATTGAACAGGAGAAACGATTAAGGAATATTCGTACGATAAAGGAATATTCGTTCCATGAATGGAGTAGATAAGACAGACGGGTCAGATCCGGGGAAAACGTATGAAGGCGAGAAACCACACGGCTCGACAGTTGATAAAAGGAACGAAATAATTAGTGAAAGAAATACGGTGGTATAGCGTCAACAGCACCAAATTTGAGCCTGAGTAATCATTGTATCAAGTTCAGTTGATCAGCCATAAATGAACTTCACGTACTGCGAAGATTGAGATTTGACATAATATTATTCGGTCCTACTCTTCTGTAAAAAGAGTGGGGATTGCCTTCGATTTTTCAATGTAGTGTCCAGTTACCCTGATTCGTGCCGCTCTGCCATTGGGTTGGCAAATATATCAAGCAAGTAAATTGGCATAATCTATGAAGCGGTTATACAGCAACACCAGTTTATTTCTTCTTCCATGTTTCGTTTTCCGCTTTTTAGTTTCCATGACATCGTCAATAAAGAGACAACAAAGAAAGTGAATGTAATTATTGAGAAGCAAGAAGTCCAGTCACTATTGATCACAGTGAAGTGATATTGTTGTCCTACTCAAAAAGAAATCTGTATGGCTAAGCTAGGTTCGTTACAATCTTTAAAACACAGTTAACTGTAGAGCCAACATTTTCCCTGGGCATGAGTAAGGTCAGCGGGCTCTTTCGATTTTAATCTCGCGTCCTTACTATTCCGAGGAGAATGATCTTCTTATAGCGTGGCCATCCTTCATGACTGTCTAGAATGAAAGGCTGAATGATACAGATATTGCCCCAAAAATAAGAGCAACATGCTTGCGATAAAACGGTCGAGTCGGACATTGAAACTCTTACATTTGCAAAGGCAGTGGCATGTATGTAAGGTTGCGTCGAGGTCCAATATTGTTCATGTATACCAGAGTCTCTTTGGGTCTCTGACTGATTACCCGATGAAAGAAAAACTGTACCAGGAACTTCAACAAAAGAACCATACCTAGTAAGACTCATCTTATTACAAGTCTGGTAGTCACTTGTTCGTCGAATCATCTGATGGAGAAATCGATGGAGCTTCATCGAACCCTATCAAGATTTTCTGCTTCACCTTGACATCTTATCTCCTTTGTCGCTGGTTACTAGATTATCCTGCACCATCTTACAAAGATTGTACCTATCCTAGCCTGTTGGTCATTTAGATGCACCTGTATGAGTCGCATCTCGTATCGTGAAATTTAGATTTTTGGTGCATCGGCACGGCTAAACTTTCGAAAACATTTGCAAATAGATGTTTTATGGAGAGTTTTCAGAAACAGACATGTCTCGAGGGGAAAATGTGTCGCCAAACGTAAAGTCTGACGGAAGACGATAATTTTTCTTTTTTCTTGGCCACATATTTACGACGTGGACGACACTTCTGTACATGACTACATGAGTCTTTCAGAGCCGTTCCATTTCAAGTCAAAAGTGACCCATTTTCCAGGTTTTCGCCTATCTGCTTCATCTGCTTTTAGCTTCCTTCAGCAATGCATGCGGCACTTTTTTTGTACATTGTTGCTGCTGTTGCTGCTCAGTTGGGCATTTCTGCCTCGCATGAATCTACTTTGCCGACATCTACAGATGACACTTACCAAGGAAAATTTGAAACGGGCATGTCTTTCGGTTTCCCTCCGGAACCAATCAATGCCACATTGAGTGTGGATAACGCTTACATCGATATAAACCTCTCGATAGGAGATCACACTATTTTCACGCCAGCCATCTTTGAAAATGACTCTATACTGGATTATGGTGACGTTGAGCTTGGAGGCTTTCGGCTTCACAATTTCAGTGTCGGCATGGCAGTTTTCATGGAAGGTTCAATCGTTGGTCTCGGATTACCCCGAAGAGCAGATATCATCTCGCCGCTAGATGCCATGAAAAACGCCGGCCAAATCAAAAGCAGGTCCTTCTCTTTCAAGATTTCTGACGATGACGAAGGTGTTTTGTTTGGTGCTATAGACCATGGCATGTACCAGCAGCCTCTCCGAAAGTACAAAATGTTCAATGATTTGGCGGATGCCAAAGCTGCTCGGCCTCCAACCATTCTTTTGGACGGCATGGCTGGTAATAACTTTCTGATCACCAGCCAGACCGTAGTGGTTATTTCTGACTACACTCTGTTCAATTTAGATTATTATTATGGGTTGCTTGACCATTTCAATGCCACACTCGACTTTAATGATTCATTCCGCCCGGATCCACTAATTTCATGTCTGTACATGAACCTGACTGAGTATATCTCCTTATATTTCAGTGGAGACGAGTATCGGGTTCCAGAGAAGAACTTTATTTCATACGCAAGAGACGATGAAGGCAATATCACCGGATGCAGATTAAGTGGGCTGTGGCAGGAATACCACTCCATGACGCTTAGTAAGTCCTTGTTTTTGAATGACCTCTACATGGTAGTGGACTACGATAACGAAGAGATTGGTTTGGCTCCGTTGGCGTCTGAGTCCAATCCAGAAACCATTGAGCAACTTTCTACAGGCGTCCCACTGGCCACTGAAGCCGAGTATTTCTCCTATTCGACTGGATGGACTACCCAAAGGAGACTTCTCAGTTCTGCTTTGGTGTACTCTTACACTATAGCCCACCCAACATACCCAATGTACACGGGCAGACGTTTGAAGGAAAGTGCTACGGAGCCATTTAACACAGCAACCAGTTCAGCCAGCTCAGCCCGTTCAGCCAGCTCAGCCAGCTCAGCCATAACGTCTTCATTTGCCTCGGCCCCACTGGAACAAACATCCACTAGCGATGGAAAAAATAGCACAAAGGCATCTTCTTCTAAGGGTTCTGCCGATAAGAAAACTTCTGGCGGACTTCTTCTTTTTCTTGCGTCTTTTGTTGCTTTGATGATGATTTAGGAAAATGGTCGCATGAAACTGAAAGCTAATGGTGTATGTTCCTGATATAAAAAGTATCAGCACATTTTAATTCTGACTAGGTGTACATACGATCGAAGACTGATGTAAATATGTCCGCTATTTAAGAGAGCTCATTCTATTAAGGCAGTCTATGCCTGATATATCGTTAATCTGTTAAATTCGTAATTATGATTTTCTGGGAGACAATCTGGCTATGCGTTAATATTATTTTCTGGGAAACTTTCGTCTTTTTCCTTTCAATGGCTGTTGGAAATCCCGATATGTATACACTTATCTGTCTTTTCATCCTCTGTTCCATCTCCAATTGGACATCTGCCGATGTGCTAGCGACATTTGTGATTATAGAGACGTTCGTGATTAGAGAGACATTTGTTATGTAAGACATTTCATCCAGACATCTATCCACCAACCTCTACATTTCTTAACAGAGCAGATCGACATTTGCGTCCAGATGGTATTAGAGCCCTAGAAAGCAAACACCCGTGCACCCCATGCACCAACACGTGACCATCCTCCATCGCATAAAAGGCGCTTTTTTTCCTTCCTTGACCCATTGATAGATATTACTCCGAAAATTGCTAGAGCTTTGTATCACTACGCCATTGATAATAAAGTGTGGACAGCGGAGGCATATAGACGGCGGCCGCATTTGCGTGTGTCTGGCTTTTTGTCAGAGACAGAATGGGGCCCCCTACAACTGTAAACTTTCGGATTCCTTAAGACATGTGTGGCTTGTATTTTCTGACAGATGATGTCGTCTGGTTCGGTGGGGATCAAATTACTGTGTAGTGTCGGTGATAATGGTTCCACTGAATCGCCATGTTACCTTCGTGATTTTCACATCTTGAGTTATGTCCTCTAACGGCTAGCCAAAGTGTTTGAGGACCGGCCAGTCGCTTAGTCTGACTATGCTCGATCTGTTTAGACTGTTCAGTCTACCTGTCTGTCGGTCTGTTCGATCTGTTCGATCTTTGTTCATCTACGTCCAATCTTCCAACCTGATTCTACACCGTTTCTCTGTATGTCTATTGCTGTACAGCACTATGCAAGCGGAATAAGCTTTGTCAGCGAACACGCTATTGTCAACGGATACGCCATGGCAGCGGAATAAGCTATTGTCTCATCTTCTCCTTGGTTTCCTTCAACTCTTGTTTTCTTCTGTTCAAGTCCAAGATTTCACACTCTTCCCACACGTGTTTGTCGTGATGGCAGTCCACCGACGAATTGGCGCTCTGTCTGATGAGGCACGTCTGGTAAAGAGCAAAATATGCGGCACATCTGTCTCTCCATCTCAACGGAACCTTGTACTTTTGCAAGTCATCTTCGGAAACTGGGCTTGTTAGTGGGATGCAAAAAGATTGGGCGCTGCGGGCCTTTGCAAGACTGCCTGGGCAGAAAAAAACATACGAAGGGGTGGAAACTCTGTCACGGCCATTATAGGTGTAGTTTGAACTTGAGTTGAGAGGAAGTAGGTTGGTCTTGTGTTGGCCAATGGGAGGTACGGTGTTAGAAACCGGGCTGTGTGCAGGTGGACTCTACTATTGAACATCACAAGGAATAAATGAAGAATTAAAGAAGAATAAAAGAAGAAAGAATAAAGAATAAGGAGAGTAAAGGGGACTAAAGGAACTACGGCACCTGGAAAGGCGATCCAACGTAATCGGAAATGAATTGTGGTGGTTAAACAAAGGTGCGTCTTTTTCATAGATTGCAAAGTTGAAGGTTAACGGTCCAACAAAACTTGGCTCTAAAGAGAAACAGCGGTAATCTTCAAATACCTTCAGCCCAACGTTTCGACAAGTGCTCAAACAAATTTTTCAAACAACTTTTCAAGCAGATATTGAAACAAATTCTCATATAAACTCCCAGTATTTCTCTCATGCTAGAAACTTCTACATCTTGACAACTCCATTCTTGTACATCTTCACATCCAGACCAGGCAATGAAAACGGACATGATACGTCGGTATCTCTACTCTCTAGTTCAAACTGTTGTATTATGCAATATGAATATTCCGAATCAGTGTTTCTCGAGTCTCTGCTTCAAAGCCACATACTGACACTCGTAAAACTGGTCCTTGACCGTACTGCAGAAGGACGTGCCTTTGTTAAGGCATTTGTAGTAAGCAATGTAATGAGCGGCACACTTGTCTCTGTTGACGAAAGGAACATCGTTGTCGTCTAACTCCTTTGCGGAAGCTGCTGGGTTAGCTTTTGCGGTTTGAATAGAATAGGCAGGAAGATAACATACGGATTGCGGGGAATTCATAGGCTTGAGCGGATTCAGCCATGATGGATCAGTAGGATGTTCAGAAAGCGAGTTTTTTGTACTTCACTTCATTGGATGGAGGAAAAATGTCGCGCCCGCACCCACTACAGAGAGAGCGCGACATTTGCGACATTTACCCATTTTCCACTTTTCCAATGTCGGAGCGAAATGTACTGATGTTTATTTTGTCATGTGAGCGCTCACGTGTATTACACCCATTTGTGTTAGCTCAAGGAATGACAGGCGAAAATACTCACCTGAGCTCAAAATCGACATGCGGCTGACTCTGGAACTTGGGCCGATTGCCATGATGAGACCATCGCGCACATTCCAGTCTGATAGCAATTTGTGCTTTGGCTGAAACGTATGGGTAGTGTCCTGCACACACTGCATAATCTTTGCGGCTTCCGGCTATCGAAGCCCGAAGGTTAATCTTAAACGAAATAGACAAGTGAGAAACCATGCATGAGGCGCCAGGTCAGCTGACTCGTAAAGGCTCTAGATGCTGAAACTGGAAGTTCTTGGCGACTGCTGGTATATCGTACCCCTTGTTCGGATTATTGTCTTTGACCAGTCAAGCAGGCAAACGAACCAGCAACGCAACTCAACCAACATTTTCGGTGTTCGCGACCCTTTTCCGCGATGCAACCATGTCATAGATGTTGTATGTGAAGCGAAATGTGCCCTGTTGCAGGAGGAAAATACCCAAACCAATTAAGGTTTATGCTACTGCGCATGCACGATGCGGAACTCAAGAGTTCGTCATGCGTGACGGGCCGGCGTGTGCATACATGAGAAGCGCCTACTTTGGCCGCTTCTATGCCAGGGTGCACACTCTTGGCTACACAAGTCCAGGCTAAAGCTGCTGAAAATCTCAACCTTGCTGTGGACAATAGGCACTATTGAAATATAGATCGAACTGCCTCGGCAATGGCAAAGGCTGAAGTTGAAATTGGCTCAACCTGAAATCTGTACGTGAGATTTGCTTTAGATCTTACGAGTCTGGCCGCCAATCTTATATTGGGCGGAACTATCTCAGGCAGCGCTCGCGCGAAGAACATTTTTCTTCAGTCGCAAAGATGGGAAATGTTTTGTCAGCGGTCCCATTGTCGATGTTTTGAAATTTATTCGGTTTAAAGTGGGTCATTAAAGTTGTCGCTAGAACGGCGTCTTTGTCGTCTAGTGTTTCTAGCAGCCCGGCGGGGTAATCCTCGGCAGAAGCATCACATGCGCACGCTGCTAAATGTGCAGACGCAAGGGCAACATTTGGTATGTATCTCGGTAATGTTCTTGGCGTGCAGAGAAGCCTAGGGTCTACGTAAAGGTTGCATGGAAGTTGCGGCTGCGCGGTAATTTCTGACGCACCACCTCACAACCTGAGATTGTGGAGACATCTTTTGCATATAGAACAAGACAAGACATCGCAGTTCTTCAGGGGAAGACTCAACAAAGAGAAAATATCAATGAATTGAACAGATATGTTTCAGGCTTGCAAACTAACTACATTATATTTTCGTTCAGACGCGAAAGTACGCCTAGAACTAAACTCTTACAAAACTGCTTGAAGCTGATACATTCAGCTACTGTCCGTATACTTCCGACATTTGTACCGGAAATCAAATGTGTCCCAATGCCCTTACGGGTGCTTCTGTTTTGATTTCATCCACACGAATAAGGAATCTCAAAGCGTAAAGTGCAATCGGCCAAGATGAATTCGTAGAACGCCCTGGACTCCTCTGACGCGGCCAATGACGAAAGAATATTTCGCTTGTTTAAATTATTTTTTTGGTCATTGTGGTGCTAGATTCCAGTTCCTCCAACCCTATGGACTACTTGTTGGGTATTTTCTTCTCTTTCATAATAACAGGATCCCTTTCAAATAAATTCTAGCTTCCACGATTCCTCAATGACGTCGTCGTACGCATTCGATTGAAAAGAAACTATATTACATGCATTGGAAAAAGTGTAAACTTTCGAATAATGAATGTTAAAGACAAACAGATGTGGGGGACCCGCCTCAGATAAATTCATGCGGACAATACGCGTAAGCGAGATCGCCTAAGTAACATCAGCATGCATATGCACTACGCCCGCCTAATTATAGCCGTATCCGCGCAGCCCAAATTTCGGGTTCAAGATGAAATACATAGGAATCAAGCAGCAAAAGATAAGGTTGGAGATCGCACTCGACTAGAATCGGAAAAGTGATGAGGAAGCCAACCTTCACTTTGGGCTCCCCTGGACGTGCTTTTAGGCTATACAAGGAAGGACCTTTTAATACTGCAGTGTTCTGTTGAAGACATTCCCGTTGTGTTTGTTACATGAACCTGTCTCCGCCAAACATGTGGGGGGGCTGGAAGCGTCACTTTCAGAGAAGAACAAAGCCAGAACGACCTGGGCCCTTTCTTAGGTGGAGAGAAGAAAAATACAATGCAGGGCTGCTACGTACGTGTGAAATATTTCAATATTAGCCGGGGTCTTGTCTATTTGGGAGTGAATGGAGTGCATCTTGTAGGCCATGGTAATGTGAACAATGGCAGCATCATGGCATTTTCAAGGGGAAGATCGATTGGCATTGAAATTTAACCGATACCTAAAAAATCGTAATGAGTTCATGATGGCTACATGGGTTATCTTCGTATGGGTCAAATATCGTCTGATAATCGTAAATCCAACGCTAGACAGCTGTGGAAGCAACATAGTCTAAACGAGGACAGCAATTGCACGTGTTAATGTACATATTCTTTGTTATCGTGGGGCATAGGAGCACAAGGATGAAAGGTTATACATTACATTTCAGATGGAGGTCCTAGACGAGGTGCAAGCAAGATAAGCAATTGGGCGCTCTCTGCTGCGAGAAGTTGACGATGATTGTGGCGAGGGCGCCGGTAAATTTCCAGAGAATGCGGGATACAAAACATTTGCAGGTTACGAGCGCAGGGGCATATTATGCATTTCCATTCTAAAGGGCAGATGCATGCACAAGGACAGGAAGCCTTGCAGGGCCCGCGCGCAGCAGCTGCGGTGTAATCCAGCCTTGAACTTGCATGTATTGTTCATGTCACAAACTCTCACTCGTGCCATATGCACGAGTTTTGCTTCCATCCTCCACCTCCAGTATATATAAGCTATCCATTTCTCTTTGGGAGTAGGGGTCTTGTAGATAATCGTCTCAAATCTTTTCGGTGTTTGCTTAGCCGCTTCCCACTAGTTCACTACTCTTAATTCCACTTACAGTACGCTAGTACACCTGCTTCTCCTACCTGAAGCATTCTTTCCTTTCCTTCGAAGCTTTTGACGATCCAATGCTGGGCCCCAAAGTCAAGTTGCCCTCAATTGCAGAGCTCACGCAAACAACGCTGCCCCGGCCGCAAGCGAAAACGTCACCTTTGCAAACTCTGGTTCCCGGACTAGAGCAACCCACGCCTGAGAGCCGAAAAGACAGCAACATTGTGCCTCCTTCTACCCCGGGGGGGCTTCCGCTGTTCCAGTACTACTCGTACAACGGAGCTGGCCACCCGGCTCCTTTCTATCTGCATTCCTACTACCAGCCAGTTTATTATCTGCCTCCGATGGTGAACCGCAGCTTCAGTGCTCCAGAGAATAAGCCGGTCTATTCTGTGCCTGAGGTGATTAATAAATCCATCAACAAATGCCATCGTTGTGGTACCACAGAAACTCCCGAGTGGCGTTCGGGCCCCAATGGTCTTCGTACGCTATGCAATGCCTGTGGGCTTTTCCATGCAAAGTTGGTGAAACGCAAAGGAGCAGCCATTGCGGCCGAGGAGGTGCTCAACAATAAGGTTTGCAAAGGCAAAAACGGCCGCAGGGTGTCGGTGAAGAAACAGGCGATGGAGGAGTCCAAGAAGCGCATGCGTGAAGCACAAGTGACGGAGCTTGCACCTATTCCATATGTTGGCGCTGCTTCAGACCCGGTTTCTGGCCATGCTCCTGTCGCTTCAGCGCCACCTGCGCCGGATTACGTTTACCACACCCGGCCGGAGGTGTCGGGTCTACCCATTTTCAGCCGGTATCCAAGGGTTTCACTTCCACCTCCAGTAATTAATGCTCCTTTCCAACCTTTGGCTGGGCTCAGAAATTAGGTGTTGGGTAATATCGGGGATATAGGGTTAATTTACTGATTTGCTTAGGTTGCATAATACAATATTTTTGGATGTTTAGTGTAATGTAGCCACACAAGCTCTGGCTCTTGGGCTTTTCCAGCCCACACCTTCTTGAATATGTAATGACAAGAAAATCTCTACGGTGATGAATACAAATTACTCATCAAACTACTACTGGAACATAATCAAGATTAGCACAAAGCAACTCTTCTGTACACCATGGCAAAGGGCCAAATTTTACCTTTGGCTATCAAATGGCCCCTGGCATTGTTAACGGTTTAAATTGCCCCGAGGCGAAAGAGTATTTTTCTCTGCCAAACCTAGATCCACAATAGCTTCGGCTCATAACGGCGCCTCCGACTCCCCTATGTGTTACAAACAATAAGTGACGGCGGTCATCTCTGGCTACTTTGGAAAACATCAGTTGATCGTTTTGCTTCGGTAGCAGAGTGCCGGTTTACCCCTTGGACAGAATATCCACTTCTGACGAAGACAGTGTCACGTTCTCTTCTATCAGTAGTAGCACTTGCCTGGAAATTTTACACAACTGCATAACAATAGATGCTGGGCAGCATGTTGCTGCTCTTGAATTTCTTAGGCGTTCAGATGATTTTCACAAATAATAATCTTGTCTGGTTCTAGAAACTTATCTTGGAAGATTGCGGCGGGCGGCTTCATCCACTTGATACCAACATCTTCGTAAACGAGATGATTTTGCCCAGAACGTGTCTAATGTCCAACAACTAAAATTCTTGCTCTTCTCCCTTATGCGAAAACACCTAAGCGTACTACGGCAAAAGCCTAAGATGCGAGTCAACAGCTTCAGATTCGGGGAAAAAAGTCATATTATGTGTCATTTTCTTTCAGACGGCCCACATTGTTTGTAATATTGAAGCCGAAAGTAAGATGGGACATTAATATCCCACTTTCGTTTGTACCACGGGCCATGCGTCGATATCTTCTCGGTCGTATATTAAATATACTTTCTTGTCCTTCTAAATCGATTCATTGCTCTCATTTTTTTTTCCAATAGACATTCTTCCTTGTCGGCTATGTAAGAGCTCGTAGCCACATATATCATATTGACTCTCGAATAGCCTCACCACTGATGCTCTTGAGATACACAGCACTGCATGTATATGATGCTTCCTGTTGGATGTGCATATACACAAGAATGAGTCGTATGACTATGGCTTGTACTTGCGTCGCAGATACTTGAAAGCCGCTATGTGCAAGAATCTTAGAATGATGGTTTCATTCGGCTATCTTGGGAAGCAAAAGCGTGACTAGGTAGGAAAGAAGAGGGCGGATCATTCTGGAAACATTTACGAGCAAAATTTCATGCTTAATTATTGCGCTCCTGTCGCTTTGATTTCGCGTTTAGTTACCCCACTGCACGGTGTTCCGAAAATCTAGTCTAAATATTGCCCGCATCGAACCTGCAAAGGCTATGCATGTACCATGCATTAGAACTATATCTATGTGCCTGCACTTTCAAACATACGTATTATCGGCTATGTGCCACGGTCTTGCTTAAATTGGTCATTTTAGGTTGCCGAAGGGAAAATAATCCACAGCTTTGCAATATCATAAAACACTCACAATTTTCATCAAACAGGCTCTTCAAAGTTCTGAGTTACAGGTACTATTTGAATCGTTCCGAGGATAAAGTACGAACAAAGTTTCACAAGTGAATGCAAACACGAAAGATGTGGACTCTCATAATTAACAGCCAAGGCGGGGCAAGATACTAAAAGGATAGTATTGTACCTAAACAAAGATCTTACATGTGATGCCCAATTGGCTCTGTACAAGAATGAAATTTTGGTCATCACTATAGGTGCGTGTATGCACGACTGCATGTCTTTTGACTTCCGACGTTTGTGGAACATTTCAGTGATGAAACTAGGCACAAGGTTCCGAAAGTGAAGTATTTTCCTTCTTATTTTTCTTTCCTTTCAACTCGCAATGTGTTCGGAGCAAAGATGTCCATCTGTATTTCCTCATGAGCCACCTTTTTTTTTATTTTCGCACGAATTCAACGATGAACTAAAACAGAAACAGGTTCGTTCCACTCACAAGTTTCGACAGTGATGACAAGTACGGAGTTGTTCAATGATACGGCGTTTGCGTATGCGCATGCTGCACTTGTATCTCGTCTCGAATTTCAAGTACTGTTTGCACCGTATTGCATGTAGAATTGCATATGTAACTCCAGCGCGCATGAATTTGCGCTTCGAGAACCCGGTGTTCGAAAGGTAGCCATGTATTGTCATGCAAGATCTTGCAAGTGACCTGTTCCATACACAGGCTAGGGTTGAATCTTCTAATGTGATCCGGCGCCCTCACTGATTTTTGTTGTGTTCAATCCTGCTAGGGAATGCCTAAAGGTGACGAAATGTTTTAAGACGAAATTGATGAATCTATTTCTCTAAAGACTTCAAGACGGATGAAACACCATCGAAGACATTGTCGAATACTCCTACGGTAGGCTTATGCTCTGTGTGGTCCCAGTCTGCATCTTTGAACACGCCTGTTCTCACCAAAATGGATTCCCAGCCATTTGTGTTGGCACCCCAAATGTCAGAAAGCGGATTGTCACCCACCATGAAAATCTGCGAAAATGGAGAGTTCTGGGGCGCTTCATGGAGCTGCGGCATGAACCCATGCGGCTTGTGCCCGTTCAAAATCTTGTTCCATTCGATTAGTACGGAATGGGCGTAGTTGTATTGAACTGGGAAAGGTTTCCCAAAAATGGTGCGTTGAAGATTCTCGTTGGGTCCTAAGCGGTTGGTCTCTCTGTAAAGGCGTTCAATGATCATTCTGAAAGCACCTTGCCCAAAACGAGGTAAGTTGTAGTCATTTGCCCACAAGTAGTCGTTGTTACTGAAGGCTATTGGCACGGCCGGAGTTGGGTCACCCAAGCTTTGTCTTTTGGTGCCGACAATGCCGCCCTCCGAGTTCAAAAGATCGCTGACGATCTGCATGTCTGTGTTCATGTCTCTTGGGTCGTTAAAGACCAAGATGGAGTCAACCGGAGTAGACAAATCCACATCCCGGGCGTATTCAGCAAACTCCGCATCAGTGAAGCGATGGTGGGGCGAAACAGCCGGATCTTGCCGCACAATATCTATTGGCATAATCACGTCTTCAAACCCGTATTCTAGTGCCACATGCCGAGAGTTATCCTTGGCACCGCCTACAACCATAACCCTTTTGTACTTTCCGGTTTGGGCCCACGCTCTCATGGGGGTATGGCTTTGCACAATTTGGAGAGGGGAGATTTCGATATTAAGCCTATTGGAAAGAAACTCTACCCTAGCACGTTCGGATACACCGCCGCCGTTGGTGAGCAAAATGAAGGGGATCTTCGCTTGGTTGAGCAAAGATAAAGCATCCCTAGCTCTTGGAATTGGCTTTGAACCTCGAAGAAGCACACCGTCAATGTCGAAAACAAAGGCCGGCAAAGGCGACAGGTGCGATAGATGGCGTATAAAGCGGAAATGGGACGGTCTGATCATGCGAAGAACAAATGTGAGATGATACCGCGAGGTGAGAGAAGCGCGCGGTAGCGAAATAGGGACGCATCCGCATTCAAATCGCAGGTGCAGCATGCGCATTGCGACCATTGCACCACAATAAAAATAGATGCCTAAGATAGCCCAGATGTGACGTAGATGCATGCATCAAAAAAGAAAAAAAGATGAAGCGAGAACGAAAATCGGCTGCTCCGTCGTTGTCGTGTAGATTTTGCCTCTAAATCCTGCGTCTTTGCCACATTTTCTTTACCTATGGTGATCTCCTTGCCTTGATGTTCCTTTAGGGTTGATATATGCCTTGGTGCTCCTTTGGTGTTGATACTGCAATCTTTATTCTGCAAATAAATATGAGTCTATGCTGTTTCTACATCATCTGCGGCCAACCTTTGCAAGATGCCGCCCACGCCACTTGCCTGGTGCCCCTCTTCGACCTCCCAGTCCGCTTCGGACTTCTTGGATAAAACCTCGCATGCGTAACCGGCAATAAAAAGCCCTGGAGGCCGAGAGCCCAAAGCCTCCACTGCTGCTGCAGTTTTGCCCAACGTAGTTCTAATAACTCTTTGGTCTGGACACGAGGCTCTTTCCACAATGGCAACGGGCAAGTCAGCGTCCCATTTCTTCTCCTGTATGAGCTGAGGAATCAACTCTGTGATGCGATGCAATGCCATAAGGAAAACTGTCGTTCTCGAACGCACGAATTCGGGCAAATTAGGTAAAGCTCCTCTGCGTCCAGTGCCGGTGCATATAAGAACCTGGTCCGCCACGTCACGATGGGTCGCTGGAATATTTGTATAGACAGGGGCGGCCAAAGCAGACGTGATTCCTGGAAGGACAGTTGGCGTGTAGCCATGTTGGGAGAAAAAAGCGTACTCCTCGCCTCCACGGCCGAAAATGTATGGGTCGCCCTGCTTGAGGCGAACAACTTTCTCTCCTCGTTCTAGACTTTGTAAGCCCAACTCTAAAAGCTCCTGTTGCGCTCTTTCGGCGTTTCCGGGGAACTTGCGTGCAATGAAGAGCTTTGTCTTTTTCTTTGGAATGAGGTCAAGCACCTGTTGAGGAACTAGCTTATCAGCAAGAATCAAATCAGCGGAATGAATTTCCTGGAGCGCTCCTAACGTCAACATCTCCACTGACCCCGGTCCTGCGCCCACTAGAGATATGGAGCCTCCGATGTTCTTTCCTGTTAACTGCTTCTTGCCAACATCGCTGTTTTGTGCATAATTCTGCACAAGATCATCCACCAGAATGTCCGCAAGTTTGCTTAATGGGTAGTACTCGACAATCTGAGAAAGCCAGCGGCCTCTCTGTGTGGCTCTCTGCTCTTCTGTTGTGTTGAACTCCTCGACCAACGCATTAAGCTTCACCGAATTAACAGCATCTTCATCGTGCCCGCCGACTTCAGAATCGTGTTGCTGGATGGCTGTTCGAAGTTCCCCAACACGCCGACAGATGTCTGCAATGTTGGGCGGAAGGGCCGAAACCAACTCCCGCCGGAGACGTGCCGCCAACTTGCATCCTTTGCCCGAAGTGGTCACTCCCAATTGGAAATCGCCTGCTGTGTAGGTGGAAAGCAAAGTGAACGTCGACAATTCTGCAGAGTCAGACACGTTCACGGGGATGCGGAGACGCCGGCACTCGACGGAAATTTGCTGTTTGAGAGCCGCCTGGCTCAAGTCCAAAGTGACAAATACTCTGTCCACAACGTTTTCAACTTCGTCTCTGCCCAATGTCGTGAGGAGCTCCGAGGAGTACTTTTTCCGAATCCACAGCACTCGCTTGCCTTCTATATGGTCTTGAAGCGAGAGCGGAAACGACTCGAACTCGGCATCATGCACAAGAAGCGCTTTTGCTCCGCTGTCGAGAATCAGATTGATTCGGAGCGCCGCGATGTTGGAGTTGCCCCCAACCACAAGATGGGTTTCGCCTTTGCAGCTCAAGGACGCCAACAAGTTCATACGATGGAAATACAGTGCCGATTGGAAATTCGGGCTGGGCCAGTGATGGGTTTTGCAATCGTGATTAGGAAAGCCCACGTGATATGATGTGGTTACATGTCGGAAGAGTCAGAGAATGGATGAGAAATCGCGAACGAGCAGAACTGCCATGATGACTAGAAGGTGAAGGCTCTACTTGAATTTGGCGTTCAGTACATGAAGACCACACATGACTTTCATAGTCGGTAATTTTTCAAAGAGCTGCTCGAAGGCAGCTTTATCACATTTTGCAGTCACGTTCTTCAGTCACTTAGGCCATCAGCGAAGTGTAGTTTAACAGTCTGCAAATAGCCGCTTCGACAACTTCTCTACTGATACCACATCCTCTTTACTAGCCATATCCTCTTCACTGATAGTCTCATCCACGTTACGGATAGGCGCATGGTTATAATTGATGAATATATACAGAACCATGAAGAACATAGGACGAAGACGATAGCAAATATCGTTAAAGGGGCATTAAACTCTCTCTCCGACTTATGCTCTCAACAATGCGGTCGATGCTTATTCGAGACTGTACGTCCATAAAAAATATATATGTAGCTTATATGTCAAGCTTCCAGATATTCGTCTATATTATTAGCACCAACACGATTGTGCATATGGCCAATTTCAAAGTTATCCATCATGTACAATTGAACTGCACTTTGTATCTTTAGTGCCCCAGCTTCATACAGTCTGTCTTGACAAAAAACCATGCGTTGAGCAGTTTCGAACCTTCGCGTCAAACAAGACTAATCTGTCAAGTGCCGTAAACCTTAAGTTACATTAATGTACTATGCTTATTCCTTAAGCAGAAATAGTTAGTCAAACAAGCAGTCGAATGAAGACTCATGTCAATTTTTTCGTTGCCTAGTGTTATTGCCATGTGATTCCATCGATAATTTGATCTATTTTGATCTGACTTGTTAGACTGAATACAGTATGCATCGTTTCAAACGGATCGGTAAAGTGATGCAGAGCAATGCACATATACGCACGAAGATCCTAACCAAGGACAGTAACCATTGCGAAAAAAGAGGAAAAAAAATAGATTGCGACTTCGAACATGACAATCGAAACTGTGCTTCGCAGCTAAAGGTATTTAATATTTAATACGCAAACCCATAATACTGCAGAACAGAAGGGATGAATAAAGTTGCCTATTATTAGTCAACCAACATAGCTTTGGAGTCTCCTCTTTTCTCGTTTAAACCAAAAGGTCTGAATCAGCCGTATATGTGCGTTAAACCTCAGCCACCTGTGGTAAACTGGGCAAAGACAGTGTGGATGAAATTCAATTAAAATGAAACGTTGCGTCAAGTTCACTTTTCCTTGGCAAAATGTAACCAACACTAGTTGAACCCGCTGTGCTTTCAAAAGTACTGTATCAAGATGTAGTGGATGCGTTATGCAGAACGTACAATCTGCTTGGTCCGTCACTAAAATAGGACTCAACGACTGCAGATGTGCAAGTGTCCAAGAGGACGAAAAGTACTATTCTAAAACAGTTTATTGATTTCGTGAAGGTCTACTATTGTAGTCTTGTCTTGTACATGCGTCCAATGAAAAGCAAGAAAACCATAGGTTATTTTTCATTCTCGAAGGAAGGGTCCTGGAGTTTTCATCATTTGTACTTTGGTGGTTCCGTTCATCATACGATTATACAATGTACCGATCACCCACGTTTGGAGTAAGCTAATTAAGAGCTTCTGGGGGTAACTGATGATACAATTATAATATAAAGCATCATGGTTGTGCATTCATTTCTATTGCACAGATTTAAGGGTTGAACCCTAAGATTCGGATACTTTTAAGCGGAAGCGAGTTAAACCAACACTGTTTCTCGCATGTGAAACTTACACAACCTTAGCCTTTGAAGTTTTTTCTTGTATTGAACCCACATGATTGGAGTTATTCATTGATAGCAGGAGATTGAAAGAGAGCCAAAAACCTGATTCCCAACTGGTATCATTAGCAAAGCCTGATCTTTGCAAAATTTTTGACTTGAATGCCCATGATAGTATATCTTCAGCTTGTCTAAGATAAAAACATAGCTGAAGAATATTGCTACTAATGTTTGAGCACAAAATCCGAAAACATGCCTAACCTTTCAGAGGATTTAAATTGAACAAATCACAGAATATTACAGAATTATGTATGTGCAAATCGCTTCTACTTTCTTTTAATTGGTTCGCAAGGTGCCTACAAAGAAGGATTTTGAAGGAAGTTGACATCTTTGATTAGTTCTGGTGCTTGTACTAGATTTCCGTACCACGAACGTATGCTATTCATAATTTACACTAGTGTTATTATTACGATAACTAAAATCAACTTGTGCTCAGCAAGTAGTTTTACCATCATATATAGGCTATCATTGTTTTTTTAAGCCCTGTGATACAGAAACATTTGCGTACTTTGAAGTCATCAAGTGGCATATCACTCGTTGAGAGAAAACATCATTCTGACTAAATACAGGAAATAAAAAAATAAAAAGAAAAAGCTCCAGTTTGTTAGTTCCCTATGTAGTTAGAAAATCTTACAATGTGCAAATGCGTGAAAAATCGCAAATTGCCCAAGACGGCTGAATTTCCTTGCGATGTGCGATCACAAAAATGAGCAGCCAAGTAACAACAGAAAAGTCTTTTACGAAAACGGTTTCAAACGTTATCTAAAATACTCAACACCAAAAGTTGATTGTTTGCATTCGGATTTCGGGTGACTATCGGCACTGGTACGAAACCTTGCGAAAAATCCATATAGGAGGGGTGTGCGCTATTGTTCTTGGAAACGATATACCCGGCATATCAACTGAGACAAGAAGTGGAACATTCTTTTAGCTTCCCACACCAAAAAAAGAAAACTCCCGATCTCCCCTCGAGGTTTTCCTTCAGTTTTGGCCATTCTTTTCTTCTTATATTTCTTTTGCTGTTGCGTCGGCTAAAGTTGCCTGGCTGCTTTTTTGTTCGTAGATTACGAGCTCATACCAGCTTTCTAAACATCTTGATTGCTGACGGAAAATGTCTTAGGCCAACGGTAAAGTGGCCAGTTTATTTTAAGCGTCTGTATGCACACCACGCAAAATTTATCTGGCGACCCATCGTAACCAGAACAAGACTGCAAAGTCTCGAACGAGACACAAACTGCCGTTTACCAGTTTTGCCTGATCTCAAATGTAGTATTGGAAAGGGGAAATACCAGAAACCGTCGGAAAGAAAAAAACTGTGCTTGTATTTTTGTGCCACACGTGATGCTGCAAGGTGCGCACCTCATCATCGACACATTTGTGGCTAGTGCGATATCATCATTCATCTGGGTTTTTTATTTGCCATGGCACCTAAAAGACCACTTGGGATCGGCAAAGCCGCCAAGGCGAAAAAACAAAAAAAAGAGTCGACGGAAAATGAATCAGTGGGAGAAACGGCCGCTTCAAACGAGCTTACTGTGGAGTTGGATGAAGAAATAGAAGCAAACGATGCCGTTGCCCAATTAAAAGCGTTATGGAAAACATACTTCGCTTCGGAAGACAAGAGCGAGTTGATGCTCAACGGGATCATCCACGAGTGTGACCGGATCTTGCGGAAAACTCACAACACCAAAGAACAAGATGAAGATGATGAAAAGATTGAGCTTTCCGGCCGATTCTACGCCATCTACGCCCTTGCCTTGTCGTCTTTGGCCTTTTACCACACGGAAGACCTTAAGAAAGTGAATGATTTTTTCGCCGAGGCCTTTGACAGAATCGAATCGGGCCGCAAAGCATTCCCGGACTCTGTGGACTTGGCATTTGCGGAAGCCAAGATCATGATCAGCCGAATCCCGTTGGTGGAAGTCAGCCAGTTGCTTGTAGACAGTCGTGTGGGAAAGGAAAGAAGCGATGTTTCCAAGTCGTTAGACGCATCTTTGGCCAAGTGGGAAGAGGCGCAGAAGCAGGCTGTAGCGCAGAACCATTTCCACCATTACAATGCAGAGAACTTTGATTTCTTGCAAGCTTTGGACGACTTGTTGGATATGGTGGACAACTTTGGGCAGGAAATCATGGAAGGCGAAGATAGTGACGCCGAAGAAGACGAAAAACCCCACGTTGAGTTGGATGAGGGCCATCCATTGTTTGCGATAAAACTGCTGGACAAGTACAACTTGTGGTGGCGGGAGCAAACGATTGCTTTCTTGGACCACTTGAACAAGAACATCGAAAACGCAAGCGCAAAAGAGTTGCCGGCGCTTGCTGTCTTGAAACGAGAATTGTGCAAGCGTCTCGGCCAATCCTACTTGATGGAAGCAGAAGTTCCTGCCAATGTATTCACAACATTGAGCTACTACTCTAAAGACGCTAAATCTCTCAACGGGCTCACCCGAGTGGAGGCTCAGAAAATCAGCCAGGACTTGTTCAAACGAGCTTTAACTTACTTGAAGCAAGCCCAAGACGAGCAGGAACCAGAAACTTGGGTCAACGTGGCAGAGGCCATGATCTCGTTGGGAAACACTTACGAAATCGACAGCAAGGAACAAGAAGAGACTTACAAAGAGGCCGAAGCCATTTTGGTCAAGGCAAATAATGCCACTAACGGCAAGTATGAGGACATTCTAGAGAATTTGATGCAGGGCTAGACAATACAGGGGTGCACTAGTGATGTACATTACGTAGATGAAGCATGTAAGATGGATGGGCTATGAAAGAATGAGTAGGTGGAACAAAATCAACATGATGTGATGAGGACACAATGATACAAGAGCAGAACGGTATGATTAATGATACAAGGAATGCACGACAAGTCAAGATCGATGAAGACAAAATTAGCGTACAGATCGATGAAGACGACATTAGCGTACAGATCGATGAAGACAAAACTAGCGTACAGATCGACGGAGGCAAAATTAGCGTACAAATCGATGGACAGGGTAAATCAGCGAACACATCAATGAACATGGCAAGAACAGTGACTTTACCAAGAACCCGACAATGCATGACTACTAGCGACATAGAGTGAGTGTATTACTAACATGAGTGACTGTACTTGGAGTTACACGCGAGAAACGATGGTGCTTTCGCTCTGGAGCTTTGTGGCGTTTCTTTCGTGAGCACTCTCTTTGCAAAACTGCAAGCCTGTGCAGAGATGGTCTTCGAGCAAACGGTGCTTGGCACAGAACTTGCCGTGGCAGTGGGAACAGTCGCCCACCATTCGGAGAGGTGCCAGCGTGCAGCTCTGGAACAGGCACCGGTTCTTCTTGGCCTTCTTCTTGGGGGCACTCACGGTGGTCGGCGCCAACCGCGGAGAGGCCACAGGGGTATCAGAGGCGTCGCTCATGAGAATGACTGTATAGTTGCCAGTGGCTGCCATTCCAAACTCTTCGAGAGGCTTGTACAAGGGCGTGAGCTTCTGGCCATTGTAAATCAACTTGTAGTCAGCGGGTAACTTGACGCCGGGAGGACATCCGACTTTGACGGAGTTTCTCAAGTCCTCGACACCAGAGTTGTCGGGCACCGTCACGGAAAAGGACGTTTCTGTAGACAATCTAAAGGTGATCTTCATTTGTGGACAAGGGGGCGATAAGACCAGCAAACGGCAGGGGGGAAAGGGAAAAAGACGAGGGAGTAAGGTTTTTTATTTTCTAAACGCGGCACCGCAGACTTGAATACGCTGTAATTCAAGCCGGACACCAAAGACAGAAATAAAAGGTATGGGCAGAAGGAAAACCGAATAGCCGATAAGTAACTAGATAGCTTGCCACCTAGTGCGCAGGTCACGTGCTTATCGATTGCGCGTGACCAGAGGCAAAGCAAGAAAGGTACGGGTCCGTTCAATCGGATGTACGGGCGGACAAAGAGAGGCAAAGAAAGATGTACGGGCCAAATATGTACGGGTGTCCTTACAGACACAAACCATGTCAGAAATAATAATCAGAAGTGTATTTCAGCTCAAACTTTATTATATTTTAACTAAAGCAAATGTATTTTCATATACACGACAAAGACGTGGTTCGTTTCCTGCTGGTAGCAGTAAATGCATGAGCGGCCGACAGGTCGATTCCCGAATCGATCTCCGGTCGGCCCAGATTGCGTGAGCATCTTGCTTTTTCGCGGCAAGTGCACACAGCCGAGCGGCGGACCTGCACACAGGCCCGCAGCGCCCGCCCGTTTGTGGTTAAGGTTCCTCTGTTACTTCTTAGTGGACATTAGTCAGGTTTACTTGTCCACCGGTTTGTTGCTCAAGGATGCAGTATTGGCCTTCAACTTCAAGTTGGCCGGGATTGGTGTGGCCAAGCACACCAGAAGGAAAAGGAGAATGGATGCGAGCTTCATAGTGAGGGTGTAGATGGGAGTTGGAAAGATGGAGCCTGGGAAGATGGAGCTTGAGGATCTTGAGGATCGGAGGATCGGACGCTGGGAAATGCGGAAATGAGAGAAAAGAATGGTGTGGGTTTCCAACCTAGAACTGCTGGCAGATAGAGACGGTGTTGTTGTTTTCGTAGAGAAAAGCTCAGCAAAGGAAAGAAGGTGAAGTGTTTGGGAAAGCAAGTGGTACTTGTGGTGAGTATAAATATTTGCTGAAAAAGGCTCACTTGGAGCCTGCACGTTTAGCCGCGGCGCAGGTTCGCGAAACACATCCCTCCAGACCCATCTGCCTGAAGGGGCATATTATGGCGTGCCTCCGAAAATACGTCTTAATGTAGTATTTCCCTTCTGGGTCAAATGGGCCACAACATCGGCCCTTTGGCCATTATCTGCGGAATTGCTTTCATGGTACGACCAGTTTCTGCTTGCTGCGGCGACATTTTATGTTCTGTGTGGTGGGAAGTCTTAGCATCTGAAACCGGACCCAAGCAAACACTCCACATCCCCCGGTCTCTTTTGGGATTAAATCTGCATGCATGCTTAAATTAACACCGCGCTGCTGCAGGTTTCGCGAGCGCCATACCCGTTTTAGTATATGGACCTGCAGGAAGTAAGTGTAACGCCGGGTTAAGACAGACACATGTGTTTTTAGCTTCAATGGGTTCCAGCCAAAGCCCATGGTTGTAGGACTCCACTAAACTAGAATTGATACAGATGATGTCTGATTTCTCTGTGTTTGCAATTGTTTTTCATTTTATTTTCCATGAGGTGGCCTCGTGCGTCAGACGAAATCTAGATTGATGGTCGCATTGTTCACTTTACAAAGATTGCAGAAACGTATTGTTTGTTGTTGTCAAGATGAGTACAATGAATATTTACACATCAGCGTGTCTAGCTTCAGATGCGCCCATCCAAATTTAAATGGGAACTATTACAGGCAACAATTCACGCTGGATCACAAGATGGCAAGCACAATAAACACTTGCTTGAATTGCCAATCGGGAAAAAACCCTTACAGGGTCAGGTTTGTTATTCAATCGTTCACCTGGGAGTGTTTTGTTTTGCGCAACCGCAACTGCGCCTCTTGTTCTTCTTTTGGTTGTGGGGTTGCCTCTGGTTCCAGCGCTTTACGATCTTCAGAATGGGGCGACGACTCATCTCCACTTTCGGTGCCGTCATAAGCATTGGAGAAAATTTGAATGTCTGACAAGTTCAGAAGAGACACGGAGTTGGGTGAAACCGACCTTGATAGACTGATATCCTCCGTTTGCATAGTGTCATGGCGGATCTTGTCGTCGTCCTCGTTATAGCCGTGGTATTTGTTATAGAACTCGTCAAAGTCATCAAACATCGACGGACCATAGCGATCACAAAACTCCACCACCTGTTCTGCCAATTTTCGCCGCGTTTCTTTCAAGTTCTCGATCTGCAAGATATCTCTATGGGCCAGAAGAATGGAGTAAAAAAGCGGCGTTAGTGATTTGTAGGCATCCATCCCCACTTCGCCTACACGTAAGGATGCATACGTAATCAACACGCAAATGAGGTAGCCTATGAGAAACGTCAACGTCTTAGGAACCAGTCCAGCAATCCCAAATTTCACTAATGCGAAAGTGGCCACAGCAGCCCAAAAAATATAGAGAGCTGGAGCCAAAACAAGGGCAACAAGGATCTTCCACGTACCAATGACGTCTTTGGCCTTGATTTTGACTGTCGAGCCAGCCAATGCCTGCTTCTGCTTTTCTCGAGAAATCCGGCGAGCCACAATGAAAACCGGCGAAAACATAATCACACCGGGGAGTGAAAGTAAGAAGAAAAGCGTAGTCAAAAACAAGCGATGAAGAAACATTATGAGGACAGACAACCTATTAGACCTTGTCAACGATTCCACTTGATGGTCATGCAAGCCCAAAATCATGAGTTTCTTATTATACTCATAAACAGCGTTTTTCAATTGCTGCACATCGGGCCGGTCCGCATACTTTTGGTATCCCTGGAGTATTCGCCGGCTCATTTCCACTACCAAAGGAAGAGGGATGCTTTTCCGGACCGATGAAGTATATAGTCTTCTGGCGGCGTGGATCGTCATCAATGTGTCATAATCATCACAATTCACGGTGATTTCTTTAAGCCGGAGAGTGATCAAATCTAGCAACTTGTTCACCACGTCACGCGTGTTTTTCTCGTACTTCGCTGCGTCGTCTTTTGTCACCAAGATAGGTTTTCCGAATTCGATCACCACCCGAGAACGGAACTTGTGGGGATGGAAATAGTTGAGCCCAACCGGGATGATTTTCACTACCTGATTTGGATCTTTCGACTGCGATACGGCACCAAGTGCCATGATGGCCACGCCCGGTTTTAGTGGGAGTAAATTGGGTCTGTCGTGCAGGCCGCCTTCAGGAAAGATTCCAAGGACTTTCTCAGCGTTCAAGTGGTCAAAAACATTCTGGAACACCTTATGGTTGTCGACATGCGGGGCCACGACGTAATCCGTACCCTCTGTGAGCAAGCAAATCATTTCTTCTTCCTTTTCAGACGGCTTGTCAAAGTTGATTTTGAATGCTTTGCGCAAGCGAAGCCGCGTGTCGGACTCTATTTCCTCTATCTGAGCATTTCCCAAATACCTAGGAAGGCCTATTAGCCCTTTGGCCATGGCCTCGGACTTGAAGCGTGTTCCTTCTCCAATAATCACCACGTTCTCGTTTTCAGGGCCGAAATTCTCCACTCTGATTTTCCCTGTGGCCGCATGCACCAAGTCCTGTGCACGTTCCACTGGAATGGCACTGCAAAGGCGGGCTGGAACGCCAACGTACCAAGTTCGGTAAGATTTGGCTGCGGTCAATAGAGACACTCGCCTTCCTGCGGCTTTCCGAACAGATGTCATCAATACTAGAGGATCCACAAACTGATTGTGGTGCGGTGCCACGACAAAGATAACAGCACCTTTTTTGGGGATGTTGAAGGTGCCCCGCATGGTCAATTGTCTGAAAAACGTGTGTATCACCATGTCAAAGAACCATATCACCAAGTCATAGGTGAACATGAGAAAAAGAGACAATAAGAAGGACACCCCGGGCACCAGAGCCCAACTCCTTTGTTTTTCCAGGTCTGGATTTTCAGATTTTAAGTTTGCTGGATCTTCTGCCATTTGCAATTGGTATTAGAAAGGGGTGTATTCGGATAATCAGGCTATCTAGTGTAGATATAGTCACATGACAGACTCGCGATTTTGTGGGGCCCAAAGCATTTCTATGTTGTTCCATCAAACCCAAATTTCCACACGTTTCTGTGAAATGGCGGAGATACTGTAGAAGCGGGGAAATCTGGAGAAAATTTGGGCATGAATCACAATTATCGATTCCGATTTTGCAATCTTCGGCACGTTTTGCGTATTACCATGACAGGCTTTGCTAATGTTTTTTCACCATGCACGATTACCATTAGAGCTCGTAGTGATAGAAAAAGAGATCAATTGGAATTGAACAAAAAGTATGAATGATGACTTGGCTGGAATACAAACATCTATAGCTGCTGGCATTTCTCAAGTGTGACCACATCCACACGTATCATCAATACCGAGTGGTCTTTGATATTCTGAGAGAAACCACACCTTGATCCAAAGTTTCTTGAAGGCAGTCTGTAAGTCAGATTGGGTGCTACAGCGCCTCTGTAAACTGTCTATTCTCCTACATTGACACTGCAATAGCCTGTATGCACCATTGACGGTTCCCAACTCTAGTCTTCGCCTGCTGGAACCTCATCCTTCAAAATGCGGTTCAACTTGACACGGATCTCGGTCTTTTCGTCGCCACGGAGCACATCGCGAACAAAATAGACGTCTGTGTCGAGCTGGATCATCTGAAGCGCTCCTCGCAAAACACCACAGTACAATTGCGAGTACCACAACTCCTTCTGGATCTTCGGGTCCTGTGTCACCGGAAGCTCCACAAACTCCGCCAACGGGTTCTCCGTCAACACCAACGTAAAGCTTCTGCCGTCGGCGGAAAAGCTCTCCACGGCAGGCGTGATGTTCAAAAACATCTTGAAGGCAACTTTGCTGATCATGTCTGCGGTTTCTCTGAAGTTGGCGCAGCGCTGGGCGCCTGTCTTCGCCAAAAACTCCTCGATGAGGCGGACGCCGATGTTATAGCCCATTTTATCTAGCTGCAGATTGACTTCGGCGTAATTGTTGTCGAAATCTCGGCAGAGCTGCGCAACAACAGAGCCATATGTAAGGGTGAGAAGTTCTGTGTTCTGGGTGTTAGAGACGATGGCTGGGGCTAGAAGGCAGTACGTACGATTTTCTCCACGCTGTTTTTCCAGATGTCATCTGCTGTGGGTTTTGTTCGAGACATGTTGGCAGATGATATGAAAGAGCGCGCCTACAGATAGGGTGAGAAAGTAGACAGAAGAGAAAGAGACAGAAGAGAAGTAGACACAACGACAAGAGAAAGTAGACAAAAAGAAAGTAGACCAATAAAAAAGTCACAGAATCGAAATACAGCATAAAGAAACGAAAGAATAAACAAAGAATAAACAGAAGCTATACAGAACACCAAGACAGAATACTAGAACAGGCTGGAACAGTATAAAACAGAGGAACACCAAACAGAATACATGAACAACACAACAACACAACTCCGGCCATATAAACTTACAGACAAGAACAGAAAACCGCAATACATCATCGACACCCGTTTACCGGAAATATTCGCGCCATTCTGTAGATACACCATAATCTCCATTGGTATTTCTCTGTTAGCTTAGACTATTCACTTTAGCACTAAGCGTTCAACGAACCAAATTTTAAAGCCCACATCGATTCCTGAGCCCATTCGGCCAAGATAGGTACACTAAAAATCAGAGTACGCTTCAAACCAACCAAATTGGTGAAAAGACAAACGCAGTAATCGAAGAAAGGCAGTCGGTACAAAGCGCGAAAGTGTAGTAGTGAGCTGGAGATCACAAATGTCAGTCACCGTAAGTTCTATTATTTGTTCTTAGTTTTCAAGTTCTTCCATTAATTATTCTCAGTTTTCTAGTTCATCCATTAATTATTCTCAGTTTTCTAATTCTTCCATTAATTATTCTCAGTTTTCAGGTTCTTCCATTAAATACTCTCAGTTTTCAAGCTCTTCCTTGTTGTAATTACCTACGTACTATTAAATTGCTTTGCCGTTTTATCCCAGTTGCCCGTATTGTATCTCAAATTCCTCAAATTCCTATTCCTCAAATCTACCCCTATCCACAAACCGTCCGTTACCCCTAACTGGTGATATTACTGAATGTCTGCCATGTCTTTTCTATGCATGTGCGCAGCCTCTGGTTATGCAAAACTAGAGAAAAAGAAAACACGCGCGTGATGCGCATGACAGAAGCGCAAACAGAAAACACTAAAGACCCAAGAAGCACAGGTGTAAAAAACCCTCCAAAGGACTCACCAGACCCACTTATGTAGGCGTGGTCCCACCGGCGTATGTTCTTAGAAAGCAGGCGCCGGCAAAAAAAAATATCCGCGTCCGTATGAGGTGAGATTTTCTGGCGCGGCCTCTGTGTTTGTCTGATGGGATGATTAGTATTATGCATATAAAAGGCGCCATCCGCTTTGCGCACTGGTGCTAACATAAGCCGCAGGTCTTTTCTTTTTGGCAAACGGCCTTCTTTCTTTCTTCTTGCCCCATCCAAACCAGCGAGCGGGAACTTCGACCCATACCAAATCTATTAGCGTCTGGTTGCTGCCTTATATCCGCGCCTCCCCGACTCTTGACTGCCTTATATCCGTCTTTTTCGTTTCCCAGTCATCCAGCTCTTTCCTCCGAACCATCTCCGGCCAAACTCCGTCTCCATGTTGTTCACGCCTCCGCAGAACTTCTCGGCCATCCTCTCGCAGCCCGTGCTGCCTCCGATGCTTCTAGCGCCCAAACCTAACCTCATTGCTGGAATCCCCGACGGCATCTTGGCTCTTATGGCCCCAGTCATTGCCTACTGGACTTACAGCACTTTCTGGCACATCATCGACGTCTACGAGCTTGCGGAAAAGTACAGAATCCACCCAAGCGAAGAAGAACAGGCGCGTAACAAGGCCACGCTCAAAGAAGTCTTGGTGGATGTTTTGTTCCAGCACGTTGTGCAGACATTCTTTGGCTATGTGGTTTACCGCTTTGACCCTAAGCCTGTCACTGGCAACGAATTGTACCAAATGTGGCACATCAAGCACAAGTACCTTCCCAGCTTTGTGCCTGACTCGTTTTTGTGGTTTGGCTACAACTACGGCTGGTCCTTGCTTCGATTGGGCATCTCGCTCTGCTTGATCGATACGTGGCAGTACTGGCTTCATCGTATCATGCACGAAAACAGAGCCTTGTATCGCCGCTTCCACTCCAGACACCACAGACTATATGTTCCATACCTGTACGGAGCCCTTTACAACGACCCAGTGGAAGGCTTTTTGCTTGACACGGCAGGAACTGGCTTATCGGCTATCTTGACGGGTCTCAGCCCTAGAGAGGCTTTGGTTTTGTACACGTTTGCCACCATGAAGACCGTCGACGACCACTGTGGTTACAGACTTCCGTTCGATCCTTTCCAGATGATTTTCCCCAACAACGCCTTGTACCACGACATCCACCACCAGAATTGGGGCTTCAAGTCCAACTACTCGCAGCCTTTCTTCACATTCTGGGACAGGCTCACGCGTACCCAGTATGAGTTTGTGCACGAGTACAAGGAGAAGCAAAAGCAAATCACCTTGGAAAAGTACAAGGAGTTTTTGGAGAAGAGAAAGCAAAAGAAGGAGGCCATGAGTGAGTCATCCTCGACTGATTCTGTTATTGAGTCAAAGAAGACAATCTAATTGCGAAAACGTCTTCGCACCTTAATCTGTCAATGTTACGTTCTTTTGTTTGTTTGACTAATGTATTATGACACATGAAATCTGTAGCCATGGTAAACGATGCCAAATAAATTAGTAAGCACTATGTTGGAGAACGTCAAGTTTCCCCATGAAACTGTCAAAAGATAAGGCTCCTGCACTATTTTCCCCGCGCGGTTCCGGCCCGGTTTCGCTCTCCTCATGGGTGCAAATTAGTCCCTATAAAAGTAAGCAGTACATTCACATTCTTCCATTCGACATTAAATTCAACATTATGGCCACCTACTCTGACTCTGACTTCAACTCTGCGCACTATCAAAGTGCTAGACCGTCGTATCCGGCGGCTTTTTACAAAACTCTCTTGGACTACCATCAAAAAGGCCCAGCTTCTACCGACTTGGCCGTAGATGTCGGATGCGGATCAGGATTTGTCACATTCAAGCTTGTGGAGTTTTTTAACCATGTTATTGGAACGGACATTTCGACAGTGATGATTTCTCAGTGCAAGAACGATGAGCGAACCAAAAACTTGGAAGGTAAAATCTCGTTTGTGGTTGCACCTGGCGAAAAGGCACCTCAAGAGATATCTCCGCAGTCTGTTGATATGGTCACAGGAGCAGAGTGTTGCCATTGGATGGACCACGACAAGTTTTTCAAAGAGTGTGCTCGCATCTTGAAGCCAGGAGCCACTTTGGCTTATTGGTTTTACTTAGACCCTATTTTCGTTGGACAGCCGGAAGCAAACAGGATCTACACCGATTTCACATATGGGTCCTCTGTTGAGAAGCACAACGACTCGTACGAAAGATTTGTTGGGCCTTTTTATGAACAGCCAGGGCACGAGTATCTTAGAACAGCAATGGCAGAAGTTTCTCCCCCCAGTGAGCTTTTTTACGACGTGGTAAGACACCACTACAACCCATTGGTTCATGATGAAAACTACACCACCCTCTTCATCAAGAGAAGAATCACCTTGAACATTTACAAGGACTACGTCACCAGTTGGAGTGGATACCACAACTGGAAGAAAGTTCACGGAGATAAGCCTGATGCAGCGGAAGAGTTCATCCAGAATTTGGCACATGCCATGGCCGTGGATCTTGAAACCCCCGTTGATATTATTTTTCCCACGGTGTACACTTTTGCTCGGAGAAGATGATGGAAACTCCGAAAGTCCCGCGCATCTGGACACTTTGGCAATGTAATGTAAAGCATATTAGTCATATATAGCAATGCATACCTCCCTTTTTAGTATTTTTTATGTCACGTTTGACTATTCGCCGTCTTTGTCAGTCTTGTTTAGGTCATCAGTTGGCGGTCTCATGTTGATCTAGAAGATTCGAGAAGTTGCAACGCTTATTAGTGAAGGCGGTTTTTCTTTCCTGCATGGCCCATCAGTAATGTCTTATTCAAATTTGACTGGTGTGCATGGACGTTAGTCAGATTTTACTAACTATGCACTCGCCTCTATATAATCCAGTCACGGAAGCGCTTTAGTCAGACTGATGATTTTATATTTATGTATTTAAATCTTCGAAGTTCCCTCTTCCTAGTTTTTCTTGCAATTCTTACATACAAATTCACACATAGATCCACAAAAACACAAATGTCCCCATTGAGAACAATTAAAGCCATTATTCCTGGCGTTGAACAAGCCGAAGGTGTCGGTGCAACGGTGAGAAGATCCATCGGAAACATGAGAATGAGAAACTTCACTCCGTTTTTGCTTTTCGACCATTTTTCGTCCAACGGTGTTGGCGGATTCCCCGAACACCCACACTTGGGCCAAGAGACCATCACTTTGATGTGAAAGGTGCTTTTGCCCATGAAGATTTCACCGGTTCCAAAGGTGTGTTGAGAGAAGGTGACTTGCAATTTATGACGGCCGGAAGAGGCACTGTGCATTCAGAAATGCCTGTGATCCACCCTGATGGTTCGTTGAATGTCGGCTTGCAATTGTGGGTCGACTTGCCTGAGAAGTTGAAAGAGGTGGAGCCTCGTTACCGCGATTTGAAAAGCTGGGAGGTGCCAGAAGCTGTTGAGCAGGATGGAAAATTGAAGGTCAAGGTGATTTCTGGTAAGAGTTATGGTGTTGAGCTGGACAAGGAATTGGCTTACACTCCAGTTCAATACTACCACTACATCTTGAAGCCGGGCGCACACTTCACTCAAGAGGTGCCTAAGGACTTCAACTTCTTCTTGTATGTGTTGCAGGGCAAAAACTTGGTTCTTCAGAGCAACACCAAGGTTTCACAATTTGAGAATGTGTTTTTCAACGCAGACGGAGACACCATTACTGGTGAGTATCCTGAGTCCGAAAGTGGCGACCTCGAGTTTGTTTTGATTGGTGGCCAAATCTTGGAGCAGAACGTTGTGCAACATGGCCCATTTGTTGCCTGTTCTCGCGACCGCATTCAAAAGGCTTTTATGGACTACCAAATGGCCAGAAACGGCTTTGAGAGAATCAGAACATGGAAGACGTTGATTTCGGGTGGTGTCAACGATGACATGATCAACAACGAATTGGGCGGATCTCTTGAGCAAAGAGAAAAGGAGAAGCAGGCTTTTTTGGCCAAGAAGGCTGCCGGAAACTAGTTTTAATTAAGGTTATGTCCATTATATAGGTCAATCACAGTTGTTAACAGAGCTGCTAGTAGAACTAATTAGACACTGTAATGCTATAAGAAGAAAAATACCACATTTATTTCACTAGGTAATGATGTCAATTTTAATTTTTGTACTTGTCTGACAGATTGCGGAGTCAAGTTCTTGCCAGGTTTACAAAATACCTTCGTTTTCGCTCACATGTACAAAAATCACACTCAACAATAAAGCGTAAAAAAGGTCATTCTGGGCATCGAATGACTTCTATTGAATCATTTACTCAAAATTATACCCAATTCCTTGCCTGTTCATTCACACTACTATACCTAATTATTTGCCTGTTCATACACTACAGAAAACCAACCGCGTTATGCGTCTCCATCAAAAAAATGCGCGCGCCTGCAGATCTTCCACACCACGTACTTTTCCTACTATGACCATGGATATTGCCAAAGAAGAGGTGGAGTACATTTCTCTGGCGTTGAAAACCAATCCAGTCACATACCACAGCGTGTCAAGAGAATTGGGTGTGCACGTGACCCAGTCGAAACGGCTTCTTCACAGCTATTACCAAGCAAGTAAGGACAGTGTGAATGCATCCTTTATCGCCACGGGGACGCGAGAAGGAAACCTCCAGGTAAAAATCTTGCATAGCGAAGAGGACGCAAAAGATGCCGGTCGCTATTTCGACGAGCTTCATTGCGTGCATGTGTATTGTTTGACGTTGGCGCAGAACACATTCAGCGATAATGAAATTGCGCTTTCTGAAATGAAACACGGCGTTGATTTCTCGAAAATAGAGCTGTACTACCGTTTGGGAGTGATCAGAGGACCTGAGTTGAAGACCCCAGAGTTCAAAGCTCCTGTGGGATCGGAGAAAATTGCTGATGTACCGGTGACGCGAGAACAACCAAAGAAGGAAGTTGCGCCGAAAAAGACGTTGGAGTACACATCAAGAAAGGAGCAGCCCACACCTTCGCTACTTTCTAAATATGTTTCCCGCAAAGGTGAAAAGAGGCCTGGAGATGCAGATACACCGAAAAGTGCTTCTAAACCGGCGTACCAGTACAAATCGCGGAAGTTGGAGCGTAATCAGCCAAAGGAGAGGGTGGTGATGTCCCAAGTGGAACCAGATAATGATATGGATGTGGATCTCGAGCCTGCTGCACCGCAGGCGGCGCCAAAGTCAGACCTCAATAGTCTATTTTTGGACGATCTCAGTGATTTCAACGACGACGACGATATGAACATCGACCAGCAAGACCAACCCATAGTCGTGGAGAACGATGCCGAACCGGAAAAAGTTGAGGAGAGAATCGCTGCTCCCCAAGTGCCTGAGGATTCTGTGTTCCGTTCACTCACTTCCAAATCCACTACGCCTATCTCCGATTCAGCTGCAGCTCCGGAACCAGAAATTCCTGAAACTACAGTGGACGAAGACGGTTATATAACAACATACAAGGCCAAACCTGCCGCGAAACCAGCATCGCGACCAGCCCCGAAGCCCTCTGCTCCATCGAAAACTGGAACAAACACGAAAAAGAAGGGCGACGGCAAAATGAAACAGGCGTCGTTGATGAGCTTTTTCGGAAAAAGGTGAGAGCTCCAGTGGTCCGACTTATTGAAACGAAGTGTTATGTGCGGAGGTGACCCAAACGGGCGAATGCGTACTTTGACCATAACATCTTCTTTATTTAGAAACACAAACCACCCCAGGTTTTACTGAAAGCGGAAAAGCTCACTGTGCTAATTGCCCTATTGAGCAGTTTTGAAACCTTTGGAGGAGGCCCAAGGTGGTTGGTGAAGATTTGTCCTGCACATACACATAGGTTGCAAGTTATTACCCTTTTGGGAAAGGCCTTATTCGAGGTGTTAACCATTTGCAGTAATACTACTTGACGACAAGTATGGCGGGGACCGTCTGGTGGAAATATATAAGACTGAAACATTTTGTTTCCCTGTAGATTCCCATCACTCATATCCGCCAGCTTTAGAATCTTAATTTAACGTTCGCTCGATGAAGTTTTTCAAATCCGTTGTGGTCACATTAATGGCCACGTTTGCCGTGGTGCAAGCAGCCCCGGCCAGAATCCCCATCGAGGCCCAGGTTGCTACTATGCCCGAGACCAGTGTTCTCATCAAGAAGGAAAACTTGGCCAATGCCTTGTATGAGTTGCAACAATTGCAAGAGATGAAGGTGAAAAGAAATGATCTTTCGACGGAATTGTCCGAGAGAGAATACGCCATTGTAACCCAGGTATTGACCTTGGTGAAGGACACCGACTTGGCACCCACTGTATTGAAATTTTTTGTCGAGAATGACACTTTGAAGAACTTGGCCACCAATGGACTTGAGCTTGTCATCAGATCAAAGCTCATATCTTTGGACCAGTTGTTCAATCTCTTGGTTAAGTCTGGTTTGGTTACTACCGTTTTGGAAGATGTCCTCTCTGACTGTGACGTTTATGTGGGCATTATTGACATTGTGAAGTCTTTGCTTGGGAGCTTGCTCAAGAGAGAAGACGTGACTCGTACCACACCTTACTCATACGAGGAAGGAATGGAGTTGCTTCGTCGAGATGGATTGATCGAGCCTACTGTTTTTGACACGTACGACCACGAGAAGAGAGACCTGGTGCTCGATGACATCATTGTCAACCTTTTGGACAGCTTAGGAAAGTCTGGTTTGGCTTCCCAAGTGGTGGAGACCATCCTTACTGACCCAGACTTCCTCACTTTCGGTGCCCAATTGCTCATCACACTTTACAAGGATGGCTTACTCAATATTCCTGGCATCATCCTGGCCGCTGTGTCGTCTGGCTTGTTGTCCCAATTGATTCAAAAGTTCTTGAACATCGACACAATCTCCACCATTGTTAGAACTGCCATTGATGCCTTGGATGGCAAGTGTTCTGGCTCTTCCTCTCCTACTCCTTCTACCGGAGGGGGCAACTCAACGATCCCTGGCCTTATTGGTCTGTTAACATCCGGCCTTACAGGTGGGTCTAGCGCCTCTTCTGGTTCTTCTTCCGGCTCTTCCAGCTCAGGTTTAATCTCGGGTCTTTTGGGATCCGTAGGCTTGGGTAGCCTTGGAAACTTGCTTGGTCTGCTTGGGCTGAGCTCTAGTGCATCTTCTTCAGCTGGAGCCAGTTCTTCCAGTAGTGGACTTCTCTCTGGTCTTTTGAACAGTTTGGGCGGAAACTCGACTTCCCCTACTTCTACCACCGGCGTAACTCCTACAGGAACAGACACTGCTGCCACTCCATCTGGTTCTGGTCTCTTGTCTAACATTTTGGGTTCTTTGGGTAGCTCATCTTCTTCATCTTCGTCATCTTCTGCTTCTTCGAGCTCTTTGCTCAGCTTGTTGGGCCCTGCTGGTGGACTCTTGGGCAGTCTCTTGGGAGGAGGCTCTGGCAATTCTTCACCAAGCTCCACATCCAACCCATGCGCAACAGCCGTGACCAAGAGAGAAAGGCTACTGCTCAGGTAGTTTGTATACCCTTCGTCTTGTTATCAAATGAATGTTACTGTAAGGTACAAGTAGTCCTCCTGATGTGAAAGCAAACTAGATGTGGAAGGTGTAGAGTAGTGGAAAAATGAATAAGTTTTAGGAGGAGAAACGGGAGAAACGAGGTATTTTCTGAACACAGATTTGCAAAGATTATATGTAGTGGTGTAGATTAATTTTGAAAAACCATAAAAAGGTTTTGAGAGGGAATGTAACCCAATGAAGGCATTACGATTCTGAAGCGACAGAGTCACAAAAAACTAAGCACGAATCCAGCATATACATTCTTTTTGATTCAATAATCAGGTCAAGCTCGAAGTCTAAGGTAATTTTGGGATTATCGCTTCTTGTAACCCTATCAAATGCCACGCACGATTTTGAGGATTATGATGCCTTGAATTCTACTGAATAGAAATAACTTTGCGAAGTTAGAGTAAAAAGTCATATGTGGAACCTAGATAAATGATGGACAGTCTAATAAAAGAAGTCAGTCCCCAATATCCACCATCTTGTTTATTTCCCTTTATTATCCGTTTCAGCCACCAATACTTCCTCCATCAAACAGTCATATTTGTTGATTTTTTTGAGTTATGAAAAGCGTGGAAAGTAGGCACCAGTAGTGCTTAAATTAGTGCGAAGAGTTCGTAGTATACTAGTAGAACGTATGATTGCAAAACCTGTTGAGGACTCGTCTCACTTGATTTGCAAGCCTTATTATGGTTCAACCCTCTTGGTCTTGTATCATCAAGAATAATGATTGTCTTATTTTTATTGATATTGTTCCACAAAAAGATCTGACTGTAACAATAGCGCACAAGATCTCAAAAGTGACACCTTGAAGTTTCCAGAAAAGGAAGGAAAAGCCTTGCCAGCGCGAACGTATCAGATTTAGCGACATCCAGATCCAGTTGACATCTATTTTATTTTTGTCGCCTTATCAGGGTCCCACCTTGACGACCCCATACTATTCTTCGCCGATGCGCATATGCACGCATGGTTATGAGCACACCAATCATCTTATGCAAGTAATATTTCCCAACTCGGAAGAAGGTAAACAGAGTTGTGCAGGTGTTCTAAGCTTAATGGCCATCGGGGCTAGCAAATCTGGTAGAATCACCAAGTTAAACCTCCAATGCAAGGAACTGCAACATCAGCTATTTGAATTTCAAACCTCCCAAGAACTACTACTGGCTGAGCATCTTATCCATCACTTAATCAGACCCAGGTCCCTTCGTTCAGTCATTTCAATCTTCAATTCCCAATAATCCCTTCACTCGCTTGACACTTTATCCAATCGCTCTTCAAAACCCACATTTTGTCTCCTTCTGTCCTTCACTTCTCTAGTTCCGTACCATGAGCCACAATCCGTACGGCCCGAACACTTCACAATCGTCTTGGCGACATTCGTTTCTGTCTCTTTTCCGCTCAGGTTCCCGCAGTCCGGAACGAGGTTCCCGTACTTCTATTCACGGATCACGAACTTCCATTCATGTGGCTACTGTTGCACGTGTGGCTTCAGTAATTGGGCCCGATAGCAACTCTTCCCGGGAATCGGTGCCTGAAAGATCCACGCGGGCCGCCCGACTTGTGCAAGTAAGCGACTTTGCCGACTCTGACATTTCCGGTGACTCTGACCGGCTGCGTGATTCAGAAACAATTTTTCTGGTGATCGAGTCGTATATAAGTGAACCACGGTACCATTTTGCCGAGGACATCCCTGCTGCACCTGAGCCTCGAGGAAGAAGAAACTATACTTTGTTTGAAAGCGCCGAAGCTGGCCCCGAGGATACAGAGTCCGACCCAAGCACAGAAAAGGGCGAAGAAATACGGCGCCCCTTCGAAACAGGACCAGAAGCTAAAATAGGCGCATCTGGCGCCTCGAGTCATGTGAGAGACCCTACAAAGGAGTCATGGGCACAGGAAACATCTGCGCCCATTCTTGCGCCCGATTCCGTGCCAGAGATGCTTCCCAATTCGAGCGGCTCTCGCCCAACCTCTGATTCCAGTGGTTCTCTTTCGAGCGGTGTGCTTCTTAGCCGTCTCCATTCGGAATCGCCCGAGTGGCACGATGCGCCGCCTTCATCACACCCTTCAAACCCACACAGCGAAGACGAAAACCAAAAAGCTCGAGTCTTGTCTTCGGCGCCACGAGTTCCCGCACCAAAATCGCCGCAGCGCACCAGCTCCAGCCAAAAACGCGCCGCACTTTCGGGCGAAAAAGGCTCTGACGCCGCGCCGTCCGCGCCTGTAATTCTGGCCGCGCCTGTCATCCCGCCCGCGCCCGCACTCACTCACGTCGAACACCCTCCACTTGACTGGGCGCCCATGCCCCAACCGAATTTGACCCTCGAAAGAGCACACACTCACGATTCTCGCCACAGCGACTCCAGCGACATGTTTTCCGTGAAGAAAAACGAAAAGCGCTGGGTCGACCTAGAAAAAAACGCCGAGCCACTTCCCGTTCCTTGGGCGAAATGGGCCGCCGTAATGGTGTGCGGACTCGTAGCTCTCCCCATCTATTTCATGATGGCGTTTGGCTTGTTCGACCATGGAGGCTATTGGGAACGGCCGCGTGGCGCCGGTTTGGGCCGTGCTAAGTACAGTAAACTTCAGCGGGTGCTCAGTCTCTGCATTGGATTGGTTTGGCTGGCTATAGTATTTGCCATGGTTGGCGTCGGCCTCGGCTTGGCCTTCCGACGGCACACATAAACGAGATAGACAGAGGCCAAGGGTCATGGAGTTTATGTGTCGCTAATTTGGCGATAATTGATCTTTCGTTACATAATTGACCTGGTCGAGAACATGCCCAAAAATGGGCACGCATTTTTGTCAAAAGCTGCGGCATAGACACTGCCGAAGAGAAGGAGTACTCAAATTGTATTTTTTGCCGAAGAATCGCTACTCATTATTTCAAAGAAATTCGTCTCAGTTAACATGTTGGATGCTGCTACAGGTACGTTAATTGTAATGCAGAATACCCGAACAATTGGTGAACAACTAAACACTCAATTGTGAAGAATGGCGAAGTTACATTTGAATTACTCCCAAACACTCCGCTCCTCAAATTATTGGTTCATTATATGCGCTACTGGACGCCAGTCTCAGGAAAGCATTAAAGTCACATTTTCAAGTGATGCCAGGTATCACTTTGCGACTTTCTACGAGCGGATATCCAATTACCATTTCACCGATTAATCTGGTGAGGACATTTTACATCTATTAAACTGACAAGACAAACATACATCATTACCATTTAATTAAAGGCCCACAGTTACACATGTAGATGTTCGTAACTTATTCTGTTATTTGAGACATTAACACTCTCATGGATGGAACAAATTGATTAAACTATCGCTTCCATTGCTAGCTAGGAATGGCCCACTCACTACCATCTGAAATTAGTGCATATCGGAATCAGAAGATTTCAACAAGTCATTGAGTCAACTCATACATGTGAATCTCTGTAATTAGGAGACTTTCATAAAATCCAACAGAGCTTCCGGAAATCCTAGGATCTACCTAGATAACTCCAGCATAACTTAACCACTTTATGAACCAATAGAATTCTGGACACAGGTATTCGAACGGTCTTCGCCTTGTCAAGGCCACTCTGAAGCCCAAGTGTAATGCGAGTCTGAACTAGGTTTGTGTTAGCTTGGTTGTATTTTCTCAATGCGCCACGAACATTGAAATACACTGGTAGGTCCACGGTGGTTTATTGCTTTTCAATGATGGCAATAGTTAGGAAATGGTTTGAGCAATAGAGAGCAAATTAGTTTCATTTAGGGCCACAGTATGTCTAGTTTCTTAGTGTACAAAATACAAATTTGCTTTTGAAATGCAACAAATTTTCTGTAGATCGGCGTCTTTGTTGGCCAAAAAACCAATATAAGTCTTGGGGAGCTATTGACCGAGAAAGCTTCATTTTTCTTTATATGTATGTATTTACATATAGGAAAAGCTTCAATAAACTAAATAACGCACACGATTCTAACCATGTCACGTTGCAATGGATGCAAAGGCACTTTACCGAGCGGAATGAAAATTGACAGACAGAAACAAGAAAAACAGCAGAAGACATCAGCCTAGCAACCAGATCAGCCCAATACAAGGCTTACAGAAAAAACAAGCAATACAAGGCTTACAGAAGAAACAGGCAAAATGAATATCTTCTCATCATAAAACAAGAAATCAATCAATTGGCATTCCAATTAAAATCAAAACATAATACTTCAGTTACGCTACGAATGATTTTCCATGAGTATTTTTAGTCCTTATCTTATCGCAGTAAGCGCATGGAGAGAACCCGTACCGCCCCGCAATAGGAGGCTCAGAATAAGCCCCGGTGCCGGTGACCCCACGTCACGTGCCCCCACTCATAGGCTCACTTCTGGCGAGGCGCACTCGATTTACTCAGCAACTTCTTCTTTCAGGAAAAGACACTGGCCGCTCGAGAAGAGAGCAAATCCCACAGTCAACAGCCGCACCCCTGCTATCCGAAGCAGACTATATAAGCGTGTGCATCCGCCCCTCCCTTTTTCCCTTTTTGTTCCTGATCCAGACCCCCGTTTCTGGTTCTTTTCGCCCTCTTTTGTCCTTTCTGGCCCAACCAGGATGGGAAACGTGCCTGCCAAAGAGCAGCGGCCCCGGGCGGCGTCCACGGCGTCGCACAGCACCGTAGGCAGTGCGCCACGCACCGCGCGTCGGCGGGCAACGCTGTCGCTCTCGGTTTCGGGCAACTTGTCGCTTTTCTCGCACAAGGGCTCCAAAAACGAAGACAAGTGGAAAAACAGAGAACGCCATTTCCTGGATCTTGTTGTGCGGCACCATGAGTGCTGCGACGGCGGCTACTTGGCGCCTCTGGGCATCTACAAGCTGAATCTCGACTACGACACCACCATTGTGCGCCAACTTATTGTGGCCCGCAAGCTCGCGCCCTTTTACACGCCGCTCCAGGACTTTGACTCCTCGTGGCTGGAGGACGAGCTTGTCTTGCTCGTGCAGCAGACGCCGCTCCACGCCCCGGACGCGCCCTACTCAGACTCGGAAGAAGACGACGCCGACAACCACAAGATCCACAAGCTGCTGGGCTACTTCCGGCGCCAGGAGCTGAAGCGGCGCCACCAGGAGCTTCTTGCAAAGACACGTGCCGCACAGGCCCAGTGCGAGGCTGACTACGTCGCAGCACGGCGCTCGGGCGATCTGCTGGTGGCGTCGCGCGACCTAGTGCTCCGCCTATATGGCCAGGCAACCGAGTGTCCCATTTGTTTCCTCTACTTCCCGCCGCACTTGAACCGCAGCCGGTGCTGCCGGCAGCCCATTTGCTCCGAGTGCTTTGTCCAGATCAAGCGCCTTGACCCCCATCCGCCCCACGACCATGATGACTCTGAGCTTCCGCAAACGCTCATATCGGAGTATGCGTGCTGTCCCTTCTGCGCCATGCCCAACTTTGGCGTCACATACGAGCCTCCGCGCGATATCCACGTTGGAATCGGCGGCCTGCTGCCGCTGCAGTACGTCGTACACTCTCCGGTGCTGCTGATTCCGGAAGCATGCGCTGTGGACGATCCGGCAGCTTCTCTGGCCGTGGACGACTTGCCTGCAAGTCCGCAACGCCATGTCCGGCCGCTGCGTCGCCGCTCGTCCGTGGCAGCAGATGCGGAAGGCGTGGTGACTACAGATATGATCCGACCCGACTGGGAACAGAAACTCTCGAGTGCCATTAGTAAACTTGCGCGGAAATCGGCCACTGCAAGCGTCATCCATGCAAGTAACTTGATTCTAGATGAGGGTAGCAGCAGTGCTGGCCAGCAACTGTATTTGCTGTCGTTGGAAGACCGCATGATCAGAGAAGCCATGCGACTCTCGCTTCTTGACAAGGACGAAGGAAAGAAAACCACATAGGCATGACCTCATCTAATTTCTGCATAGCCAATGTGTGGTTTACGTGCGCTTCCTTTGTCTGGCCAAATCTAAGTCGTGTTTTTGGCTTGCGTATGTCATGCAAATGATGCAATAACAAGCATGTTTTTGTTTAGGTTGAAGAGAGCACGTTGCGGCTCTCTATTTTTGTTGACATGACGTGCTCTGTGTTGTTTTAAGATGAAGATCCGGTCATCCCTGTGAATAAAGGTATCTCTCTTGGTGTTAAAGTGACCAGTTTCTCAAGTTTCGGTCACAGTTGCAAATATATATGGCTGGTCACCACCGATTGGCTTATCTTCGTTTGATCTTCGCTGATTTCCTGAAATGTGGCAACCGTCAATTGAATCAATATTGAGGCTATGTTTCTTTAGAGACCACGTACTCTACAGGCTACTTAATAGCCTTTTTATTCTCCAAAGGGGCGTATGTGCCTCGGTTTATGAGGAGAATGGGGTTTTAAGAACGGGGAGAGCATAAAAATCTTTTTATAGTCAAATAGTATTTGTCATTACGATGCCACTTATCTTATTCTAAAACAATTAAACTTCTGATAAAGTTTAATCCACTTTACTGTATCCGGGCTTCAAACCGACCGTTATCGATTTGATAACGGTATCAACACTAAGCTTCGTCCACACAAAAGGAGTGTTCTAAATATAAGTATAGATGTTTAGAGTTTAACTTTTCGGTTTCAACACTTGGTGAGTAAATATAGACTGATTTGACTATGCCTCGACAATAGTAGTGTCCATCATCATTCCTGGTAGCATCTTTACGTGGATCACCCAGTTGTGAGATTGAGTCTTGACGAAGCATTTTGTTCAGTATTCATCTTATACGACAACGTCAACTATTACGACTGTAGGGGGATAATAATACATAAGTGGAAGTACGTATATGTACGCCATCTCTCATTTTTAGCTCTTCGCTTGTTTCTGCGTCTTGTCTAGCCTTTCATACCCAACGACTGCAGGGGTCTTGTTCTTTTTGAGGATCCGTGCATCCATAACGCGACTTTCTATTCTGGGAATATTATTTGGAGCAGCTCATTCACAAAGCTCCTTCCGTGTTCTTAGTGGAAAACAATAACATGAAACTCGCGTCACTTTTCTTGTGCTTTCGATGGCACCTGTGGAGCCATGAGGAATCTGCAGGACATGAACAGAGTAAGTGAAGGAGAAATCGCAGCGAAATATGCGCAGCGGTTAAGCCCAGGGGAAACGCACGCGCCATTGGATAGTGCTAGCATTTAAAGGAAAAAAAAAGTGGCATCCCTGCACAGGTCAATTGTCCTCCGTCGAGTCCTGTCACGGCCAGAACAGAAAATCGTTGCCTTATGGCACACAGTAGCATGAGGGAGACCTTCAAAGTAGAAGTTGAGGGGCGTGTGCGTACAGAAAACAGACCGTTGGGAAACTGTGGACCGTGTTGTTTGGATGGGGAATGCAACGGAAAAAGTTTCCCTCGTAAACAGCGTCGGCTGTGACGTGCGCTAGCGAGCGTGCATATGGGCCCTGTTACCGATTTAAATTATGATGAAAGCCCCATTTTTCGATGGCTCCGGCGCCGATACACACCTCCACAACAGTGCCAGTACCGAAACCTTAGCGGTACGGACGAGAAAACCCAAGACAGAAGCGCAGAAACCAGCCGGCTAAAACGTCGCAAGCCAGGCGAAACAACCATTACACGACCACCACTACACGACAGGTGAGATCAAGCGAGACAAACACCAGCCGAGACAAGGCGAGCCGACAGAAATGACAGGCGAAGGCAATGTGGCCACGGCCGCTCCTGCCGCGACGCCTAAAATAGCCCATCCTGGAGCAGGCAGGGCAGGAAAGGTGGGACGAAATCCAAAGGCAGAAGACAATACCAAAGCGGGGCAAAAGCCGCAAAGTGCACACACAAACAAAACAGCGACAGACGCGGTTCCAGTGCTTTCGCGAGAACACGTCAACCAGCTTCCGCTCCGACGACCTTGGGGCGCCCGCGGCCTCAGCGAAACCGTGGCGCTTCCGCGCGCCCTCACGCCCGGGCGCGGCGCCGTGCTCCTTCAGGTCAAACACACTGCGCTAAACTTTGCCCAGTTCAACGCGCGGCCGGGCATTGTGCCAGGCACACAAATAGTGGGCAAGCTCGTGTCGCCGGCCCACCAGGAGGAGCTTCTTCAACGGAAGGCGGGCGGCGAGAAACCGCGCCGTTCGCGCGGGCCCAAGTACTATGTGTTCCCGCACTCGGCCTGCTGGGTGCAGCGCGCCTCGCCGTGCGCCAACTGCCGCGTCGTGGCGCGCCTCGACCGCGCCAACTACGAGGTGCACAAAAAATGGCCCTGTCTCGCACACTGGGTCTACGGCGAGACCATTGACGGCGGGCTCCAGCACTATGTGACTGTGACGTCGCCCGAACACATTTTGGTTGCGGTGCCGCCGGCGGTGTCGCTCCATGATGTGTGTTTCCTTGGGCAGATTGCGGTGCCGTTTTATGCCTACTGCGTCGATGTGCTTGAGGCGGCGGTGCGCGCATGGCCGGCCGCCCGGATTCTCATTTTGCTCAACGACGCCGAACGCGAGGCCAACGACTGTCTTTTGGTGCGCCACCATCTTGGCCTTGAAAACGTGCACATGACGTTTACAGACATGGCGCGGCTTGAGGCGACGCCGACGCTCGTGGAAAGTTACGCCGGCCGTTTTGACCATGTGCTAGTGTTTGCTTCGGGCGAGCGCGCGGCGCAAGTGGCGGTCGACCTGGGCATTGCGGGCGGCGACTGCCGCGCGCGCACTCTTGCGTTTTTCTCGCGCGCCGTGCCAGCACATTTGGGCGCCTTGTCTGATCGCACAGTGTACGAAGTGCGCCCGTCTTACAAGGACAAGTTTCTACTCGAGCAGCTTTTGGCAACGTTGGCCACGTTTAACGACAACAGAGGAAGAAAGTCGCCGAGCGAGGCGTCGGTAGACTCCAAAACCTCCACTGGGTCCAAAAACTCCGCCAGAACAAAAAATTCCATTGGGTCCAACTCCATAGGGTCCAAGGACTCGGTCGCATCACACCAATCTATTGAATCGAGGCACTCAGTGGCCTCGAAAAACACTATCAACTCAAACCACTCGATGGAGTCGACCACTTCGGTCGGCTCGCAGAACCACACCAAGACGGGCCGCGCGGGAATCTCTGGGCTCGCGCCCGAAATTGTGCGCCCGCCCCGAAAGGGCCATGTGTCGTGGCTCTACTGCGACCAAGATTTCCATCTCTGCAATGACGACTCGTGCAACCACGGCCCGCAATGCCAGCTGACCATGTCCATAAACCGGATGTTGCACTCGGGATGCGAACTACGACGGGTATTTTTCACGAATCGACTGGCGTGTTCGGCGAAAATTAATGCGTTGGTGCTCTAACGCGGTCGAAGGTGGCCAGGCCAGCTTGAAGTGTATTTGAACTATAATTCGATGATTACTAATGCCTCTGGAGTAGCCCATTTCAGCGGATATGTCTGTAGTCTGTATCATCCGCAGCATCTGCGGTTTTAGTAGTTTATCGAAAGACGGCGAGACAAATGTCAAGGCAACTAGTCAAGAAGAGTGACTAGCGCCACTGCGAGTCTAAGAGTCACATGGTAGATTATCAGAGTCGGCGTGTTCATCTCACAGCGACCAGACAACAATGCATAGGAGACTGCCTGAGCGACAGAAACAATACTCAAGGAACAACTACAGGTCTCAAGAGCACCTAGTCGTGTCCATTGTGCTCCTTGTGTCGCTTCCGAATGACTTTTGCCCATGCCCGAACTTCCTTATCGTATACGCCCTGAGCCACGCCGTCCAACAAAGGTTCTTGCAAGAGTTCCTGGGGTGACAGGCGCTGCTGGTCGTTTTTGACCAAACAATGGTCCACAAAATCACACAAGTCCGCATTGTACGGCTCATGCGTATAGCGGTTTGATTTTCCCGTAAGAGTGGGCGACTTTTCGTTGACAATACGCTGTAGGAGATCCAAGATGCCTTCGGGCCCTGCGGGTCGAGAACCGCCATCGTCAACGTCATCTTCATACCATACTCTTTGGCCCGAGGCCAACTCGTAAAGCATAAGCCCCATCGACCATACGTCGGACCTAACTCCGTACGTAAGACCCTGAATACGTTCTGGAGACATGTAAGTCGACGTGCCAACAAAAGTGTCGGCCATAGCAAGAGAATTGGTGAGCTCACGAGAAACACCAAAGTCGCAGAGCTTAAAGTCGCCGCGATGCGTCATCAACACGTTGGAAGGTTTGATGTCGCGGTGGATGATGCGGTGGGTGTGGTAGAGATAGTTGAGCCCCAGAAGAATCGCATACAGCAATTTGCGGAGCACGAAAAGCGGGAACTGCGGCGGATCGCACAACTGTACAATCTTGTCGAGCAGACCGCAGTTGCAATACTCCATGCAGATGACGATGGCATTGTTGGACCGCGCAAACGCCCCGTAGAACTCAATGATGTACGGCGACCGGCACTCGTGCATGATGCGGAGCTCGCGGATGATTTGCGTTTGCACTTCGGGCTTCAGGTCCACATGGACGATTTTCTTGGCCATGGTTTTCAGCAGCGGCACATGCACCACCTTCAGCACCACGCCGAAGTTGCCGGCGCCCAAGTCCTTGAGATGCACAAGGTCCTCGTCGCGAATGCTGTGCGACGAAGACACGGTCGAAACGGGCGTGGTGGGCAACGGAGATGTATGCGAAGACGCCGACGTGAAGCCGGGCAGAGACGCCTCACGGGGCAGCGGCGTGTACACGGAGCGCGTGGGCGAGATGGAGCTGATGACCGTTTGGCGTTTCCGCTGCGTCGACGCCGCTCCGACAGCAGGCTCCGCCAACTCCAACCCTTGGAGACTGTCTATGATGGTGGGCTGCGGCGCCTTGGACGGCAGGTGCAAGTTGAGCAAGGGCGCCGGGCGGAGGCGGTTCTTCTTTTGCAGCAGGTCGAGCCGCTCAAAGCGGGAAAACTCGCCCGAGTAGTCTGCCGGCGGAGCAGGCAGCGGCGGCGTGAAGGAGAGGTGCTTGACGTTCTTGCGGTTGAGCGACTTGGGCGCAAGCAACGGCGGATCCTCGCCATGCCGCGTTTCCGACGGAATCGGCGGGAGCTCTTTCTCCTTGGTAGACGCTAGTGATGTCTGGGAAGTATTGGGCGCTTTGAACATGTGGAGACAGCGGGAGCAGGAACAGGGAAGAACAGAGAAAACAGGCCCGGATGGCTCGCCTCGAAGAATGACACACACGGCACGGCGATGTGAGCTAGTGGGTGGGCGGCGAGAAAGAAGCTGAACGCAATCTGGAGGTGTGTTTGAGATTACCGTTTCGTAGGACGCTGGTTTTGGGATGTACGGGTGCAGGCCCGGCGCCTCACCCCAGTTTGCTTAGGTATGTAGTGGGCGAGTCAAAAAAGGGAACGGTTTGACAGGACGAGCGCATAGTGACGGTGTCAGGCTGAACACAGTGGGCCAAAACGCAAAGCAAAATGAAAATAGAAAAAAAAATAAATGTGACGACACTAGTGATGTGGAAGCCTGACGATGGCCGCCTGCACACAGCCCGATTATTGGCACGCGGCTCTAATGAGATTGGTGTAACTTATCCGAACGCATCAATTGCATGCATTTGAGCACCGCACGAACTCAAGTGCGGTGACGAAAGGCACTTGCTATGCATACGGCCGCAGAAGGCATTTGCACAAGTGGATGTGTTAGCATCTTGTGGCTGTGGTAGCGCAATGCGTGGTGCAAGCACCATTAATGTGCACCAGCAGAATCACGCTTGGTCGTAAATCGTGCGCGCCGCATTGGCGGCGTTCAAAAGGCCCCTACGCAGCGCTTGGCAAGCATGCGCGATTGCCGAGGAGAATCAACACCGACATGTGATAGCTTGCGATAGGAGAGTGGCGCCACGCGCCGTTGGAGAAAGTGCGGGCAATGCAGGTGCGTAACCCAATGCGTACTGAGCCATGCAGCGCTTCCAGACGCAGTCTTGCAGACTAAGGGGCCACACAAGTTTTTTGTGCGTGCGTGTGCATTTGATGCCTCCACTGTAACGTGACAGAAGGCATCAACGTCAAGAGGATCAGGACAGCTTCTAGAAGACTGCGCCCATTTTCTTTAATCACAGAGTTTGGCACATCAATGCCTTCCCACAATAGCACTATCTTTGCATATAGAGTGCGTTAACACAAACCAATCAGTGCGGCAAGATGTTGTCTGATTCCTTTTCTGTGGATGTGCATCATGCTCGAATCGCATAAACCTTCTGGTTTAAGCTGCGCTACAGAAACTCCGGAGAGTTTAGTCAATAGAGCTAAAAAAAAAGAAAAACACCTTGATATGAGCTCTGTGACTTGACTGAAGCTTACTCTTGCCCTTTTCATTGGCGTAAGCAGGACATCATGCATGTTCAGCATACGAGCACACGTTGGTTTGGAGAAACAAACATTGCTAAATTAGATTTAGCGAAGATGCCAACTTGACGTGTCTCACACCGTGCCTCAGGCACGCCCCTGATGCCTAGTTGCCAGAGACTTTTTGGACTACTTGTGTATCGGTGTAAAAAGAGTACATACTTGTAGCTGTTGTAGTCGTCCTACCACCTACATGAGTATTTTTGTGTAACGAGAACTTTCATCGAGGAGCTGAATGATTAGTGTGGTGTGGTTCGAAGCAGGGTTTCCTGTTGACTCGAAGAATTGGACTTCGCAGGAGACAGGTTGGAGGAACAGGGTTGATTCGGTACTCTAAATGGATCTAGAAGCGGAATGAATACCGAAGCACTAATGCCTCCTGATGCGGTTTCTGGCAACTTTCGCCCTGCTACACGGTAAATGTATACGTTAGTCATTATCTAGATGTAGCTAGTCTATGGTACCAAACATGATCCTCCGTAGCAAGTTGCGGATCAAGCATGGCGAGTTTTCACATTCGGCCGGTGTTTCCAGGGCAACCATGACGGACCGATAAACTCGGTTCCTGTGTGTCTCATCCTGCCTCAACCTGTCCCGTGTCAGCTGGCCCAGCTGTGTTTGCGGCGCAACCGGCCGTCTCAGCCTCTACATTGTTCTCGTTGTCCCTATATTCCTTCCCAATCATGGCATGCGGTCCCGCATGATGCCCGGCCGCTGGAGCCCGTGGAACTGCGCCAGATAGCTCGGGTCGTTGGGCATCATCTGCGGAAGCGCCATCTGGCCTTTATACATATCCGGCGGCTTGTACATGTCAGGCGGCACAACCTGGTAGCCGTAGGCCATCGAGTAGTCGGGCGCCACCGGCATGCCGCTCATCATGTGCGCCTGGTCCGCCGAAATAAAGCCCATGGGCGGCACCAAAACCTGGCCCGGGTCCGGCATGGCCGGCTCGCCCAGCACGCCCGAAAACAGCCCCAGCTTCTTCTTCTTCTCGCGGCAGCTCGCGCACACCTTGTGTTTCCCCTGCTCCGCCGGGTTGAGCGCCTTGGCGCACCGGTTGCAGTTGCCCATGCGCTCTAGGTTGGTGCGCCGGATCTTGTCGTTCTCGCGGCATCGCTGGCACACCTTGTAGGCGCTGCTCAGCATGCGCGAGCCGTCGTTTTCGTCGTCGATAATCAGCGAGTGGATCGGGCCCAGGCAGTGGACACACTTGCCCTGGGCGGCTCTGCTGGCCTTGCGCACGCGCAAGTTCTGGCGGCACTGCGGGCACAAGACAAACTTCTGTTCTTGCGGCGGGATCTCCAGCCCGCAGCGGCGGCAGGCGCCATGCTTGTTTTTCGTCTTCTTCTGCCAGCGCCGGCTGCGCTGTCTCTGCAAGTCGCGGCAGTGGTGGCACAACTTGAACACTTTGGGCTCGACGCCCGACTTGGCGCCCGTGCTGTCCTTGGGCACAATGAGATGCTGCACGAAATCTTTCTTGCAGCGCGAGCACTTTGTGACTATGCTGTCTTCCGTTTCGGCCTTGCGCAACTTATCGTCGCTGTTGGCGATCTGCTGCTGCACATGAAGCGGAGGGATGGGCATGACAAGCCCGTTGCGGGCGCCTCCGGCTGCTGCTGCTGCTGCTGCCCCTGGCGCTACTGATGCGGCCGAACTTGACGCCGACGCACTCGACTGTGCGCTCTTGGCAATGTTGCCTGCAGCCTGGCTCGGTGCGGACGCATTCATGTGCCCAAACTGGTGGTAGTATTTGCGCTTTTCGTCCGAAGCCATGTCGTGCGGAACATACCGCGGGTCGTCCATGTGCTCAGACGCAGCTGCAGGGAGCATGTATGCGCCTTGGCTGTTCCCAACTGCTCCTCCACGCACAGAAGAACTCGTAGGATAAAGCGCTTGCGGAAATGGATACTTGAGGTCAATGTTGCCCCCATGGCGGTATCCGTCAGGCTCTTCGTACAACATTCGCCGCACTGGGTTGATGGCACCGGCTTGCTTATGGTCAAGCGGGTCCGTCACGTACTGCTGGTCCATTAGGCAACTGGTGCTGATATGAAATATGCCTCTCTATACGAATAGACCTTGTAGTTGCAGTCTTGAGGCCCCAGAGGAAAAATACTGGTTGCGTTTGGGCACGGGGCCGTCCATTGCTTTTATTTACTTTGCTTTGTGTGGGGCGCCTGCAGTCCCCAAACCCTGCCTCCCACAAGGCAGGTGCTCAAAGTGCGTGCAGGGACATGCGCAGGCCTCTGTGCACGGTGATGTAATGGGCCATTCTATTGTTCTATTTCGGCGGGGTGTGTCTGCACGCGCGCTTCACCCGGCGGCACATGGATTTGCATTACATCCTTGTCGAGACCCATCTTCTCCATTGTGCGCCCAAACATTTGCGGGCGATAAGCCCCAGGGCTATATCCAGAGCCATGCTGCTGTATTCCTATATGCGCCATCTGCCACGAAAAACTGCTCTGTCTGGTTCGGTCCCACCTCACATGGACGTAGCCAAGTTGCTTTCTTTTTCTTTTTTTTTTTTTTTTTTTTTTTTTTTTTTTTTGATGTGTTTCTTTCGGCTTTCCGTCAGCCCGCCGCTGCACGGATTGCATAAGCACGCGCAGTGATGCCTACTATTTTCCCAATTAGAAATGTCCCACGTCAGAACCCCTGGCATGGCCGTGCAAGGCACAATAGTCATGTGCTTGCGAGGCTGGTGTAGGCGTGCTTCTACTTGTATCTTGTTCCGACCCGTTTCCTCATCACCAACAAGCACGATGTTTTCATATCGGGGCCCGCATCTGGGGCTTGGAAATACGACACCTGTGCCTGACACTGCCCCACCTCATGCAAGTGCCTCTACAACACCAATGGGCAAAACCGCTCCGGGCTCGTTAACCCGATGATTGTTCATTGACTCTTATGTACAAGCTTATCCTCCTCCACGATCATCCCAGTCTCCTTCGATACCAAATCTGGCCCACCTCGCCGAGGCGAAACATGCCCAATGCAATCAAGCCAATGCCAATGCCCCGAACGCTCCGCTGAAACCACACGGGATGCTTCTTGAGATCAACCAACCCACTTTTGTTTCTGAAGGGCATTGGCGAGAGAAAATACCCTCCGCCACCGAAACACACCATCAGCTGGATGGCGGTGCAGGCCATGCAATCTTCAGAAGACAAATCGCGTGCAGGGGGTGGGTTGAACGCTCCTAGGATGTTAGACATGATGTAGTTACTCTGTAGGCTCACTTGCCACTGTATGAAATGTTTTTTCCAAACCTAAAGTTTGTTGGTTGGAGTCAATGCGAGCACAGAATGCAGGCCCGACACGGACATGAGCCCACTTTACAATGACACAGCAGCCCTGGTCCCAGTTCGGAGCCCCAGATTTCCAACGTTCCAGATTGGCAGCGCCACCAGTTTCTTGCATACGGAGAATATAAGGTCGACGTTGGGTGCCTGTGCCTGGAAGATCGCGCCGTTAATGCACTGCTCTTTAAATGCGCTTCGCAGACACCTGCTTTGTACATGCTTGCAGCGTCCGCACGGGCGTTTCGGCTGCCGCATCAAGGGCCCACACTCGTAATTCTTTCGGCAGTTCCGATTTTGTTTTCTCTCTCCATCTCGTAACGTGATTTCCAAAGTTGGCTCGTACCGACCATGCCTCGTCACTGTACCTCGCGCTAAATAGGCTTTTTCTGCTGTCTAAAGGTGTGTACATCGAGACGCATTGTGACGTTCGAGAAAAAAAAAAAAAATTTAAACGGCTATTACTAAAATGAGATTATAGGGGACCAGGCTGTGCCTGCGTCAGACAGATACGGCGCTAAGTCTTGCTTCAAATATTATCTCGGGTTTGGCCGCTTCTTGTGGTAGTTGTGTACCCTGTTCTTCGGCTACATACACCGCATCTGATGTTATGCTTGCACATCCTTCAAAGTTGGATAGACATGCATCTATCGTACGTCTAACTTTGTTGGGTTTGAGCCAAATGGGGTCCCAGCAAGATGTCGGCGAACAAAGTCATTTTTAGAAACACTACCGTACATGCCGCAACGGAATTAAAGCTCCACGGTTCCGTGCAAAAGTCGTTGCTCGTAGATTTGCTTAATGTATTTGTCTTTTGAGAGATTAATAGGGGCATTCTCCAGAAACGTGGACGGAATTATATAAGAAAACGTCGCTTGGGTACATGGACTTGATTCTTTGAACGCTCGATTTAAGTACTAATTTTTTTTCGAAAATTTTGATCCAACGCCGACATCTTGTTGAATTATCAGCTGCCAATCTCGAGTAAAGTCCATTTTAGCGTGATAATGAATTGAAAATGACTGCAGCTGATCTAAATCTACCGTGACTCTGATTTGACCCGGATATCCTGGCGTCACTTATTCAAGTGATCTACCGAACCTGCTACTCCTAACTGGACATTTTTCGTGGCTTTACGATCATTGACTCATAATTTTTGTATTTCAAACTGGTCGGATACGTTTGATAAAAAATCGACTGGTTCAAGTGAACGCTGCCTCGCATGATTGACATACTCATTAAGTTAAGCAAGATTGAGTGGTAGCATACAATGAGTTGAGGCGACTACAAGATTGAGTGAGCGGTGTTGTGACGTTGAGTTGAGGCACATTTTGCAAGCGGGTGATAGTAGCGAGTTCTGGCTACTACGAGCACGAAGCCGAGGAGGATCACTGCCAATGGTATGGAGCAACGAATCAAGACATCAGTCGGCATCGAGGTGTATGGCGGGGGAAATTTTAATGCTCACCATATATGTTTTCGAACATGGCTCTTCAGAATAACTGACAACTGTACCCGTTCCTAAGTCAGTTCCTGGTTTCCACATATACTCGGAAACAAGTATATAAAGAAGGTGGACGTGCTTAAGTCCACCCAAATCGAAACTCAGGATGTCGTTCGCTGGGGTAAATTCCTGGTCTAATATAGTGTGGATGGTCCACTATCAGCACTCCAATTACATCTAAATAAGGATAGGCTGTCCTGACATTTAAGTCCAATATCCTTAAATTATTTTCCATGCTGAGTACTCTACCACGTGAAATGTAGACAAATCAGAATTTTGATAAATGTAGCTCTACAGTCACGGCATTGGTGCATTTTTATCTCGAGATTTCTTTCCACCTTTTCTTTCCATTTTTGTTTTCCTTCTTTCTTCAATCTTTCTTCAATCTTTTCTTCAATCTTTTCTTCCATCTTTTCTCTCCATCATTACTTTCCTTTTACTCTAAATCGTACTATTTCTCACGATGAATTAAGGCCCAATCCTATCAGCATGTATAGAAAACACCCGTGCACCAAATGATACTACTAAATCGGTTGCTCCATCTTTAGAATTCACAATCATGTTTCGCCAAATCCTCCGAAATACGACTCACCATCCGCCTCGGGCCTCGGTTCGGCTTACTTTCGGCCGGAAAACGTCCTACCAGTATCTGCATTTTCAAAATCTCCAGCCCAGACCGTCCCGCTTGAAAAAGTTTCTCTACTTCAACTTTGGGTTGGTTACTCTTTCAGTTGCCGCCTATTACTTCTTATGGCCCAAACATACATTTCCCCTGCCCGTAGCAAAGATTTTGCGTAAAGGTTTGTGGGCAGAAAGTGACAAGGGGGAAAAAGATTACCAATTGGCCCTCAAGCATTATTTGGAGGCCTTAGAAGAATGTGACCAATTGGGGATGGACCCCTTATGCGATGAGTATACGGGGATTCAGTTGAAGATCGGGGAGATGTACGAGCGTCTTGATATGATGGACGAGGCAGCTTTCACATATAATGAAATTGCCACTTTATACTTGAGTGTTCTTAAAGCTCCGGCCGATTCCGAACAAGGCAAGCGGATCAAAAACATTGACCACCGGGCACACCTCATTCAAAGAGATTTGCGCATTGCCTTGAAGTTAGTGGAGCTTAATCGTTTGAGCCCGCTGCTTTCTAAAGCCATTTTGATCACGCATCTTTTGATTGCGCAGGAAGAAGTTAACCGCAAGTTGGGTGTCTCAGGCAGCCCCGCAACGTTGCTGGACTCTGGTTCGATTATGATTCCTGGCTTATCTGGAGCAAATGTCACAAAAGCAGGAAACGATGGAGACGAAGCGGAACTTCTCGTTCTTGAAACGAATCCAGAGGCTTGGGAACCGTTTGCTGATGAATTCTTCAACGGCATGGACCTTTTATCAGCCATTTGCATCTCTGTGGGCGACATTAAATCGGCTTCGGGCATCCGAATCTCCATGACAGGGAAAATGATTCTTGCTGGAGTTTCGCCAGAGAAGCTTTTGCTTGCACAATGCAACACGGCGTCGTTGTTTTACTTGCAAGCCGAATATCTACAAGCAGAAGAACAGGCTTTAAGGAAAAAATTTGCAGAGGCAGCAGGTGTGGACTATGCGAAAGTCAAGGCCATCCATGATCCATTACAACCCATTACGGTGGGTGAAGATGAGGCCAATGAAATTCGGGCGAAAATCGCAGAAGTGGTATCCGATGAAGAAAAGAAAGAGTATGAGGAAATCGTTTCCAACAAAGAAAACTTTCTTCGCATGGTCATGTCGACATACGACTCCGTTATCGTAGGAGCTAAACGGTTGCCTCCTGAGACAGTTAAAGAAAACACCACGATTGCTGAATCTGTCGCATTGGCCACTTACGGATTGGGTGTGGTCAATTTGCATCTCTCAGAGTATGATAAGGCGGAAAGATTGCTTCGAGAAGCACGTGTGCGGTCTAAGGCTTGTGGTTACACCGCTTTAATTGACGAGATTGAGCGGGAATTACAGAAACTATTCAATGAGAAAAAGAACATTGAGAAAAAACAGAGCAGCATCGAGTTGGATATCCACATGAATCATTGATATGTTAAGAGCTGTGAGGTTAGAATAATTTAGGATAGGAAACCTCTCTCAATACAGAAGAATTTGTACAACTTTTCTGAAGCATTTATCATGGCCCTTGTAGGAAACTTAGTTGGTAGTTCTGAACTGGTGTAAGAGGACTTCCGGCAACAATAAGCTGCAAATAAGATGATTTAATACTTCGCTTATACTCTCATAAAGACTTTGATACACACTAACACAGCCCCAAAGACTCTCGATATCGTGACTATCTGCTTAAAAGTTCTGATAGCCGTGTTTACGCGTGAACAAATTGATTATAATGAGCTCGAAAGAATATATGGCGATTTAGGAATATTTCATCAAGGCATGTTTGCACTCTACAATATGCCTTGGATTCTCCTGTGATTGCATACATTTCTTGATGGAGTACTCAGAACTTTCCAAAGCCAATCTTCTTTAATCAAATCCTTTCAACATATATGAAGAATGACCTTACGTCCTTGAAATTTGTACTTTCAATGCATTGGTTATGGAAACCTCTGAATGTGCAAAATATATAGCATCAATATTGTAGTATCAAATGTCACTAGTCATGGACCGATCCGGTGCGCGCACGCAAATCGGTGCGTGTTCAAAAACAAGCACCAACATTCATTGAAACATCAAAATATGGTCGTTCTCGCTGCCTCCATCTGCACACACGGCGGAAAAGCTCTTTTGGCCCGGCTGTTCCGTGACTTGTCGAAAGACAGAATCACGGCGCTTTTGGCCAATTTCCCGAGCCTTCTTTCGTTTTCAGGCTCGCACAATACGTCTGTCGAAGACGGCGCCGTTCGGTATGTTTACCAGCCATTGGAGGAGTTTTACGTTGTCTTGTTGACAAACAAGCAGTCGAACATTCTCCAGGACATTGACACGTTGCACTTGTTTGTCAGTGTGGTCAGCAACATGGTTCGGTGTGTGGACGAAAAGGACATTTTTGACAATGCATTTGAGATCTTGAGCGCTTTTGACGAGATTGTCAACTTGGGTTACAAGGAGAGGCTCACCATGCTGCAGGTGCATGCATTTTTGGAAATGGACTCGCACGAAGAGAAGATCCAAGAGATCATCGAGAGAAACAAGGAGTTGGAAGCGACAGAGGAACGTCGTCGGCGGGCCAAGGAGATCCAGCGCAAGGAGTTGGCTCGCCGCAACGTCGAGCAGCATGCGGCCATGTTTGGCGCCAGCGCAAACTCCATGTCGTCCCAATCCGAGTCCTTTGGCTACAATTCGGCGCCTTCTGCGCCTTCTTACGAGGCACCACGCTACGAGGCGCCTGCGCCAGTGGAACCTGCTGCTCCTCGTGCCGTGGGCGGAAAGGGCTTGAAATTGGGCAAAAAACCTGCTCGTTCCGCTCAAACAGAGCAAAATCAGCCATTACTCACATCTAAAGCGCCAGTATTTAGCCCAGCTCCTCAGACTGCGCCACAGGCCGCCCCTCAGGCTGCACATCAGACGGCTCCTATGGCAGCTCCCGTTGCTTCTCGCTCTGTGCCAGCGCATGCTCAGGTTTCTGAGGCTTCGGCTTCGGCTTCTCCAGTTAATCACGGCACTGGAAAACTTGTGAACAACGGTATTTTGATCACAGTGAACGAAAAGATATCTGCTCAATTGAACCGCGAGGGCGGGGTTATCAGTGCAGAGGTGAAGGGTGATCTTCAGTTGCGTGTCAACGATGCCGAGTTGGCCCACTCCAAGATTTTGTTGCAGGTGGAACACAAGTCGGGAGTCCAGTACAAAACACATCCAAACGTGGACCGCGCATTGTTCTCAGGCGCTAGCACCATCGGCTTAAAAGACAGAACCAAGTCCTTCCCAAGCAACGACCAAAGTTTAGGTGTTTTGAGATGGAGAGCCGTGGCCAAAGATGACACTTCACTTGTTCCGCTTTTGCTTACGGCATGGGTCAGTGTGAGCGATTCTATTGCTGAAGTGACCTTGGAATATGAGTTAACCCCTTCATATATCGAGGCACATCCATCCCAGGACTCGTTTGACAACGTGCAGATCTTGGTTCCGATTGCTCTGGATGATGTAGAATTAAGACAATCCAGCACCGACGATGTGCTGTATGACGTGACTGAAGACGGGGTGGTTTTCACGGTGCCAGAGATCTCTTTTGATGCTCCCCAAGGAACATTTGATTTCACCATTCCAGCCAACGACGAAGACGCCTTATTCCCAATGGAGGTGCAGTTTGACATTGCACGCACAGAGGGCGTGACCGAGGCAGACAGTGCGTTTGGACAGGTCAGCGTGGTTGACGTTGTTTCTAACGACGAAGACGAGACGTCGTTGCCTTTTGACTTGCATCTGAAGTTGGTTTCCGAACGCTACACTGTGAGCTAGGGTTTTAGCAAAAAATAAATACACTTGAAGTCACAGATGCAGACATCATGTAGCATGAGATGCTAGCAACGTCGTCCGTACTTGAGGGAAGAATTTTCAGGTAATTGCGATTCAAAAGTGGCTTCGAAAGCATTAGTCTTTAGTAGGAAGAGACTACCTTGAAGTGCATGAGCGTGTTCTTCTCCTTTCTAAGTGATCATATCATTCGTGTAGCTCTGATTATTTTTCGCCAAAAGCTTTTCAAGTCTCATCTTATTTTTGCACAAGTGATTTGATTACTTTTCTTTTCTTGATTGAGAGGAAACGAGGAAAAGCATCGATGAGTTCATTTATTTTTTTTCGTGGTAAGCCTATCTCTGTATCAATAGAGGGATGTACAAGAATGTATGCACCTGAACGGTCCACATTTTCTTTGGGTGACGGTTGTTGCCATATGAGAATTTTCATAAGAAATGTTCAGTGTTCGTCATGGCCACACCATTTCTAAACTTTCCGTCATTAACGGCTTTCGTTAAAGCAAATAAATCCACTATAAAAAAAATAATATAAAGTTGCTAATAGAATCATTTCACCTCCTCTTTCAACTTCACATCGGTCTAGCGTGATAAATTGTTGCGTGGCTAACTTTATGATTACCCTACCAACATCTTTTGTTAACCGAAGCTTAATGAGGACGTACGGATCTTCTCTGTTACGTTGTTTGAAACTTTATCAGGGCGTATGTTCGTTTGTATTATAATAGCCTCTATACTACCATCAGCATCCCGCTCAAAGCCACGGAAATATGCACGGCTAACCCTTTTTCGTCACACAATTGTCGGAGCTCGTCCAAAATCTGGCGACGAGGATCTGTGCCCCAAGGCAGGTCTTTCACATGGCTCACAATTACATTTAGATTGGCTAGATCATGTCGGTGTGGGCAAAGTGCCGCAAGGGCTTCTAATTCTGAAGCGAGGTGCGGTGGTGTCAAATGGCCGTACAACTCTGTTCCTGGCGGGAGTGTTGGCGTCAGACATTCCACCACAAGAGCCTTAAGCGTGCCCGCGTCGACCAGCGGCGCCACGGCATGCCAAATGGCACTGTTTTGAGCGGTTCCCAGTACCAGATCACACTCGAAATCGCCAAACACAGCAATCTCAGCTCCAGAGCTATTATGATGCAACAAGTACGCCAGCGACGGATATGGAGCGCCACAGGCACCGCGGCCATGGCTGATTTCAAACATCGTCACCGTGAAAATTTCTTTCGGCGTCGAAAAGGGCAATGTTGGCTTCACCTTTCGAAGTTCAAGTAAGCCTGGCAGGATCAAGTCTGGCCACACACTGTCGTTGAACACATGATTTCGGAGCCCGTCTATGGTGAACTGCGAGCCGCAAACGGTCAAAGGAGCTCTTCCTTGTCGCTGGAGACCGGGCAGGTTAAGCACAAGGGCGGCAATATGATCCAAATGTGGATGTGTTACAAGCACACTGTGGACCTGGCCAATGACAGCTTGCAGCGCCGCGTATGCGCCTGAACAAGAAGATGTAGCTTCAAACTCTTTTGCCAAACCAGCAAACGGGTCGGTCTGGGGAACAGAAGTGTACTGTTCTCGCGGAAGAGAATCTTTATAAAGCGAAAGTGTGCGGAGCGGAACAGCGTCTGGGTCCGCTATGATCTGGGAGAGCGCAAAAATGCCTGCTCCGGCGTCAATCACAAGTAGCTGGGGCTCTTGCGATGAGATGATATCACTATAGGAGATCTCTGCGGGTTTTATGATGAGGGCACAAGTTCCCGATTCTAGCGGGCCGCCAGAAGCGCCAATAAACGAAAGTTCAAAGCTCATGGAAATGTGTTGTTTGTTTTTGCTCCATTAACGATTCAGAGTTGCACAGTCTACTCAGATGGACAGGAACTCTCAGGAAGAAGTTGGTGTAGCCCCACTATGAACAAGAAATGTACCAGAAGCTGTGGCCGGGAGTGATAAGAATTGTAGAACGAAGGTACACTTCAATAGATGCTCCCAGTTCAAAAAGGTATTGAGAACAGTTAAGGGAAGATCAGAAGTGCAGAAATCTGATGGTAGTCAATGCCACAATGTTTGTGTCTGGAAAAAGTTTCGAGGTGTTTGCAATGGGAAGCTCAGTGCCGATAAGTGGGTCCACAGGATATCTAATCTCTAATCTGTTCCCGTGTAGAGAACGTCGTGTATCAGATAAGAAGAAGCCGGCAGAAACAGCGAGGAGCAGAAGATGGTTCAGCAAAGGTCTGACCTTAATGGGAAGAAAAAAAAAAGGATAATCAGAAGTCTCCGGGCGAGGAATACCGTCAGTATATTTCCCGAGAAACGGCTGGAAATGTTGAGGTTGGACGCTAGCCGCTGCGCTTTTTAAAATACTGGCCTATGTGCAGCACGCTTGTACGCATGGAACACGCTTGGGCAATGTTCGCATATGCAACTATGTCTGCCTGGCCTGGTTTTCGAGAGATAAGACAAACGGCTCCTGCTCTTTCGAATCCCACGGTGGAGAAAAAGGGTTCTTGGACACTATTCTTGTCTTTTCCTGCTCTTTTAGTCGCTGCCTGAACTACGACTGTACTTTTCTCCTTCCGGTTTGCACATCAATCTTGCAGATATTTTTTACACGTGCGACAGCTGGCCTCCTTGAGCAATAGAGATTTTGGGAGAAGTCACCTTTGTGCGTGTGGGGTTGGGGCGGAATTACACTGAGAAGCTCGGGACGGGTCTAAAAAGAAAGAAAAAAAAAGAAAATATCCCCGGTTTTGAGTGGCCCTCCGCATTTACCGAACCAGTCCATGCGTTCATTGTGAGCGAAGATCATTCCATGCGCTCCTTCTATGCGGATGCCCCTCCGTGTTTTCCAGTGCTATCAAAAGTCCTGCGGGCTGGAACAAGACGTCCTGCGGGCTAATTCCCATTGTGGTGGTTTCCATGCATCTTGGACTGTTGGTTTTGCATGTGTGGGCATGCTTACTTACCAAAGAAGACGTCTTGTCTGCCCCGCTGGTCAAATCTGTCAATCGATATTGCCTGTCTCAACGTTTCCTGTCATATATGGATTGGAAAACGTCTTGAACGAAGCGGAAATCTGTCTAGACTGCACCTCACGATAAAGCTTTGTTCATACTAAAAGTCGCCCGATGTTCTCCTTTGTTTCTGCTAGACGGGCCAGTCCTTAACTCCGGGGCTCCTTTTAATAGTCATTGTCTGTCAAGTCACTAACTACTGATCACGGCGCCAAAATCCCACCATGTGGCTCCATCTACTACTATTCGTATCTGACAGTATGATTCGTACACAAGCCTATTCCAGCACCAGACACATTACCGGCCGACTTGGCGACACTATACCGGCTGACTAGGCGCCACTATACCGGCTGACTAGGCGCCACTATACCGGCTGACTAGGCGATTGCATCGGTTCATGTAGCTCAACACATTGTGTGCAAACTCGTATGCGTTTGCGTCCGCCTTCTCTTCGGCACGTCTATAGCTGCTTGCTTCCATAGCCAATCACCTTTTCCGCAAACTTCCAGCTCTGGTTCTCCACCTGCATGTCCTCGGCAAACTTCACCTGCACTTTCCCGTCCTCAAACGTCAATGTGGCCAATGTGTACTTGTCCGAGGCTCTGGCGTCTCTGTAGTACAACACACGCATCGAGTTCACAATGGCCTCACGGGCCTCCTCCTCGGTCACTTTGACATAGTCTTCGTCATAAGGAACAAGCTGTCTCAACAAGGGAATGGCCAAGTGCGCTCCAAACCCGGTGGCAAGCGCCAGCGCGCCGTAGGCAACGCCCAAAAGATCCACGTAGCGGATGAATGGGCTTCTGTCGTCGTTGAACCCAGCAACAATCACCGCGTTCCACAACGGATCCATCTTCAGTCTGCGGTTGTACAAAACACGAGTCAAGTACTCGTGGATGTGTGGGGCACGCAACTTGGCGCCCGTGTTGTCGTACACCTCTTCCTCTGTCTCCAACTGGTGCAAGAGGCGTTCAATGTGCTGCAAGTCCGAAATGTCGCCGGAAATCCCCACCACCGTCTCAGATCCCACCCGAATCAAACGCTCGATGTTGTTGAATCTGAGAAGCGACCCGTACGAACCCATGTGGTCGGCGGCAATGACAATGCCGTTTTTGAACTTGAGCCCCAAAACTGACGTTCCGGTGATGATCGGCTGTTGTGTGTGCATTGAAGGAAACTCAACAGAATTGCTGCATTTGGCAATGGATTGGTTGTAGGTGCCGTAAACATCATCACGGGGTCTTCCCCATTGGAATGGATCGTGATTCATGAGGAGCAGATTATGTAGTTGTGTATTTGGTGGCGATCGCCTTGAGACTTGGGTGTGCTGTCACGTGACTTGGTCAACACCTACGGGTTCCAAACTCAAGTAAGACAAAGCAAAAAGGAAGGAGAAATATATGGTCAGAAATGGGCGTTGTCTCTTTTGAAGATGTTTTTTTTTTTGTCATAAATGTGTTTGTTCAGTTTGTTTGAGAACTTCTGTGTGCGACGAATCTTTACAAGCTTGTACAGTCCATTCAATACATTGACATGGAGTATTGTAAGAACCAGAGTCGGAGAGCTAGGATTGTCAAATGTATTTCGGAAAGTGAATCTTAAAGAAAAAAAGAAGAAAAAAATAAGAAAGACAACAAAATAATCACACTTAGTCAGAAATCCTGATTTTCCAAGTCTTTCTCTAGCATCAAGTCTTTTTTTCTCGGAAGGATTTACTTGGTTTTAGCTGCTTGTTTTGCCTCATTGAGTTTCCTCTTGGTTTTTTTTTTGCCCTTGTTTTTTCACTCTTCTTGTAAGTTATAACTTCAAAGTGTAGACTAGTTGTTCAAGCTAACATTCTGGTATTTCGTATTTCCAGCACAATATTAAAGCCGAAAAACACAAGTGAAAATGAAAAGGGCCTGAAGTTCCTACATTAGGCCGTACAGATCCACTTCCATCAAACGGAAGTTCTTCTAGTAGCAATATTTTGCTTGACGAAATTGAATAGTCTTGTAACCTGTCAAGAAGTCAACTAGAGCTCGAAGATAACAGAACAAATCATGGCTACTACAGCCAAGCAGTAATGTCAGTTCAATCAATCTCAATGCAGTAGTTAATGCTTTGTTTGGAAAAGTCCTTCAATGCTTCCAAAGAAGCCATTCCTCATGATTTAATGACGTAAATTAACATAAAGAATATATACCCAGTCTAAAAGACAAGCTCGGCTCCACCGCTGGTGATTTGCTCCTCTTCTTCGGCCTTAAGTGGTGTGTATCTGAATCTCTTGGATAACTCGGACCTCAAAAGAACTTCGCCTTCTTTGAGCTCGATGGGTTTGCTCACATAAGAAGAGGCTGACTTGGAGAGCGCCGGTAACTTTCCTGAAGGAGAACAAGGGTGTGGCTTAGCGGCGCCAGAAACAGCGGCTGATAGTTAGTAAAGCGGTCTTTAGATCGGAAAATTTCCATATGGACGGAAATTACACATACCATGCAGGTGGGGTCCGCCAACAAATTTGATGAGCGAAATACGTTTCAACAATGACATGGACAGTTTCATTTTTGGAGAATAAATACGGAGTTGGTGGATAAAAAATGGAACCCGGGCACTTTTGTGTGAAGGTCGGAGGGAGTGCATATAGGTTCCGGGGAATACCCTGGTTTCTGTTGGTGGAGATGGAAAGTGCGGATAGATTTAATTCTGTACTATCAAATATACGTTCTTTTGATAAGCAAAATAATATTCTGTTGAGTACTAGCTATATATTATTGTAAAAACTTAAAATGTAAACTGTATTCTCACAACAAACCCACGAAGTCATGGTTTTTTTTTTCATAAGCTGGAGTAGATTTTCAGCCCAATAGCTTCAACGTTCAATAGAGCTATGGAGGTATTAAAGAAATTATATAAACGTGAAAAATTGGCAAACGATTGAACATAACAAAGGATCTCTTTGATTTTGATACTTAATTGACAGGAATAGCATCACCAAGGCTACGGAACCATAAGAATTCCTACTCAGCCATTTATTACAAGTGATGTACATGAGTATGATTGTAGATCACATCAGGAAAAGGCAGAAGATAGTCCACCAATCGTTTTAAACTGCTTGATGGGATGTATTTCTCTACCGTGTAACTTCTTCTGTCCAGATAAGAGTGAACGGACCTAATAAACTTAACTTTAAGTAGATACACAAGCTAAAAGTCGGTCAAAAATGTACTATGAAAGGTATGCCACATTGATTTCGAAAATAAACGCATCTTTAAAATAAGAGTATGGTGATAAGCTGTGGTGAATGATAATACATAAAGAACAGTCAGCCTCAAGCCACATTGAGCTTTGTCCCTAATATAAAAGGAAAACTGGTGAGCAAACCAAAAAGCACACAAACGGGTTCAAAGAAGAATATTACGAGGTCTGAGCTGAATCGTCTTCAATTGCAATATTATTTATATTTGTTGACATCATGCCTATTCAGTCTAGCCGATGTAAGGATAGCTCAATGCTCCAGTAATCAAGTGTCTAAATCTTGACATGGGTTGAATCACCTTCTTATACGGTCTATTTGTAGTCATGAATTGAAAGTATTCAATTCTTTAAATTCCATAATCCAACCATGCAAGTAAATTACTCCTTCTTTCTACCGACCACCCAATTTCCTCCAAACTTACACATACATTCGCATATGCTCTTTGGCCCAGTCGCACAGGCAAATGTTCGCGCACTTACAAGTTTCGTCCTAACAGCTACCATCACCAGTCATGAGTGATAAACTAAAAAGAACCGTGGCCCGGTTCCAACAGAGAATCGACAATAAAGATTTCTACGAGGCCCATCAGACTTTGCGCACCATCGCCAATCGCTATGTCAAATCTTCCCACTACAGTGAAGCCATTGACTTGTTGACGCAAGGACTGTCGATCTTGGCCACCAACAAAGAATACGGATCGGCGAGCGATCTCATCTCGTACTTGATCGATGTTTATTCTGAGGCCGGCATCCGCTGCGACAACACGGCCAAAGACTACAAGCTTAAACTTGTCGAGTTGATTTCTCTTTTGCCGGACTCGGACCCATCTTTGGGCGACTTGGCAAAGCAGGCATTGGCGTGGTCCAAGGGAATGGGCGGCTCCAAGTTTGGCGACTCGAGCTTGCATCATTTGTTTGGCACAAAGATGTTGGCTGGTGCCCAGACCCTTTCTATTGAAGAAGATCGCTACAAGATGTTTGCCTTGGCGGAATTGCACTTGATTCTCGGCACGTACGAGTCATTGCCGGTCTATGTGGACTTTTTGTTCCTGTGGTGGGCAGAGAGTGGAAAATCTGCAGACCCAGGCATTTTTGCTTCTCGTGCAGTTATCAACTATGCTTACTTGAAGAACATCAAGTTCGCTCGCTTGGCCTTGGACCGTTTTGTGGCAAAGTACAAGGAAACAGCGCTGCATGAAACCATAGAGGGCTTGGACTTCTTTGCTGACGCCGAACTTTTGAACTTTTTGCTGTTGCTTGTGGTGACTCTTGGGAAATTCGATGCCTCCGACAAATTCATGAAGTTGTACTCTCATTACAAGCCTCTTTTGGTTCAGCATGAACTTGTGGCTCCAGTGGAGTATTTGGGCCGTTTCTACTTCAAATTGCAATTGGGAAATGCCCAAGGAGGAAACATGTTGGCGAATCTCATGAGTGGGTTGTTTAAGTAGAATCTGAATGAATATAATGTGAGAGTGAGCAGTCTAGGGCTCTAATATGAACGGTGATCGAAAATCACCTAGCAATTTTGTTGACGTCGGGTTGGGGTTGAATGTATCCACTATTTCAAGCCGTTCTTGGATTATTCCTAGATCTCAAACCAGTCTATTTTGCGATGAAAATCGAAAAAATGTGAAATTTTCCCACTACCAGATTGGCATAAATAGTACATACATGGCCTCTATTGGTGTTTTGACTGGACATATGAGGGCAGTCATCAAATTTATGTCAATGTCAACGTTAAAGTACTCAAATATTCCGCATACACGAATCTTTATTCACAAATGAGTCAGCAGTAAGCAAGTTAACATGTTAGCAAGGAAAATTGCGAGTTAATGAAAGAGAAATCGTAGGAAGGTCTGATGAAATTACTAGAGCATTCACTGTCGATGGATGCAGAAGTGCTTCCGTAATTACGCCATCCCCCCGCCCTATTATTGTCAATCACAGATTCCAACATTCGCTTTGCCAACATTCTCGTAGATCCGTATCTCGGTTTCTTACTATAGAATATAAATACAAGCGCAGACCGCCGGGTGTGAATGTTTCACTGAATACACTACATGTGTACTCTTGCACAGCCAGTACACTAGTAGGCATCGCCGTGGTCTTTCACAATACACGACGACTCTAGCGCACTCGCCAATTCCGGCCGCTTGGCCTTTAGAAGCTCGTGCTTGGCCTCCGAGTAAGTGCACCATCTTCTTTGTCTCTTGTCTTGCTCGGGCCAAGTAGGACTCATATTCAACACCAACATTTCGTAGAAGTGGAACTCCAGTTTCGGCACCACCTTTTTCGGATCGAAATCTGCCTTCTGGTCTTGCAAGACCGGCGCCTTGGACCCCCGCATATCATATACCACTGGCAATTTCTCCATTATCCGGCCCTCGCAGCCGGCCTCTTCCCACGTTTCTCTCACAGCACTAACAACATAGTCGTCGCCTTCGTCCAACTCAATGCCGCCTTTGGGCAACACCCATTTGTCCTTGTGCACACTGGACAGAATCATCACCACTTTATCTTTTGTCTCATTGAGGCAAATGCATCCGGCAATCATGCGAGCGCCGGATTCCGGGTTGTAGCGCTGCGATTCACGGCCTGTGCGCGATTTGCTGGGCTTGACTGGAAGATTCTGGTTTATTTGTTCCATGGGGAAATGAGATTTGATATTCTCTTGAAATGTGGAGAGGATAAAGTGGAGGTCTGTGGTGTACGGGTGTGACTCCATCAATGTCTATCACTGATAGCCGAGAGAGCTGTGAGGATAGGAGGGAAAATAAGTAGAAATCCGTCACTTTGGGTGATTTCAATAAGCAGCCAGGCTTTCCGACGTACGAGTGCATCAGATACTCTCTAATTTTCCAACAGTCATGTCTATCATTGTCATTTGGTGTACGGGTGCATGCTTCTATGAGCGCAAAGGCCACAACACCAAAAGCTAGACAAGAAATGCAACTTTCTTCTCTTGCATTGGCACTATTGTGCACCGGACACACTTTGGCACATGGGAAACCGGCTCCAAAACCGGCCGATCTCACGTGGGAGCAGTGGCACATGAAGGAAGAACACGAGATGGACGAGTTTGATCCGCTGTCGTTTTTCCTTCTCCACGACTTGGAAAACAAAGGCTACTGGACCGAGACGGACATTTTGTACGTTTACGGCTTGACCCGTGACTCTGTCGTTGGAGACGGAAGCGGGATGGGCGAGCACGACCACAACGAACAGATTTCCAAAGAAGACAAGGATAAGGTGGTGCGGACAGTGTTGAAGATGGTCGACTCTGACCATGATGGGCAGGTGTCCAGAGAGGAGTGGATGGACTTCTCCAAGAGCAACCAGTTGCCAGATTTCGGTTTCGGCCCCGGCCACCACATGGACTTCGAAGCCGAATACGAAAACCACCACTGGAACAAGTACCACCGGGACCAAGACCCAGACGTGCACGTGAAACACAAGGAGGACATTGAGCACGAGCTTTTGCATCACTTGCATGAGATTGACGAAACGCACGATAAGGACGCCAATGCCAGAAAGCTTTCCAAGAACTTTGCTAGTCCTGTGCATGTGGCCAACGTTCCTCAAAAGTACTTGGCCAAGTAGCTGCGATCTGACGGATAAATGTGATGGGTTTGGACTTGGTTGAAGCTATCACACTGAATAATGCAATGATTCGCAGAGATATGGCGAAGTGGAAATGTTCGCTAAGCTTATCACATTGGAGTGTTAGAGGTTGTCCATTTTTCCAAGAGGCAACTCTTTATGCGCATTCGGTTACGAAACTTGAACTCCATACTCGAACAGGCTGCCTCATGTATATGGTTTATCGTCGTTCGTACAACTTAAAGGTATTTTATCTTGGCATGAACACTGTGACATGAGGTAATCTGCTCAGTAGATCTTATTAGGATACAAGTTCAATCTTCTGTCAAATCGTCATTGGGGAACTGTTAATTCTTTTGACCCAGCAAGTAAAGTTGAACCTCGTCATCAAGATTCTTAATTAAACATTTCGTACGTTTACTCACGATTCCTCTTTCGTAGCATGATCAGTGTAAGCCGTGATTGATTCACAAGGATGTGTCTTCACGTTTGTCTCTGATATTAAGGCTTGGTATTGGCAATTTACATCCCAGTGTGTATCCAATCGTCAAATCTGAAAACGTTAACATTCCCACAAACAACGTTCATGATTGGCGGATATTCTTGTATTGAGAGCCGGAAACATTAGGTCTCCGCTCGGTATGTAAGCGAGGGCATTATCAATGTCTGTCCACAGCAGTGTGTAACATCTATAAAGTTTGATAAGCCTTACTAGAGCCCCTTCCTTTGAGAAATATTGACCAGACTAGTATGTGGCCGCAGAGAGCAACAAAACGTCTCCATCTTGATTCCTTATATCTACATTATTTTGCCACAGCACCCAGAGCGCAGTCCCGCAACGATTTGAGGTCGCCTTCACAAGCGCCTTGGTTGGACGCATTCATTCTCAAGCAAGCTTCGTATGCCTGAAGTTTTCCGGCGCAAAGACCCTGGATTCTTTGGAAGACAGGGACACTGGTCTTGATGCACAGACTGAGGTTTTTCTGTTCAAGAACACAGTCGGCCTCGGACGGCGGTTTGGACATGCATTGGTGGAAGGCAAGAAACTGCTGCGGGCAATTCCGAGCAATATCTTCCATCATGATTTGGTCGAGAGCAGACATGGTGAATAGATGAGGGAAGAAAAGACGAATGGAATGAACTAAAGCGCGAAAGATATTGCTGCGACATGAATTCAGGCGCGCCGAACAAAGCAAGTCGAGGTGGTGCGAACAAGTCGAGCCGAAGAAGTAGGGCGCACCAGAGCAATCTGGTCCCGAACGTCAGCCGTTGTTTGTTAAGGCTTCTGCATTGACCTGATAATGTATTATAAGCTCACAATTTCTCTGATAAAGCATCTCTCAATATCTCTAAAAAGCTATCGCCCAACTTCTGTGTTTCCTTCATCAGTATTGTGCGCCCTGTCTATTTTCTATTTTCTGCGCCCTTTCCTCGCCCTTTCCTCGCCTCCACATATTCGCATCTACTCCATCGTCGCATCTTTGCATCTCTGAATCTTCATCTTTGAAAACAAGTCATGGCGCTTCCCCACATCAAAACTGCGCTTGTTACGCTCACGTGGTTTCCCGTGGTTTTCGTCGCCCTCGACCATCTTTATCTGCCGTGTCAGATCCACGGCTCCTCCATGGCGCCTACTTTCAATCCTGGCACAGAATCTCTCGCTAAAGATGTGGTTCTTCTACAAAAACATAGCGTCAAGCGGCCCGGTGCCCTTTCGCGTGGAGACATTGTCATGTTCCGGTCGCCGTCCGATCCGGAAAAACTCTTGACCAAACGTGTTGTTGGCGTTCAGGGTGACACCATAATACCCCGAGATTCGGCATATCCACGGAAACAGGCGCTCGTGCCTCGAAATCATCTTTGGGTCGAGGGCGATAATGCCTTCCACTCGGTGGATCTGAACAATTTCGGACCCATTAGTCAGGCTCTTGTGGTGGGGAAAGTTGTGACTGTGCTATGGCCGTTCAGTCGGATTTCTTCGAGTCTAGAAGGAGGACGGGATGCCCGCAAAAAGGCTGTGCCTTCGTTAGACGATTATTGACCAAGAAAGACAAAGGTGAAGTGCTTAAAGTCGAATTAGATAAGAGATGGTGAGTAGATACATAGGCGTTGGATTAATGGTATGCAACAGTAACTATAATGATGGGTATTAATTGAACTTATTATTTATATATCCAGCCTTTCGCTTTCCGTTTGGTTTCTTTCTCTCCATTCCAAACTATAAGCTTCCTATTCCAGGTCATATTCCGACCTTACTATTAGTAGCTTCCAGTTCCACTTGACGATTACCTTTTCTCTAGTTCCAACTTCCAAAGTCGCTTGTTTCTTCGCATCAACCACAGGTCTGCCCTGCTTTGGTTCCGATAAGCCTTGTCAAATTTCCCCTTGCGGTGCCTCATTGGCTGTGTTAATTTCAGCTCAGCTATTGTTTCAGCATGTTTGCATCGCTTTCCATGATAGTCGCCTTTGCATATTTTTCTTGGGACCCAAATGCCCAAATACGGTCGAAATGTCCATTCGCCATATTCCTGATCCCGGAGTCCATGCTTGAACTCTCTATTGAGAATCTTTTTCCACTCATGTGGGACAAAAGCTCGTTCACCTTCAAAGTACGTCCCCCTGGAGAGGTATTAGCTCTTCTATGTTGTAATAATGGTTGTCTTGCAACTCATCAACAGCTTATTATACCAAAGTGCTGTCTCCTTTTCCCGTAAGTCTTCTTGATACTTCTTAAACTCATTAGCTTGAATTTCGCCTACGGATGCCATGGTATGAAGATACTCTGAATCCACAATTTGGTGAAAGGCGTCGGTTTTTTCTGCAGCGTTGAAATCCTGTCCAATGGACAAAGCTGTGATATCAACATACATGCCAGAGTCAACATCGATAAACCTTGCGTCTATGGCATTCTCTCCATCGCCGTGACTTCTGTTGGTGAAATGTGGATTGACATCAAGAAAGTACAGATGTCCACCAGAAAATGTAGTATCATCGGTCAAGTCCACCACTAAAGTTTGATTGTAACGTGCCAATGATACAAGGCTTTGGAAAGATACTTGGACATCCAAGTCATCATCCCATGGCATATTGAGCCCGTTCCATGACCATCCTAAAAGTGATCCGTGAGCCAACCATGATACAATTCCCATTTGGCGAGAATACCTGAGCCACGCTTTTGAAAGACGGTGCATGATTTCTTGATGCTCATATTGGCTGTATCTTTCACGCTGAAAGAATCTCCAGTCAAAATGGAACCCATGCGGACCCGTTTCAAGAAGAGCTTCGTGGAAATACTTGAATCCATTATCCAGAATAGGACCTGTGACTTCAAACGCAGGTGTGTCTGTCGGTGCCGAAACATTTGCAGAAAACACGTATGGGTGGTATCTTTTCGTGCTATCTTCCATGGGTTCCCATTTCTGCCGAAGTATGTCGGCCATCAGCTGGAGATCTATTGTACTTTCGGCATACTGAGCCCAATACATTTGAACTAAGAGTTGAAGATCCCTTCTTTGGCTACCTCTTTCCAAATTCAAAATTGGCAATATGAGTGGAAGCCTTTCTTCTCCTTGTAATGGCCCCACGCCCAATAATGTCACTGTCCTTGGATATGGCGCAGTGTACATCAAATAGCTTGCGCCAATACTTCTGCGACTTGCTTCAGAAAACGGCCTGTCCAAGGGGCCAGAGATATTTAGGTCGGGAAATCCATCAGGGGCGTGAATGGGTTCCAGATTTCTATAGTTTAAAGTCACTAAATCATGCCAGTTGTCCAATTTACTTGGTAACCCGAGATACGTTGCCCAACTGAATGGAAGCGAGACATTAGCTCCAAAATCTGAAATAAGGAAAGCAAGCCAAAGAGCGGGCACAAATCTTGAATCATATTCCACGCTTAAACGAGCCAATTCTTGGTCCCATCCATTGTCGTGTAGGAATGAATGATTATCCCAAAATGGCCACGGTATAAAAGATTTGCGAGTTAATGGATGGCGGTTTTGGGAAAACGATTCTATATCGAGAACGGTGATTTCCCGTTCAGCAGTATAGTAGCCATACAGAACATAAATGGCAGTACAAGCGATGAGGATGGAACAGTAGAAGTGTATTCGCATAGGATTCGCACATTGATTTCGCAGTTGATTAATTTGCTTGGGAACATTCTTTGCCTGAATAAAATCACGGTGAATGAGATTGTTATGTAAGAATCTACAACTATTTTGGTTTGCTAATCTAGTGACGATTATTGAAGAAAGGTTCATAGACTTATCACTCACGAGATCCGAATGTTTGTGGTTCCGACCTCTTCTCTGTAAATCTGTCTACTCTTCGGCTTGACGTAAATTTACATAGCAGTAGTTTGCTCGTATCCAAATTGATCCATTCCGTCTATTTAGAACTAATATCAGTGTCAACCGAGTTCTTTACCCATTCCCATATTTTATCTTCCCACGGCAAGTTCATGAGATTGTCCGACAGTCAGAAACTCATGCCATCTGAAAGCAGAACCGAAAGTGCTGGCACCAACACCCAATGCAAAGCTACCTCAAGTCGGCCAAAAGCTCAGCCGCAACCCGGTGCAACTTGACGAAAATCTGCAGGTCGCCCGTCAACTCAACCAACGACTTGGGCACGTTCTTCGACCGCCGCAAGTACCGCTCCGGGTCCACGCCGCCCAGGAGCGAGCTCTCACGCCGCTTCTCCACCTGCCGCTGCACCAACGTGATGATTTCGGCAAAATACTGGGCCGCCACGCCCCAGCCATGCACCACGGCCAGCTCGCTGTCCGACACAAGCATCAAAGCGTACTTGCGCTCGCCGCCCCTCGCGTGCACGTCCCGAAGACTGAAAACCTTGGCGAGACAGAAGCCGCTGGCGGTGTCTCCGAAAAACACAGGCTTCAGCGGATCCGCAGCGCTTTCCACCGACAAACACTTCATCACTAGCTTCATGAGCGACGTGTAGATCTGCTGCGACGTCGGGTACTTGGTGGAAACCCACAGACAGTCACGGGTCTCGGAAACAACGCTGGTGGCACCGTTCGGAAGAGATAGGGCGCATGCGGCACACAGGGCCAGCAGCGAGCCGGGCCAAACAGACACGTGCAGTTGTTTCTGGGTACATAGCAAAGTCAGCGGGCCATGGAGCTCGCAGAAGTGGGCCACACAGAAAAGATGGTGGGGCATATGTGTCATAGTTAAGCGGAGGCCGGAGGTTGGTGTGGTGTGCAGGATGACACGACAGAATTTCTACTTGGGAAGTGCTTGAATGTAAATTGGACTATTGGAAGTGTATGAAGCTTCTTGGTGTGGGCCTGCGCTATTGATTCATGCCAAAATGTGCATGGGCCAATGTGTATGAAGTCTGAGCATAGACTCTGCAACCGAACCTGGAAAGAGAATCCTCGCACTTGCAATTTAGGATGATCATCGGAGATTTCTAGCGAATAACAATTCCATGAGTATATAATTCTTGCTTACTCTTTTTGAAAAATTAGTATCACGTTAATACCCACATGTATCATCTCGTCTTTTCTGACTTTTCTGTGGTCATCTTTCTATTGTCTTCTATTTTGCTTTCGAGAAATGGTGCTGATCACTCAAGTATACATGTTTTCTGCTCAGTTGCATTTGTCCTAAATGGTGTAGTCTGCTGAATTCCAGCAGCTCCTTCTTGGTCAGGTAAGTCCATTCATTTTGGACTTTTGGCTTTCATTGCCATAAACTCAAATGTACGATTCGGAATAACTTTAGAGCTACTATCTCTTACGATCGAGCTCATTTTTTGTGTTTGAAGCCTCTTATCGTTGGCATTGTTCAAGATTAATTGATTGATCGTATACGATTTTGTGCCATTTTGATAAGTTCTCGTAATATTTGAGTCATTGTGGCCTATATTTCTCATCCGTATCCTTCGATAAACCGAGTTTTTGATCAGCCTACAAAAACGTAAAAATTCAACTACGATAAAAAAAGTCTCGTCATAGTTGATTGTAATGCCTGCGCATGCGATTAAATATAATTTGTCTTCTGACACAAATAACTTGGTGATAATTTTTGATACTTTTGACACTATTTGATACGTTCTGAAACCATTCTATGATTACTCTGATGATTCCATCATAAAAAAAATTGGAAATCAAACATATCCTCTATTTCATTCATTTTCGTTCCCATCGTCTTCATCTTCGCATTCCAACTCCACCTATCTTGACAATAACATCCCTGCAGATAATCGAGATATTCTGAACCAGGCTCTTTCTCTGGCCTCCTCCTATCTGCTGGGTTCTCTCTTTTGCCCCGTGAAAGATCTATGATCGCCCTCCGAAATCTCCACCACATTGAGCTTGTACGTTTTCCCTTGGACGGCGATGCGTTCTTCACGTTATATACGGAAGAACAGCTTTTGTATGTGAGCGAAGTTGCTTCCGGCCTGTTTCTGTTTGGCGTGGTTTCCCTCTCTGTTTCCTCTGTTGAGCCGCTCACCTTCAATCTCTGGGTGCGAGACGGCAAAAACTCGCCTTGGCGACTTTGGTACAGATTGCGTTTGAACGTGGCCAGTCTTGTGCCTGTGTCCCAGCGGGCGCTTTCGGGCGACCACAAGCAGTTCTTTGCCGAAAACACTGTGCTTTGGTGCTTTGGCAATGACCATTATTGTGTCCGGGAACAGCTCAGCGAGAGGGCCCGCAAGAAGTCTCATGCCGACAAGCCATCTGTTACAAAAGCTTCGATGACTTTGGACGACATCCGCCTCATCACCCGTCTTGATGTTGGCGTGAGCGAGTTGCAACAGGCCAAAGAAAAGCTTGCGACGCAGATTGACCAAGTGGTGGCACAATCCAAGAGCCAGGCGCCCATATCTGAACAGCTTCGGGCTCTAAAGTTCAAGCTTCATACGCTCCATAAGTACATTGCTCGCCAACGAACGCTTAACGATACACTTCAGTCCGAAATCTACGCAAAAAAACTCCGCATTTCAAAGGGCCATCTGCTTATAGAGGAGGAATACCCGCAATTTCAAGAAATATACATGGACCGGTTGGCAATTGCAGCGGCGCAGGTGCCGCCTTTGCTTGATCTGTTGCACAAGTCAGTGTATCCTAACATTTTCAGCTCGCTTCGCCATATTGGATCGGTGCTCCAACAGGCTTTTCCCATCGAACTTGTGCTGGCCACAGGTCGCTTGGCATTGGCCGGTTTGGAATTCCCATCTTCCGTGGCAGAAATCCTCGACTTGTGCTACTACGGCACAGCTCCTCTTCGCCTTATTGGATTTTCACAACAAAAGGACGCAGATACCCAGCAGCAGCAGACTAATGAAATAATCAACGCCGGCCTTTCCAACATCGTGCTTCTCCTTGAAATATTGGCTTCGCTCATGAACATTACACTAAAATATCCCATGAGGTACTTTGGCTCTCGCAGCTGTCTTGTGGATGTACTTTCTCCCGAGAAGAAAGTTCTTCCATTGTATTACAACCCCGAACAAACAGAGAAATTTGCCTCGTATGAAAACTCTGCACGGGGATTTGTGCTCTCGAATGCGCCGTTCGAACAGGGCTTGACCTTGCTCAGCAAAAACTTATTGGTACTTATAACGGGTGTCACAGACCTTTATTCGCAATATTATCAGGACAAGACCAATCATCAGCTTGCAAATAATATTCCAGCAGATTGTCTAGACAATTTTCTCTGGAACCTTCAATATGTCTTACTTTTCATGACTGCAAGCGATCTTCAGCCTCGTGAGTTGGAAGCTGAACAAATCTAATACTAAGTCCATTCCTAATATAGTCATTTTCATTCTCAATACTCGTGAAGCGATGTGTCTGGAATTTTATTAACTATAACACAGATTCTGATGGCCCGTATTTATTTGAGGGCAACGGCTTGCATTGGTCAGGGTACATATTGAGGTTCTTCTCTACAATTATTGTAACATTACCATGACGTATAGTGCATATTTCCACTACAAAAGTAGAAGAGCGGCAGCACCAAGAACAGCACCAGCTGGAGCAATCATAGACGCGCCGGCCCCCTTGGATGAAGACGAAGAAGAAGAAGCAGAAGATGACAGATGGTCTTTTGTGGAGCTTCCTTTTGCGGAAATGCCGGCCTCAGCCTCGATTCTAGAGTACCAGGGCAATTCTGTGGCGAAAGACATCAACTGAGGCACATTGACTTGGCTGTTGTCCAAAAGGGTTGTGTATGAGTCGTCCTTGTAAGTGGCAACCTTAATGGCCAAAGAGGTCAATTGCGGAGGAACATTCTCGGCAGTTTTGATGAAACCAAGGTAATCTTTCTTGTTCAGCTGGAAGTCTCCAACAAAGGCAGTGAGAAACTGCACTTCAGACAGATCGGCAGCAGCAGCAGATGAAACAGCAATGGCACCAGCAGATACAAGGGTAGAAAGCTTCATTTTTTAGTGAAATGCGGGGTTAATTTCCTTTTAGTGTGTCAGATGAGCGGCACGAGCACAGTTGACAAGCAGAAAAACAGGGTATGGCAGCTCAAATAGAAAAGCTTTTTTTCTGAGAGATGAATGGAGAAGTAGAAAAAAAATTACCTTTTGCCCAGTATTTTATACTTCTGGGCTATACGATGAATCATGCCTAAAGAGGAAGAAGCGAAGGTTTGTTCGCACCATCCTGCAGGAAATTACCCAACGCGGCAACAGAAGTTCGCAGGGTCTGACCTACAATGGCTTTTTTCGGTAACTGTGCAAATTTTGTGTCAGCTAAGGAATTTTCATTTGCTGCGGGGATTCGTACCGGGACATCATCTGATGGGAATAATTCGATTCACATCTTATTATTTGATGGGACTTGGCAAATGGGTGGCACTGAACAAAGTAAGAATTACAAGTACAGGATAGAAGCAATAGAAGTACAGGAATAAGGAAGAATTGGCATTAGGGATTCGTGCATACAATATGATTACTAGTAGTATTGGCTGATTGGGTAGGCTGATCGAGCCATGGGGTAACTGTAAATGAGCGAAGAATGGATGAGAAATTAAATGTCATTGATGATGGAGAAATTCGTACATTTGAAAGAGGAAAGAAGTATGATGGGAGTAGTTAGAGGAATGGTGTGGGTTTTTGCGTTGAGCGTAATTGAAGGAGTAGAAACAGTAATTGACAAGTGGTTGAAGCAATAAGTTGATTGGAGCGTTGAGGCTATTGAAATATTGAAAGTACTAGAGTAACTGAGTACTTATGGAGTACATATCGAGTACATATTGAGTACTAGACTAACTGGGCTTGGAGGAATTGACAGCATGATAATTGGTCTTAATAATCGACTTTTGACGTAATTGACTAGATTTATGTAAAACTGTGTAGAATTGAGTATAATTGAACGAATTGAGTATAATTGAGAATTATCGAGCAAATAGAGCAAAATGAGAATTGGGCAAAATAGGGATCAAATCAATTGCGTAGTGTTAAAAGTACTCCCAATAGAAAGTCAATCATTACATAAACACTTTGCTCGACTAAAATCCTCCAGTTGCAAAGCACTTGGGTCATTCTCATGCAAGAAATGGCTCATAGTTGGACTGGTCCATGCAAAATCGCTATTTCCGATGCACTCCTGCTAAACCCGCGGAACACTTTCCACGGCCCAACATGCCATGTTCATGCAAAGATACAATGGGCTCAGGCAGCTACATTAGCCTTGGGCCACGGAGATAAGCGGAATCTGTCGGAGGAACCAAGTGCCTCTTGAATAATTTCGCACACTATGTCTCGGACATTACGAGGCTGAGGCTATGGAATTGAGGTATGCATGTCAGAACGTCTATTTTAGAACCTACGAGAGCATAGGCGGGTCTGTGTTTCAAGGCAGCAGGAATACCCTGTTCAATTTTTATGGATCCACGTATTGTCAAGAACCATAAGCAGAAGTGCTAGTGGTGATCAATTGATTTTCAATGAACGTAAAAGAATAGAGTATTAATTTAAATTATAATTGACAGGCAGATAGCAAGAGTACGTGGACCCTGCGTGAAGATCTTCACTAGCTGTATTTTTCCTAAACAGAAACTTTCTGTTTTGTTGACTTATGGTAAATAATTTACTGATTCATTACTAAGAGAGCATTTATTTGATAACTTTTGGGACATTTGTTGAAAAGCAAACGTTTGGGTTGCCACAATCAACCTACAAAAGCAGCAGTGACCATGAATCACCACTAACCGTTACTTCAAGCATAAACATAATACTACAATTATCACGTAAACAGCACATTGATTGTATATGGAGCTACTTAAAGCAAGGCGTTCACGACCATAGCCGCAGCCATCACAGCACCTCCGACACTTCCGGCCATTGCCTCGCCCTTAGAAGAAGAAGACTTGGAAGAAGAAGATTTGCTCTTGTGAGTCTTGGTCGAAGAGCTCTTGTGGCTCTTGGTGTCGGTAGAGCTGGAGCCCGAGGTCACTGCCGCGGTAACAGACGCAGAGTCGCTGGCAGAGTCAGTCTTCGACGCAGACGAGTCTGTGACAGAATCGGCCTTAGAAGCAGACGAGTCGGTCTTGGACGCAGACGAGTCGGCCTTAGACACAGACGAATCGGTCTTGGAAGAAGCCTTCGAAGAGTCAGACAGGTCAGCGGCCAAAACGACAGCAGAGAAAACGGCAGTGGCGAGAACAAGGTTGAGCTTCATGGTAAGGAAAGTAGGTGATGATAGGACACAGAGGTGTGCTGGACCCCGATGTTATATAGTCCGGAGAAGAAGATCGTGCAGGACCTTGACTGTAATATACGAAGCGCACATGCCAGATTCGCTGACAGCTTTGACGTGCAGGTGACCCCACTATATTTAGAGCACGTTTCTAAAATAGGGCAACACGGTAACAGAAATACGTCCAATATTGTCAATAATGTCAGCAAAAGGTTCTGCATAGCACGGCGCACAACGTGGTGCAATTGTTGTCGAAGCAGAAACGTTTTCATTACGGCTCTGGCTAGACCATGGTACCACCAACGTAATTGTGGCTTCTAGACCGTAAGCACGCCCCCCGCAAGACACAAGTTCCGGCGCGAGAAGTGCACCTTGTACACGGGCGTCTTTTTGGTGAAGTACGCGGTCATGTGGTCCGGAGTAGCCACTATCTCCTTCCTTTTCTCCGCCTTCCCCTCCGGCGCTAGCGTGCTATTATTTCCGGCGTCTGCAAATGCCTCTGGAAGTGGCCCAGCATCGTCGGTGCTGCGCCGCACGTCCCACACCCTTACAGAGTTGTCTGCTGCGCCGCTCACCAACACACTGCCATCGCGCGAAAACGCCAACGAGTAGATAGACAGCCGTCCGTGGCCACGCATGGACTTGAGACGGCGGCCAGAGCCTGCGTCCCAGATGTTGACCACGCTGTCTTCGCCTGCGCTTGCAAGCCAGCGGCCGTCGGGCGACACAGCCATGCAATTGACTGCACCAGTATGGCCAATGAAAACGCGTGCCGCGTGGCCCGTATGGACGTCCCACATGCGGCAGGTTTTGTCGGAGGAGCCCGTAAACACGTAGCTCAGGTTTGGATGGAACTCCACGCAGTCCACGTCGTTGATGTGGCCCGCAAAGATCCGCAACGGGTAGATGTGGTCTGTGGCCCAGAGACGGGCCGTTTGGTCGTGCGACGCCGTGGCAAAGTAGTGGCCAAGTGGCGAGAACTTCACGTCCCACACCGGCTGGTTGTGGCCCTTGTACGACACTAGCGACGTGTAAGTGTCCAACGACCAAAGGCGCGCCGTCTTGTCTTCAGAGGCTGAAATCAAGTAGCGGTTGTCGGGCGAAAACGACATACCGTAAACGGGCCCGCTGTGGCCAACCAACCGTCGTGTGTTGTCGCCATTCGCTGGGTCTCGCTTGACCACCAGTCGGAGCGGCCGTCCGTCAAGACTCCAGAGCTTGATGAAGCTGTCGTTGAAACCTCCAGCGACAAGGTTGCAGTCCTGGTTGAATTCCATGCATGTCATGCCGTTGTTGGTGTTGTGGAACGTGTACATGCACACAGAAGGTGCTGCTGCCTGGATAGCACCCAAGCGCATTTTCGACCGCAGGTCTTCCACCGCAAGAATCATGCGGCGGATGTCGCTGGCATCTTTCATGGGCAACGGCAAGGAATCGGGCGCAGGAGAATCGTCGTCAGGCGCCGCCATCTGTGCAAACTCTTCCACTAGTGATTTACCGTTCACTTTCTCTGTGGTTTCATCTTTGACCTTGAGTTCAGCCTCCACCTCCTTTTCAACGTCAGCGTCCAACGGCATCTTGCCAAGAAGGACAGGTTGCTCATTAAACTTGTCCACCTCGTTGGTCAGGGCGATATAGCCCGGAATGCCTTCAGCCGGGTTCGATGCACCTTCCTGATCGATTTTATCGGGCCGCGTGGTGGAAATGATTGGGTTGAGGTACTGGTTAATGATGCGAATCAACACGGTGCCGCCAACAGCCTCGTTCTCATGCAAAAAGTAGAGAAGCAAGTTCATGGTCGTTTTCAGCACTAGAATACGGTACTTGTTGCTGCGGTACGCCTGTGCCATTCTGTTTTCCCGCAAGTGTTCCGGCAACGAGATTCCTGCGAGCTGCTGGATCTCTAACCCGTGGAAAATGCGATGGTCGTCTTGGAATTTGTCCAAGAAGATCTTGGCATTCTTCACATGGCCCTTGGCCACCAACTCCAAGAAGCAATGCACGAATAACGGATACAACAACCGCAGCAACTCGGGCTTATACAAGTCCAACGACGTCTCCACCCACCCACGTAAGATGCTGTATGCGCGATAGTAGATATCGGGGTCGTTTTCTCGTCTCTGCTTCTCCTCTTCATCCTTCAACGCACGCAACTCCTTTTCTTTAGACAAGTGTAACTCGCGATCTTTCGTTTCGCGCAACTCCCGCTCTGTTCGAAGAACCTTGTCGCGGAGCTCTTTCAACTCGGGGTCGGCCTTGTCGTTTTTCTTGGAGATCTCGCCAGGGCCGGCCATCGACGTGGTTGCAGGCGACGGTGCCGGTACCGCTGGTGTGGGTGCATTGGAGCTCTCCAACCGAAACATTGCCTCTGTCTTGTGAAACCCTTTTTTGTTGAGGTACTCCATGACAATCCGGTTCAAGTCTGCCTGTGTGTATTGCTGCTGGCCGCCTCTAGGCTGGGCTTTCTGCTGGGCAGAATTTGCGTCTGCTGACGCTGCAGCACTGCCTGTCGGCGGCAGAATCAGACTGCTGGTGTTTGGGTTTTGTGCCATGGCTGGTACTATTATGTGTGTTTGAGTTGAGGTTGGAGTAACTTATGAGATGTTGGTGCGCGCACGTCTTTAGTTGGGAGAGAAGCTGGCAAGAACATTTTCTTGTGCTTAGATTTTGTACTGGTTCTTGTGGTTTTGTTTTTCTTTTTGGTACTTTTGTGGTTTATAGGTGAGATTGTGTGCTTCGACGTTTCTTGGTTTTTGCAATTTACGTATTTTTGCCATTTATGGAGACACGCGACGAAAGTAGAAGCTCAATAGAATAATGAGAATAATAGTGGCAACTTTGCTCGAATATGTGATTGACTGTATCACAAGACATTCGAATTTCACGAATTGCATTAAAATGAACTGTGGTAAATAAACTGTCTCCAAAATAACATCTTCGCAGATGTTCAAGCAATTGGAGGACTAAACTGTTGTATCTCAAATATAGCTCGTATTTGCCAGACTTCAATGGAACTAGCACCAATGCCTGAATGATAACAGATAACAACACTATCAGTTGATACACTTTAAGCATACGAAGTGTACTTAGCTTTGTGGTTGAAGAATGAATAAATATTGCCATTGCCTACTCATACTACCCAATGTATTCATGTCTGCCTTGAAATACCTGTCTTATTCATTGTTGATCAAGTATCGATTCTCTAATCTCATACGTTTTGGAATATCGTTCAGACCTCAAGCACTTCCAGGAATATTTTTTTCTTGATTAGTGAAGTTATGGGATTTAACACTAGTGCCAGTATGTACGAGTCTTAATTAGATTCACTCATATGGGAGCATATGTACTTGTGATAGAAGTGCTGGGGGAGATTGTTCCATAGCTTCAAACTGGGAACAGGACTTCCATTAATAGGCCTTACTCTTCTATTCCGTATCCTGTTCACTTCTCAGTAATGGCTCATGTATTCTATGTGGTCATTAGTCTATAATTCATGTCGTTCGTGAAAATTAAGTAACGTTTTTCAATATTGGCTTCGCCGTGTCCCATGGGCCCTGCAACTCGTTCTTGTACTTTTGCAAGAATACAAAGTACAACGGAAGGAAAACCAGTACAAACACAATGCCCAACAAGTAGAGGAAAACCAAGAGCGCTCCGTGCACCACATACAACATGGAGCTCACTATAAACATAACCACTGCTAAAAGCACATAATGAGCTGCTTGCAGATTCTGTCGGAGTCTATAGTCAAATACAGGCATAAGCACAGAAACCTCGATGGAGAAAACCAAAAAGCAGAATACACTCGTGGACGAACTGAGCCGAGACGCCAAAACAATGCCGTTAGCAAAAGACAAGTTTGTGGAGAGTATCGAGTGGTACGGCTGAGTAGGATCCAAGGCGTACTTATGGCACGCCGCATTGAGGCATGTCAAGAAGCACGAGAGGGCCCAAATGGAGTCCAGCGACGTTGATTCTGTGAGAGACCGAAGCACAGGAGAAACCAAAAGAAGAATCAGCAAAAGGACAGCGTAAGCTTTGAACTTGTGTCTTCTTCCTGTCACCACATCTGCCAAAAGCACCAAAAGCGAAAAGGCACTAGCAAGAAGTGTAGGCGCAGGCGGACGCCAGAGATCGGAGTAGATTGCTGTGAAATTCACATTCACAAGTAGAAGAAGCGATCCGTAGAGACTGCAAACAGAAAAATCGGCGAAAAGCTTGCGGTATGAGTATTTGGCCACGGTGGAATTGCGCTTGAGCTGATCTAGAAAGGACGCATCGGTGTAGTTATCAGGGTAGGGCTGTCGAAGGTAGAGAAGTTTTTTCCATCTCACTTTTTGCATTGGAGATGTTGGCTTGTCTGTTCTTTTACGAGATGTTGGCTTTGTCTGTTCTTTTGCGCCAGAAATTTCGCACAGGTAGATTTCTGATAAGAAGTTTGTGCAAGCCGAGACTGGGAAGTTCATGAAAGAACAAGAAAAACTTCTTTTACAAACACATTCAAATCAAAACTAGTGGCCACTCGCAGAAAAGAATCTCACAGAAATACACTGAACATCATACCCTCTTCCGCTGGCTTGGAATTTTATCACAGACAAATCCTATATACTTCCCAGGCGCCACATTCATAGCATGTCATACCCCTTTGGCTCTCACAACAAGCAGCTGCTGCAGTCGCTGATCAGCTCTTTCCCCAAATACCGAGATCGGTTGAGCCGCTCGGAAACCATGAACACAGACCTATCAACGATAGACAATGAGAGTTTACCTACTATTGACCAGCTCTCTACAGCAAAGGCTAGCGTCGCTATGCTGGACAAGCTCTGGACGCAGATTGATGTTTTGGATGACGTGAAGCTAATGGCAGAAGATGTGCGGAAACGAGGATCCTTTTTCAATGAAGAGTTTTCCACGCTGCTAGCAGAAATGAAGGAGGCGCAAAGAAGACTCCAAGAAGTGGTGGCTAGGCATCAAGAGGCCAACGAGCGCTCTCGGATCCAGCGGCACGAGCAGGCTCAGGAGATGAATCGAAACTGGGGATTGGCCGAGGGAGACGCCGAAAAGGAGACGGAAATCACCAAGCAGAAAATGAAAGAGTTTTTCTTTCTGCAAGACACAAACGAGCTGGTGAATCAACAGCAAGATTTCGAGGAGTTGAACGAGTATGTGAGGGAAGTACAAGACAATTTAATGGACTTGGGGCAGCGAATGAGGAATTTTGACGAAGCTACGAAGAAACTATGGTGAGTCGCCAAAACGAGCTGCAGAGACCCCAGGGATATGGTATTCTGAAGACTACTACACCCGTTAAAGAGGCTATGAGGAAGTTGCGATTAATCCTAGCCACTAGGGTACGCTACAGGCAATACCGAATATAGATTCAGAAACCTCATGAATGCTAAAAGGATGCTGCTAAATGCTCGATAATTGACATGTCTAATTTGCAATACTGTCAGAGCATCATCCATCCATTCTTCAAAAGACTGGTCGCTAAAAGGATCACTCCATGCTTCTTTAAGATGCCGTGTTTTAAGACGTCTCACAGAAAAAGTGATTTTGTGAATGTTCATGGGGAAACACCAGCAGTACGACACCACAGAACATAATGGCAGGCTCTTATCATTTGTTCCGCTGCCTATTATGAGCAAACGAAAAAACTGAGCTTTTACTCTAATAAAGAGATGAACATATTCCATTTACGCAGAGTTCTTTTCTACATGAGGCAATAGAAATCAATCAGCAACTGTCGGAACTTTGAATGAGCGGTAGTTGTTACACTACTAAGTTTGCAGGTACGTAGCTGAACCAGGGGTCTACTCAAGGCTGAACGAAAAACCTAAGACTCGAAACTCAGGATAGAAACTAATAAATTTTTGTATTCGTCCGAATTTGTAACATGCTTCAAACCATGCATAGTTCTAAGAACACATTGAGGTTAAATGGGTATTAACAGGGACGATCCAAGAGGGCCAAATTCTAGTTCCAAAGTTTAAATGAGAAGAAGACCCAATGGAGGCTAATCCATACATCATTAGTGAATTGAAATGAACCATTAGACCATTCAGGGTTGAGCGGTATCTTTTGGGCGAAAGCAAGTCGACTACACTACACTAATTCTAGGGCTTGTATGAAAAGTCTTGTCAAGTAATCTCGAATCCTATCGAGACTGTACTTTACAGGGCTAAAGTTTAGTGAGCATCTGACATCAGCCTACAATATGCCAGCAAGAGACACGTATAAGCAAAATTAGACAATGACAGACAAGACCTTTTTGACACTGCACGAACGTGTATAGTTATTCCGGAGGCCAAGATAGTCTCAAAACCGTCGACTGTGCACATAACCCAAGGAAAAGAAGACGGTCGAAAAGCCATTGCCCCACGCAAAAATGCACCCCCGGAAAAACGCTGCAGATGACATATTTACCTCATGCAAAAATCACCCGACCTACTGAAACCCCACTGGCCATATGCACGGTGGTATTGTTTGGTGGTTCCCCCAGGATTTTCCGCACGTCGCGAATGAGACAAGATCGCATCACCCATGCACTTATGCGGCTACAGAGTCTATTTTACGTGGGGCCCCACCGACCCCTATGTTTGTGGACCAAGTTTGTGATATGGGGCGGGCCAAAGATTCTTTTTGTGCAAGCCTTTAATTTCCTCGGCGGCACTTTCCCAATTCCAGAATCTCGCCATGTCTCAGAGATAAAAATTTTGCTTGCCCGTAACGTCATTGCGTTGTCCGGAAAAATTGCATGTTGCCTGCAGACTCCAGTCACGTTTTCCGGGGCCCCATTTTTTCCCTAAAAAATATCGTGTAGTGTCTAAAGATGGGGCAACACAGTGGCCGTTTCCAGCAGCCCCGAGTCTGCCACATGTGGGGGCTCTGCCCTGGTTCTCTCTGTTTCCGAGCTTTGCTATTCTTCTCGCAAAAGTCGCCCAGACATTTCGTATGCGCCCCAAATTTTCTCCAGATTTAGGCGGCAGGCGTAACATCCGTGCACCGGCGGGCGAGCAACGCGGAGTAAAATCACCCGAGCACTGGACGCCTGCCTTTCTGCAGGCCGCGGCCGCATTTTTCCGGCACCACCTGATGGTTTCTCCTAAGATGCCGCATGGACACCAGCAAAGTCGGAACATTCTGGTGTGTCTGGCGACAGGAAAAATGACCCGAGGCCACGCGGCAGATACGAGGACGGCCATTATAAATAGCGTAGGAACAACCCCGCTCTTTGGAGGTTTTTCTTTCCCTCATCAGTTTTAATTTCCTCCAGTAGCTCCAAGATTTTCAGAGTGCACATACCACGCTGACCCACCACGCGCATACTTATAAAAGCGACTTCATCTGCTGTTCTTGAAAAGAATTTTTTCCCCCAACTACAAACGAAAACTTCACCATGGTTAGATTAGGTCCAAAGCCACCCCAGCACAGAAAAGGCACCTTCACTGATGTGCCAGAAGAGCTCATTGAGCAGTTGCGCCACTTTGAGCAGATCCTCACCGTTTCGCCAGAAAAGTTGAGACAAATCACCGACCACTTTATCGGCGAGTTGAACAAAGGCTTGTCGAAGAAAGGAGGTAACATTCCTATGATTCCAGGTTGGGTGCTTGACTTCCCAACCGGAGACGAGACCGGTGACTACTTGGCGATCGACTTGGGTGGAACCAACTTGAGAGTTGTTTTGGTCAAGTTGATGGGTAACCACAAGTTCGACACCACCCAGTCCAAGTTCGCTTTGCCCAAGCACCTCAGAACAGGCACCTCCGAACAGTTGTGGAGCTTCATTGCCGAGTGCTTGCAGAAGTTCATTGAGGAGTTCTACCCAGATGGTGTCAGTGCCCCATTGCCATTGGGTTTCACCTTCTCGTACCCAGCCTCGCAAGACAACATCACCGAGGGTATTTTGCAAAGATGGACCAAGGGCTTTGACATTGAGGGAGTTGAAGGCAAGGACGTTGTTCCTATGTTGCAAGGTGCCATCCAAAAGTTGAACGTGCCAGTCAAGGTTGTGGCCTTGATTAACGACACCACCGGTACTCTTGTTGCTTCCATGTACACCGATGCCGAGACCAAGATGGGTCTTATCTTTGGTACCGGTGTCAACGGTGCCTACTACGATGTTTGCGGCGACATTCCAAAGTTGGAAGGCAGATTGTGCGACGACGTGACCCCAGAAACGCCAATGGCCATCAACTGCGAGTACGGTTCCTTCGACAACGAGCACTTGGTGTTGCCAAGAACCGAGTACGATCTTGTCATTGACAAGGAGTCTCCTAGACCAGGCCAGCAGTCTTTCGAGAAGATGATCTCGGGCTACTACTTGGGTGAGGTGTTGCGTCTCATTTTGCTCGACTTGCACAAGAAGGGCTTGGTTTTGAAGAACCAGGACTTGTCCAAGTTGGACGAGGCTTACGTCATGGACGCCTCCTACCCATCTAGAATCGAACAGGACCCATTCGAGAACTTGTCCGACGTGCAAGACTTGTTCCGCGACAACTTGGGCATCGAAACCACCATTGCCGAAAGAAAATTCATCCGTAAGTTGGCTGAGTTGATTGGTGAGAGATCCGCCAGATTGTCTGTGTGTGGTATTGCTGCCATCTGTAAAAAGAGAGGCTACAAGACTGCCCACTGTGCAGCTGATGGTTCTGTCTACCAGAAGTACCCTGGCTTCAAGGAGAGAGCAGCCAAGGGTTTGAGAGACATTTTCGGCTGGGCCGACAATGAGGAAGACCCGATCGTGATTGTTCCTGCTGAGGATGGTTCTGGTGTCGGTGCTGCTGTCATTGCTGCCTTGACAGAAAAGAGATTGGATGCTGGCAAGTCTGTCGGTGTCAAGCAATAAGTGCTATGTCTGAATGAATAAATGTCATGTATATCGCTAGTAGAGATATAAGAAGGCACTGGGCTTCTGCAATGTGCTAATGTATTTGGGTAATCTACCATCGAAGTACTGTCTTTACTACCTCAATAAGATCAACATCATTGAGATTTAGATCAAACTTCTTGATTTGATTCATAGCTCATGGCCACATATGTGTATAGTTTAGAGCCTCGGCAGAGCCTGGCAGAATGAAGATGAGAACTCATCTGAAGATCCAAATAACTAGATCATGGGCTTACGAATGGTAGAAGCTGAAATAATCACTTATGCAACTTGAGGTAGCGTTTAGTATGTGCGCTCGTAGTATTATGAAGTAACTACAGAATACGAGTTTCACAATAGCTGAAGCAGGATAAGCTCTATCTCAAACTGAGTTAGCAGTAAGTTGTCACTCAATTACCAGCTATAGAATAAGTTAACCACTCAATGATATATGACGACGAAAATACTGGACAGGATAAGTTGGAACTTGTTTCAGCGTTTTTGGCCTTACATTTCAATATTCCGTGATTGAACATTTGCCCAATGGGCAGAGTAATTGTCTTAACATGAAATATTCTTTTCTTTAGTTGATTCTGCTCGTGATTACCACTTAAAATGAACCCAGCTAGACCGCCTTCCACGATCCTATACTCATCCTGCTGATAAAAATACGCCGACTATTTTAAATGGTTTCTTCCATGATTCTAAGCTTGTAAATGTGCTTTCAGATAGAAGAAGTTCACAAGTAGTGCGGAAAGATTAAGCACGCCTATTTCTAAACATCCATTAAAACCTCTAGGCTTATGTTTTCAGTTCATTCGAAGGCTAAACAGATACTTTTCGATCCTGATCTATGTATATTCTTCATTTCATCATTAAGTTGAAGGAGACGTTCATCTCTATGGGCATAATGGCAAATCAGAGCCTCTGTGAAGGAGGCCAGTGCTTAAGTGCGACTAATGTAAAGGCGCACCTAAAACCACCCCACCATGTCTCTTTCAATAGACCCGGCTCTCATTCGGGAAACAGAGGCTGCCGTCGCCATGTCCCAAATGTCTACTGAAGACTTGGTTTCGAACGAGGACATCTCCAATACCCACAACATCATTCTTGAAGGCCGCAAAGAGTCGCAGGAGATCATCGACGACATTGATGATGTCGATGAAGCCGACACTATTGTGCCATTCAGTCTTTTTGATCTTTTGCGCAAGAGTGCGGTGAACTTGTTCTTGCCGTTCATCAACGGAATCATGCTTGGGTTCGGCGAGATTTTCGCCCACGAAATCGGCTTCAAGTACGGCTTTGTGGGTGCAAAGGTGTATCCGCCACAAAGACAACTTAAGCAGAAGCCAAAGTATATATAAAAGCAGGCGGAGATGATGAAAAAGAGCTGTCACAAATGTTAATAGAGCAGAGGAGGAGCGCAGTACAAGGCTGAGCCGGTACTCTCACTTCTTTCAATAAAAGGGCTATGAATTGGAGCTACAGTAGTTGCTATGCGTTAAACTCCCATGGGTATGTTCCCAGAACATTCTCTATTAGATGCTGAATAATGCAGATATGCCACAGATCACAATGATCAAGGATTCTTAAGGTCAACGGAACTCACCTATAAATTGCCAACAGGTTCGATTCATTTGGGGCATTCAAGGGAACCTATTTTGACTCTCGGAAGCCGATTTCCATCCTAAAAAAGATCTCCATCCTCGAAAACCACAGAAGCTTCACAAAATCTTATCGATGTAGATGAAGCCCTTTGATGCCTCAGACAAGAACATCCTTTTTGTCACAAAATAATTCGTATTCTCGGTCCTTTCCGATGGGAAACCGCTTTTGTTTCTGGCAAGTAAGGCAGGTATGCACCAAGACATCGGCTTTCGCCGAGCTTTTCAGACTGTTTTCAATCTCCACAGACATGGTGAGGCCCGGAACAAGAACAGAGGAGCATTTTTTGCACATGAGCCGCTTCAAATGAGGCAGAAGCTTGAGCACAGTCCTTTTCAGCACAAGATCAACAGTCCGGGCCATCAGCCGAGCCATTATGTGGTTTTTTTGGGCCGTGTGGAAGCTGGCCACCTGGAAAAGATAGGATGTACGAGCATATGGGTCCTTGCTGACCTTCGGTAGTTTGACGTGCTTGGCCATAAGTTGAGTGATGGAGGATACTATAGAAGGCGCAAGGATTAAAAGTACCGGTTAGACTGATCGGAGAAAACGTTTATGAAGCCTGGGTTGTGGCAAGAAGAAGTCAGAATGAAATTTTTGGAGCTAGGTATATGGCTAAAATGTCGCTGTTTGTCGCACGAGGTGCTGAACCCCATTAATCATAGCTGTGGTAGTGAAAGCAAAACATTGGTCTTGACTGATTATCACAATAAACATAATATTTCTACGGATCTGAACACTTATTTACTTTCCTAGTTTTCTAACTCTAGTTTCGTAGCCCGTTGTCTAAGGTCTTTCTAAGCCCAGGGTCTATCTGCAGTGCCAACACACTGGAGGCGAACATCTTTACCTTTCGTGGCCACACTAGTTACACCAACATTTATACATCCAATGAGTGGCTACGATAGTGCCTTATCCATTTTCTCGTATGTCGAAACCGCTTGTTCTATACCGAAGCATTACTAACCTCAGACCTGATGGACACGTTTTCCGTATGTAACTTGAATTGACTATGAAGAACCAATACCAGATAACTTGGGCTTGGATAGCCGCCCACTACCGAATCCTTATGATTTCCATCCGAATGATTTCGACCGATTTAGCTCGTCCATAAACTCCCAGCCCATCACCGGATTTATCAGTGTTGGCCCATGTAATGTTGTATCCAGATTGTTCCATCCGCATATTCTTATATCCATCAACCCAGCAATGTTTCATCCTTTACTATTTCTTGGTAATGTTGTTTTCCCTCCAAGTTACTCCCCGTGGTGTTGTTTTTCAATAGTCGATTACATGTCCCGTACTAACAAACAGAGGTTGAATATGCTTCCGAAGCAGTCAAAAGAGGCACTTGTGCCGTCGGAGTGAAAGGCGCAAAGTGTGTGGTCTTAGGGTGTGAAAAGAGAACCACATTGAAGCTACAAGATCCAAGAATCACCCCGTCCAAGATCTGTAAAGTCGATAACCATGTGTTGTTGACATTTGCCGGTTTGAATGCGGACGCTCGTATTTTGGTGGACAAGGCCCGAGTCGAGGCCCAATCTCACAGATTGAACTTGGAGGATGCGGTTTCCATTGAGTACTTGACCAAATACGTTGCTGGAGTGCAGCAGAAGTACACCCAGTCCGGTGGTGTGAGACCATTTGGTATTGCCACGATGATTGCCGGATTTGACTCCAACGACACAACTCCCCGCTTGTACCAGACAGAACCTAGTGGAGTGTACAATGCATGGAAAGCTCATGCCATTGGCCGCTCGGCGAAAACCGTCAAAGAGTTCTTGGAGAAAAACTACGAAGAGAACTTGTCCGACGAGCAAACCATCAAGTTGACAGTCAAATCTTTGTTGGAGGTGGTCCAGACTGGCGCTAAGAACATCGAGGTTTCCGTGTTGAAGCCAAACGAAGAGATTGTGCAATTGTCCGTAGAAGAAATTTCCAAGTATGTCGAGGAGGTGGAGGCGGAAAAGCAGGCGGAGGCAGAAAAGAAGAAGAAGTCTAGAGAGTAATTAATGAATAAACGGCATGGCCATTTTATGTGGACAAACGTATTCTTTGGCTTTGACGGATCGAGTTAACTGTCCTTGGAAGGACAAGATATGACTAAAGGGATGCTTTGATAGAAGAGCTCGAAAGGTCCCATGCTCTTCATCTGTAGCTTTACATTTTGGACAACTTTTTTTAAATTTATTATTCGTTCTATTGTACATCAGCGCTTGGCCTTTTTCTTTCCCTTTCCTTTAGCGTCCTTGGCGTCGGGTTTCCGCTTGGCTGGGCTCAGTTTTACCACAGTAAAAAATCCGTCCAAACGGCCTTGCACTCCTCCCTTCAACGCCTTCTTAAGCTTTTCAGCACCACTGCGGATTCTCTCTTCGCTGAATCCTTTCTGCTTGACCATGAACTCAACCAAGCCATCCACATTTGGCTCATTCCACTTAACATCCACTTCGTCACCCTTTGTGATTTCCGGGTTCATGAAAAGCTGCTTGGCCTCATCATATGGCCAGTTTTCAGGGACTTTGTATTTGGTTTTCTCAGGATTTTCTTGAATCCATTTGACAATATTATCCAACGACCCGTGTTCTTTGATCAACTTGAATGCTGTCACTGGGCCAACACCTTTGATCGTCTCACAATAGTCGCATCCCAACAAAATACACAAATCAACGAACGTGGATCTGTCCATGTCCAACCCTTTAAGCATTGCCTCGTAGTCAATTTGATCAATAGGCATCTTCCGAGCTTCGGCCACTGTCAAGTGTCTTAATAGATATTTCGGTTCGTAACATAATGTGTCCATATCTTCGGAGGCAGCAGCAAATACTTTCCCTGCGCGAGCCAACTCTGCACACTGTGCCTCAGCCTCTGATGGGGCCACAATATAAGGAATTCCCATCAACTCCAACAATTTCTTTGCCTCGTCATTCTGTTCTCGAGACGCACGCACTGTTCTCTTCTCATATTTCATAAGCTCTTCGACTGTGCCCGTTTCCTTCAAATCTTCAATTTGTTTCAAAGCATCCTGTCGCTTGAGCAATCTTTTCTCCAACTCGCCACCTTTCAAAACTGGCGGTTTCCCGTCAAAAACGTACATTGGCTTTAATCCGCTTTCGACCAATCTGATAGTACGGTAAAACATCCCCAGCAAATGAGACGTGGTTTCTCCGTCCTCACTAGTCAATTGCTGCCCGTCTTGCTGCCTGACGGCGATAAGATACTGATACAAACACATGGAGGCATCGATGGCCACTTTTCTTCCGAAAAGGTTTTTGAGCTGATACTCTTTGAAGGCATCAGGCGCATGCTCCTTTATAAGCTGGTTCAAGCCTTGCGGTTAGTACATTTTCATTTTGATTATATATAAGTGTGGCTCATACCTTTGACACCCATTTCCGTTAAGATAGACTATTCAAGATATCTCTTGCTTCTCCATGCTCTTCTCATTACGAATGTCCCGACGCGCCTTTTGCCTGTCTGCAGTACGCGTTTCTCCGCCAACGTTAAATGCTAATATTACACATGGCTGAAGGTAAAAGTCCAGTTTCCGGTGTTAGGATCGTAGTTCACAAACTCCATATCTTCTAGCGACTTCAATTTTTCAATGTGCTTTTTCACAATCTCATCCTTCGGATCCAAGATTGCCAATTTTGTCTTTTTGTTGATTGGGTAACATCCTTCTAGCGTCACTTCGGCTGGCATATTCAAACCTTCACCTTCTTTTGGAGCATCGTCGTTTGGATACACAATGATGTTCTTCGAGCCAAATACGATCACATTGCCGCAAATTTCGTCCAAATTGAACGATGTCAAGTCAACGGGCTTTGTGAATCTGATCTGGCCGTAGTACTTGCGTCCAACTGTAAAGTTTTCTACTGAACGCAAATCGGCAAGAGGTTTCTTCTTGAGCTCAGATAATGGGGGTGATGTCCAGTATCCGTCATCATCAATTTCCTGTTGCGAAGCTTCGACGTGGAGCTTCTCTGGTTTGTCTTTCTTTTCGACTTCAAAAGTGACACCCTTTGGTTCTGTTGGCTTATCTGTAAGTGCAATCAAACTAGAGGAACTATCCTTGGAGCCGTTGACAACCAATTTGCGGAACTCCACTTTAGGAGCAAAAATGTCGGACGACAAGATGGCCCGGTCGACGTCGGCATTAAATAAAGAAGCTTTGCGCGAAGCTGGTTTTTCGGGTGTAGCAAGAACGACGTCTTTGACAGGAGCATTAACTTTTTTCTCAGCAACAAATAAGGGTGCAACTTTGTGTGCACTCGCCATAGAAACCTTCTTCTTTGTACTCTTCACAGGGATAGCGAGAGGCACCTCTTGTGGCACATTCTGGTTGGTACCTGAAATACTTTGGAAAAGTTTGTTGTTTCCATACGGATTCTGGGCTGTGATATTGACCAAACTTTGTTGACCATTCTGTTGCTGGTTCTGGTTCTGGCCAAAAGAGTTACCCAACAAACCACTTGTGCCATTATTCTGTGTCGACCCCAATGCGTTATTGTTGTTCATGGTACCGTTGTTATTGTTGCCAAACAAGCCACCACCGGTTGTGCCCCCAAAAGTAGTGGCTGGTTTGCTTCCGAACAAGCCACCACCTGTACTATTGTTAGTGGCTGTGGTGTTGCTTCCAAAGAGACCACCTGAAGTGTTGGTGTTGTTGGTGTTGTTATTGTTCAGACCAAAAAGACCGCCGGTCGTGCCCAGGTTAGTATTATTCCCAAACAAGCCTCCTCCGGTAGTGGAAGCTGCTGGCTTGTTGCCAAATAAGCCTCCGGCATTGTTGTTTTGGGTCTGCCCAAATCCACCAGTGGTACCAGAAGTGTTGCCTCCAAACAATCCACCAGTTGTACCAGCTGGCTTCGCACCAAAAAGACCTGTTGAAGCATTGTTGGTGTTGTTGTTCGCGTTGTTGGAACCGAAGAGACCACCGCCTGTATTGGTGTTGTTTGAGCCGAACAATCCACCAGTGTTATTGTTTGCATTATTTGTGGTATTGTTGTTGGTACCAAAAAGTCCGCCAGCATTATTGTTGGTGTTGTTATTGTTGTTGGCTGTGGATCCGAACAAACCGCCTCCAGTGTTTGTATTGTTGGCACCAAACAAGCCTCCACCAGTGTTGGACGTGTTGTTGGCACCAAATGCAGATGTCTGAGTATTATTGGCATTGTTTCCAGTGCCAAAAAGACCACCGGACGCTGCTGGTTTGCCGAAGCCGGTGCTACCTCCAAACAAGCCTCCTCCCGAGGCATTATTGTTGTTGGCACCAAATGCAGAGGTGTTGTTGTTCGAGCCGAAAGCGCTGCCAGTGGTGTTGTTGTTGTTGCTACTGCCAAACAAACCACCGCTTGCATTATTGTTTTGACCGAAAGCAGAGTTGGTGTTGTTGGCCCCAAATGCAGTATTGGTGCTGGCGCCAAATGGTGAGCTTCCAGTGTTGTTCGTTGCGCCAAAGCCTCCTCCAAATGTGGATTGCGTGTTTGTGTTGGTGCCAGCGCCGAAAGCGCCAGAGCCGAACCCTGATCCAAAGCCACTTGGCTTTGCAGCACCAAATGCCGAGTTTGTGTTATTGTTGGCACCAAATGCCGAACCAAAACCTCCAGTAGAGTTGTTAGTGTTGTTAGTGTTGGCACCAAAAGGCGATGTGGTCGTGTTACTGTTATTGCCAAACGCAGAGCCAAACGCAGATCCTGTGTTGTTAGCGCCAAATGCCGACGTTCCACCTGTGGTGGTATTATTTGTAGCGTTATTAGTGCCAAATGCAGACGTGGTGCTACCAAAACCACCCGTAGAGGCCCCGAAACCTGTCTGGTTGTTGGTGTTGTTGTTGGCGCCAAATCCAAATCCGGTGTTTGTGCCAGCTGCACCTCCGAAAGCAGAGCCCGTGTTGCTATTTCCATAGCGGCGGCCAGCCTCGTAGTCCTTGAGACGCAACTCCTCAAAAGAGAACTTCAGATACTCTGGCATATTGGTGATATTCTGGTAGTAGTTGGTGCCTGTTCCTTCCTTTTCCACAAAAGGAGCAAACGGCTTTGCAGCCGTACCGTTGTTTACGTTCGGATCAGCAGCACCGCCAAAGCCAGATGTGCCGCTTGCACCGCCAAAAGGTGTGACGGAATTGTTCTGCGGAGTGCCAAAAGCAGAGCCAAAAGGTTTCGATGCGCCGCCAAAAAGCCCGCCGCCTGAAGCAGCACTTCCAAATGCACCAGCAGCACCATTGTTGTTGGCATTGTTGTTGTTGCTGCCGAATGGAGACAGCGTGTTGTTGTTTTGGGCGCCTCCAAAGATGTTGTTGTTTGTCAGCCCAAAGGCAGACGTAGTGTTGGAGCCAAAGGCCGAAGAGCCAGAATTGGCCGTGTTTCCAAACACACCGCCTGGCGCAGACCCAAACGCTCCGCCTGTGTTGGTGTTAGCCGCCCCAAGAACATTGTTGTTGTTGGATTGGCCAAATGCAGAAGTGGTGTTGGACAGGCCAAACGGAGAGGCATTGGTGTTTGAGGCGCCGCCAAAGGGCGACGTGGAAGCTGCGTTGGTCGAGCCGCTGAAACCTCCGAATCCGGAAGTGGTTCTTCCAAACATAAGATGTTTTGTTAGCTATGAAGAGAGTTTTTGCTCGTTTTTTTAAATGCGGTCGTGCGCAGCTCACTCTTCTTTGAAGTGCCTTTGGTCATGTGGGGATAATTCCACATGTTGAATTAGAACTCTCTAGTGCTGTGATTTTTTTTTTTGTTTTCTTTTTTAATTAGGTTTTCTCTTTCGTGTCTGTGGTCGTATTACCTACTTTTGGTGTTCCATCTTCTTTGCTGTGTCGCACGAATTTTATTCGCACCCAATATCGCAGAAAACGGCACTCGTGTCTACACTTTACTACAGAAAAGAAATTGGAATTTGCTCTGATCACAAATCTGCTCCTTTAACTTCTGAGACAAGGTCAGATATTTAATTCGTGCTGGTAACTCGAAGAAAGTATGTTCTGCGCTATGGCAACGATGGTATTGGCATGATTATCTGTCGTAGGAGAAACGAGAGTATTCAGAAGATTCGTGATCTGAGGTACGTCCATACATTGATAACTTTACTCAAATATCAAAAAAGGTATTTTTTTTTTAAAACAGACGCCTGGCTTGAAGCTAGATTTTAATCTTTTAAACTTTTGGAACTACAGTAACTGAGAAGAAAGAAGAGATGAACCTTCACAAAGTAGGAAGACGTAATCTGCCATCGATTATTTGATTACTATAATATTTATGTGTCCGCCTTAAGTTTTTTAGGAGCCTTGCGTTTATCTCTCAAGTCGAATCGAATCTTGTAATCCATTCGTTAATTTTCTTATTCGTTGCTTTGTTTTATGCTTCTTGGAAGAATGTAAGGGAAATGGCCCTGATAAGTTTTGACTCAGACAGTGGGTTCCCTCAGTTAATCTAGTAATGTGTTCAACGAATCCTTTAAATTTTACAAGTTTGGTGCTCATTCAATCTTCCTTTTCGACCTTAAGTATTTTATCCGTCACAATCTCCACACTTGCGTCGTTCTCTTTGATTTCCACACTCTGAATCTCAACGGTTTTTTCAGTCTTGACCTTCTTTTTCTTCAAGAGTGACAGGATATCAGTTCCCTTTCTCTTTGCCTTCTCCAACTTAGCGGCCTTGGTCTCGAACTTTTTCAAGTGCTCTGCTCTCTCTTTAGCTCCGAGTTTGCTCAATTCCTCGCTCCGCTCCATGTACTCTGGGTCATCTATTTTTTTGTCCTGGAGCCACTCCAACAACTTAATTTCTTCTCCGTACACGGAGTCGTCTTTTCCGACTGGGGTTTCTAAGATAATGGGGATATTTTGGAGTCTGTGGTCATTAGCCACGATTCTGAAGGCTTCAAGCCCCAAAAAGCCGTAGCCAAGTTTCTGGTGCAAGTCTCTATTTGCGCCCAAAGGCGCTTTGGAATCATTTAAATGGATAGCACTCAAGTACTCCCATCCGATGATCTCCTCGTACTTTGCCCAAAACGCCAGCCATTTTTCCATGTCACTAATATCATATCCAGCAGCAAAAGTGTGGCACGTGTCGATGCAAACACCGACTCTGGACTTATCCTCCACCATATCAATGACATCACGGATATCTTGCAAGTCCGAACCAATCAAATTGCCGTGGCCAGCCATGTTTTCAATGACAATCTTGACAAAAGATGTTTCTTTCACCGCACGGTTGATGTTTTTCGCCAAACGCTTCAACGCCTCCGAACGATCGCCGTCCAAACTGGAACCGGGGTGGAAATTGTAAAGACCAATGTCCAATTTCTCACAACGCTTCAAATCGTCCAAGAACAGCCCGTAGGCTTTTTCTTCTTTCTCTGCATCAGGATTGGCCAAGTTGATAAAGTACGATCCGTGGGGTAAGATATCTGTTCGTGGGTTGTAATTGTACTTCTCGCAAAGACGCTTGAATTCCGACGCCTCTTCATCCTTGATGTCTGGCGAGACCCATTTCCGGGGCGATTTGAGGAAAAGAGCAAAACTATTGGCACCGATATCCATCGCGTTGGTGACCGCTTTACTGACACCTCCAGCCATGGCCACGTGGGCGCCAAATTTGAACTTGCATTCCACTCTTGGGTACTTGAATACCGGCTCTGCGGTTTTCACGATTTTTTTTCTGGATGTTAGAACATGTTGGGGCCATTGATAGAGGGTCAACTTACGCCATAAGAAGAAGATGGTGTTGAATGCGCGAGAAAATAGAATGTAGTATCGAACTTCTGTGCATTGACAGCATGAGATGAGAAAAGAGCTATTTTGATGTTCCGAAACGTGATTTTTTCATTCAGTTTGTTTCCACTCATTTGATTGATAAGATATTTCTTGATAGATTATTTCTTTCCTATATGTATGGTCACTGGTTCTGTAAAGCGATGATTGATGTGCTTGAGTATCAACACCAACAAAGATAATGTCTAATCGAAGCGGAAATATTGCCTTTATAGACTATGGCAATCCTATAAGCTCGTAACATTTGTAGGATTGCAAGATGTTTCCACTTTCGACGTCAATTTCAATAGAGCCTTGGAGCGAGAAATTTTAGGTCACAGAATATGCCAAATAAAATGAAATGCTGATGCTTATCTGCTATTTAGGACTTGAAGGACGGTGTTGAAATATGATGAATCTTTTATCACAGAATCAGGTGCAGAAGTGGTGTTTCTGTTTCCATCAATGTCACATTAATGAGTAAAGTAGAGGTATTATGATCGCGACACACGTTGGAAGAATATTGATGTTTAGAGGTATAATAGAATTAAATCATCATGAAACATTACAACCATTAATGAATCCATTGTTGAACTCGTTGGTTAAGGGTTCAGCGAAAAGTGTCTTAATCAATTGAAAAATTTAAATCGTAGAAGAAAATGGCACAGAGAATAACGGCATTAAGGAGATTTCCTTCTGAAAGAAATTTCTGGGCTATTTAGGAATAAACTGGATTTCAGAGCAGTACTCACACAAAAACTCAATAGTAGTTAGTTTGTCACTCGATGGTTGGGAGGAGATCGACTGAGATCGACGCAACCATATTGGCCAGTATTAATCCACGATCGTAGACCGCATAAAGTTTGGGAACGGCTGGATGCATAGTAACACATAGTCAAAAATTTCAACAGTGTAGAAAGATCATCCAAATATTATAGTCGCAATATTCGCCAGTGTAAAAGTATTAAAGATACGTATTCTACTCAATTGTCATTGTTGACACTCGGTCTTCTTCGAAACCGGATAGATCCATTCGTAGATCTCTAATATTCAAGAGACGTTTGCCAAATCAACGAATATCAACCGTTTAGGTAATATAGCGCATTAATAAACTCTCTTTATTGGTCGCAAGCTGCCTGATTGTTACACGGTTATCGATATTCAATACAGTCGGCAAAGTTATAATTTCTAGTGAGTCCTTGGCCCTCACGGTATATTTTCGATTAGCCACGGTATTACCGATCAAGCCACGGTATTACCGATCAAGCCACGGTATTACCGATCAAGCCACGGTATTACCGATCAAGCCACGGTATTTCCGATCAAGCCACGGTATTTCCGATCAAGCCACGGTATTTCCGATCAAGCCACGGTATATCCGATCAAGCGCCGTTTCTATCTACAGTGTTGGAGCGCATAAACTCCTCGAGCGTAGGCGCCTCGGCCGCGCTCAAAACGCGCGCGCTGTCCGTAAAGCGCTCTGCCCGTTTGCGCGCCTTGGCCGATTTCTGGCCCGGCACCACAGCAGTCTCGTCGCGCGGCGGCGCCTCCTCATCAAGCCCAAAGCGTGTGCGTTGCGCCGGATCAAGGTACGCGAGCGCCGCCAACAACGTGTAGTAGGCGTCGTTGCCCGCGTTGTGAAGGTTCAGGTGCGGGATCTGCATCGTGCGGAGCAAGCCGCGCACCAGGCCGCCCTCGCGGCGCAGAAGCCGGTGCACCTGCTCGGTGTCGACGGTTTCCACGCCCGCAACGTCCACGCCGTGCAGGGCGAGCCACGCCACGTCGCCGCGCAAGCTGTGGCCCACCAACACGCCGCGCCGCGCCGTGAGATACTGCGCCAAAATCTCCCGCAAAAGCCCCCGCAGCTCGGCGCTGGACATGCGGTACGACACGCCGTTGTTGAAGCGGCCCAGGTTGTCGGGCACGTACCGCCCGTTGGTGCGGTGGCGGTTTTCCTCCACCAAAATGTGGAGCGTGCGGATGTATGGCTGCGCCAGCAAGTACTGGTCCACCGGGTCGTACACGGCGACGCCGATTTCCGTGATGTGCCGCAGGTCTCGCTCCCACGCCTCCACGTCGATGGCCACGAGCGGATGCTCGCGGAGGTACACTAGCTCCATCCACCGACGCAATCGGAGCACTTGGTGCGGGCCGAAGCAGAACCGGGTGTGGGCAAAATACGCCTCCATGCTGCGGCGGAGCTCGGCGGCAATAGGGTTTCGGGACATGGTAGATGTAGATGTGGCGGTCAGGTTTCTGAATCGGTCTGAGAATCGGTCTGAATCGGTCTGAATCGGTCTGAGAATCGCTCTGAGAATCGCTCTGAGAATCGCTCTGAGAATCGCTCGATGTCTTTTCTGAGCCTCTTAGATTGTTGGTGTCTTGTATCGTCCGGACGTCTAATGCTTTGTTCTAGCTTTGTATCCGCATGTATGTCTTATCTGCTTTGATTATCCCAGATCTTTTTCTGAAATGATCTCGATGCCTGTGATGCCTAAGTTGTTCGGATATTAACTTCTTTTCACTGGCCCTCTATAGTATAGACAAGGTGTGGTTTTTCTTTTCAGCGACGCGTAGGTATAGAAGCCGTGTATTTTCGAGACTGCGCTTCATGATAGTGCACATGGGATTATTGGTAGATGGCCATCGCCAGTCTAGATTATCCACGGTATGTTATATTGAAGAGCATTTTCTCTGATTGATCGAGTCCCAAAAGTATCCAGTCGAGTCAAATATGAACAGGCCAGGCTGATACGCTAAAAACTGGATTACTCGGCAACAAACGCCTTTATGCATTAATAATGTACTTTTCGATCGTTGATTAATATATGTGGTAATTCACGCCCTTTTTCTTTATTCTTTTAAGACAGGAAACTAGTTTCGTCGATTTAACGAAATATGGGGCCATAAACTTTTCCACATAAATCAGAAAGTAGATAGGTCTACCATGATTGCCGGAACCGCTTGCAAACTTATATTCATGGTTTGCATTGCTTAACAGTAGTTTTCGGCAACAACTGTCGGAGGTTGGCTTCGACATCTGCTTAATAATTGAAAACGTGTTGTATCTACCCCAGATAGTCTGATGTCTATAAACGTTTCAAGCTTTCTCTACGGAGTTAATTATATGAACAATGATTCTCTGTTCGATTTCGTGGCAGAATGCTCGATTCCTTTTTTGCTCTCGGAGATCTGGTCTCAAATTAATTCAAATAATACGGCTGTTTCAAAACAATATCTCTGCCTTTTAGAGCCCTTGTTCACATTAAAGAAAACTGTCTGCCGTAGAGTCGTCTACTAATTTCTCTCCGATCCACCCGTCTCTTTCGCACTGACCGAAGTCAATACTTCTTACCAGTAAAGGTGGTTGTATTAGTGCTAGAAATCGACGTCTACGGCTACGCCAATCGACGAAGAACTACGTCAACAATACCTCTTATTTCTGTCGAAGGAGAAACGTGCCTTCTTGGATTCTGAATCCAAGGTGTGTATACAGCACCTGACCCCAGACCATCATATGTCTTCTCATTCTACCAGTCTTTGTATTTATAACCAATTTTCCCTATCTCGTTGATTATTTTTATTTAGAGCTGCTGAGCTGCCCTAAATCTAGTTGAAACACCACCGTTATCATCTGACGCCCCGCTTCTTGGCCAACTTCCCATCATTATTCATTTTCGTGTGATCTCGCATTATAGTCTATGTCACTAGAAGTTTTGCTGCGCCAGCCGCTGCCGGCGCAAATCGAAGAGACTCTCGCGTCGTTTTCGCCTTCAAAGCCTGCTCATCAATTGCAATTGGTGACAGCCCTCCTAAAATATACGGTTCCCGAAGCGTTTTTGCACGTGCCCAAAGAAACCCAGGATGCCATAGCCGCTGCGTTCCGATCTGCTGTTGGACTCGGCAATCTCGTGGCGAAAATCGCCATGTTGTCCTCGCTGAAAGCTGATCTTTCTCAGGACCTTGTGGCGGCGCTCAACTGCCATCTTGCGCTCTTGGAAAAAGTGCTAGCGCCTCGGATCCTTCTCCAAATGGCCCGCCTGCCGCTTGAACTTCGCGAGGCCGATAAGCTTTTGTTCCGAGGCAAATGCTACTCGGTGGTCCGCGAGGCCGACTTGCGGTTCCATGGCCTTGTGGTTCCGCGTGCTCTTTCGTCCATGTCTGCGTATACGGGATTCTTGTGCCGAGAGCTCTTTTCGCTCTATGGAGAAGCGGACATCCGGGCAATAAACTCGCTAGTGCTGTCGCTTTTCTCCTTGAGCGCAGAACTGGCCCTGTTTTTCTACGAATACGTTTTCCACAGAGAGTATATTGCACATCTCCAAAGCTCGCTCGAGAATATGAAACGATACGAGCGCAAGCTGCTTCTCGCCAAGTTCTTTGAGTTTGTTTCTGTGCGCTTCTTGCGTAGCAGTGCTCCGCAACTCGACACTATAGCGGCGCTATACGTTTTGGCCAGAACGTATTTGGACACATCCGTGTGGGACGAGTTTATGGCCAACCACATAGTTTCCCGCTATAATTATGCGCTCAATCTTCTATTTGCGCTTTCTGCAAGCGGAGACTTCGATGTCTCGGCGTTTGAGCTGCTTTTGCTACGGCTTTTGGCCGCATGGGGAAACCCTGCCTTGGTAACGGAAGAACCTGTGATCAGACAAGAGTACCGAACCCACATGCTTCTTTGCATGTGCATGCAGTTGCCGCAATCGAGTATCAAGCGCATGATTGGAGACAGCGCCTTCTTGTCGGCCATTTCGACCCGACTCTCTTCACATTCAGACCGAGTGAAGGCGCTCGGTGTCTTTTTCGCTGACTCCGTCTGCGTAATGGCCGGCGAACAGAAGATTTTCAGCATGGACAATATTAACATCGAGCTTGATATCCCGACGACAAGACTTAGGGCTTCAGAGATACATATCACGCCTGATGACGCCTGGGACATCATTGAAGCGCCTGAAGTGGTCGAATCGCCTACTGAAGATATGAAAGAGATGGAACGAGCATTCCAGCCTATCTCGCTTCGAGATGAGGATGCAATGAGCGAAGAAGTGGAAGAAGACGATCCCACAATGCAATCCAAACCAGTGTCTGCTCCCATTTACGTGCGAGATATTTTGGCATATTTATCGGCAGATACGAAAGATGCTCAAGCTTACGAAAAACAGAAATTGGCGTTGCAGGCTGCGCCCACTATCCTTCGTCAGAAACTGGCTTTTGGGACCGAAGTGGCTTTTTACGCAGAAGAGATCATGTCGCTCCTTGCGGGGCTAACAAACCAGTTCGACGAGGCAAATTTTGAAACGTCAAAATTGAACGCAATGATTGCTGTTGTTGTCAGTTATCCAAAGGTGACTGCGCACGTGTGCCATCTTCTCTTGACGGGTGACTACTCTCTTCAACAGCGCATGTGTCTTCTTTCCTGCATTTCTTTGTCCGCCAGAGAACTCCGTGGCTACGACGATGAGTCCGTCCGCCAAAGCTTCCAAAAAACCGATTTCCCCTCGAAAAAACTCCCTCCCCAGTTGCATAATCAGTACATGGCGTCGGAAAACACGGACTATGGTTATAACTCCATAGAGAACTCGATACAGAACCAGCTAATGCAAGAAGCATCAGAAGAAGCACGCGACGAACTTAGCGGAGGCAAGATTTTGCGTATATCACTGGCTCTCAAGAAGAAAAGCACGGAGTCTTCCAAAGAGGTTTCATTATCGAAAGAGGCCATAGCAAATTTCCGCAAAACAGTTGGCCATACATTCTTCTTCCCGCTAGTAGCCGTGTGGTACGAAAGCGGAGGAATTGACATCGGACCTTATACCCCCATATTGATTGCGCACTTCATTCGGACGCTATCTCTCATTTTGCATGCGGCATACCCTGCTGCGGTTGACCTTAATGACATGATAAGCGAGTATGTGCGCTTAATTTGTCCTGTGATACAAATGGTCACTCCTGATCAATTGCAGGTGATTGAAAGTGCTGTGACTGGATTTCTTCTTGTGTTAGACATTTGTGACACTGAATTTCTTGTGCAAAACTTTGGCCAGCAGATTACTGATGTGGAAAGCGCCGTCGCCTCGTGGTGGGAACTGCTCATAGAAGATAAAGTCAAGAGCTTATGTGCTGGGCTTCTTTTGCGCATTGGAGAAATGAAGAAGTCTATGGAAACTCTCCTTCTTGACCGTGCTAGTCAGGGTTTCTTTTAGGGAATTCAGAATCCCGTCAAATACTATCAGTCTGGATTACACCGTCTCGCTGAACAGTAACCAAGTGAAGGTGATTTCAGCAGGTGATTATACGAACACGCCTTCAGCACGGTGGCTATCTATTGTTGGTGAAAAAAATATCAAGAATCCGTTCCTGAATTCCGGCACTATAGATGTCATTCTGTCGTGTTTCACTGACCAATTTTGCGGCTCTTACTGCATTGAATATCGGCTCGAAACAACTGAAGGAACAATGGAGATGAAACGTCAGAGAGCGGCGATCTAAATTATTTAGCAGAAGCCTAACGTAAAGAGGCATAAAACGAACCACTCGTTTTCTTCTTGCCGACGGCATGCGCAGTCTCACCTCCATGCTGAACTCTGGTCTCGTTGTCACCAATATATACTACGCAGCACTATAATTCAATAAAGTCATTAGTGGTCTATTCGGCTAGTCTGACTATTTTACCTATATCTAGCACGGGCAAACGCTCAACCCAATCAGAAAGTAGTTGCTCACAAAAGCAGAAGGGCCACGGCCAAAGAGAAAACGGCACCTGTCAAGCCTGAAGATATACCGCTAGCGCCCGCACTCAGCTTAGACAGTTGCGATGCACTGCTCGCTGTCTGAGAAGCAGCTTCGAGGCCAGAGACAGCAGTGTGTTTACTGTTTCCCCCACCCAAGCTATCAGTTAAAATGATGACTGAGGCTGAAGAAACAGCAGTAAGTGAGCCGAAAGCAGATACGCCATTAGAGGCAGAGTTGGCGATGATAGGACTTGTAACTTGAGGTTCGTCGGAGCTAGAGTCGGACTTCCCGCCGTTATCAAAACCGCCCAAGTTTATGGCTAACGCTGCTTGGCCGAGAAGCGGGACAAACGCAAAATGTGTAAATGAAACCATGAAGAGGAAAGATGGGATAAGGAAGGTGTAGGAAATCGAATGTTGGAAGGAGTAGGCACCACAGGGCCAGGAGTTGTGTCAAGAAGAAAGCGGGGACCCAACCTTAAATGGTAGACAAAGACCGGAAGACAATGACTTTAAACGAAGAAAAAACTTGAAACGGAAACCCTAAAAGAGACAAGACACCAGACGACAGAAGGGCCTTGATATGAAGGAAAGAGGTCGGACCTGATGTGGTGCCTGCAACTGGGATTCAAGATGCACTTTGTTTGACTTCAGGTCTTGCATGCGTCACGCGGTCGAAATGAGAAGTCATTGTGCCACGGCTTATTTACCATTCGCCAATCGAATGCGCGTGCATCGCGCATGTCGTCATTCTGCGCGGAAACGGTTACAGGGGAAGATGCATTGTGCAAGCTATTGCCGAAGTTCTTACGCACGCTCCTTTAATATGCAGGAGACATATGCGGGCCAACCCAATGCGGAGCACTTTTACCGGAAAAGTAAAGAGGAATAGCAAACCGTGAGCATTGTACATATACACACAAACCTGAGACAAGGACAACTACGATGAGCGTTTCCCTCAGTGCAAACTGAAACCTGTTCTTTTTGCGGCGCGGGCGATAATGCCAAGCCATTTTACTGCGCGGTCCAAGTCCGCATCCTCGATAGCCTCACGCACACCAGGCCATGTTTGTCCTGCATAGCCTGTGTACCTACCCGACGCGAAAACGATGTGTTTAAACCACGATCTCTGGTCAAGTCCATGGTGGTAGAGGAAATTCCGCTCGAAGTACTGGAGCAACTTGTTGTGGTGCCTGATTTCAAAGTGGAGGCGGAGCTTCTGCCACCAGTGCAAGTCTGCACGGTGTCTGTATGCATCCTGCAACTTGTCGCTCCGCACGTCAAACTCCTGCGCGGCCTCCTGCAACTGCTGCAACTGTACTTTAGTATGCTCCACAAGTTTTCCAAATGTCACGTTGGTGTGATGCGAAGGAGCCCGCATCTTCATTCGGCGGTTGTGGCCGCATTGGAAAGGAGTCATGAACTCCGGGAAATAATATCTCTCTTGCGGGAAATAGTACTCGTTCGAAGCTTCATAAACATAAAGGTCTGCATCGAGATCGTCCAAGTAACTCTGCATAGCCGCATGCAGAATTGGCTTGTTATACCATTCATGCGGAATAGTCTCCTCAATTTCCGCATAATACTTGAGTAAGTCTGCCGCGTAATCTTCCACAGAAAAATCAATCACAGCCTTGTTGCTTAATTCCAACGCTACAGCCCCAAGATACTTGGCAGCCAAGTTGTGGTAGACAAAGTCCTTGTCCCCAAACTGCGACATCCAGTAGTACGAGTCGTAGTTGGAATGGTACTGGTAGATGGCATCACCCTTGCCTTGCTTGAAGCCCAAGTCTGCCGAAGGAATTCCCAAGTGCTCCAAGAAAACGGTGTAGTCGGAACCGGAACCCAAGTTGTGGATATTGTCGCCACCTTCTTTGACAAAGTGATCATACAAGCTTCCTTCGCCCTCTACTGGATAAGGCAACCACCTGGCCACTTTCCGCAAGACCTTTTTCAACACGGGAGAAGCACCCATACTTAAAAAGCGGCCCACTACGGCAACGTCCATATTCAAGTATGCCACAACGTTTTTCTGCAACTGTTTTGCGGCAAACTCACCGAACTCAGTGGATCCTAACAACCCGTATTCTTCGCCGTCATAGCTCTGCAAGATTATTGTGCGTTGGAAATTTATAGCCCGACTTTTTCAACTCGCCCAAGGCCCGAGCAATCTCAATCAAAACCGCCAGGCCTGAGTTTGGATCGCCAGCCCCGCCTTTAATCCACGCATCGCGGTGGTTTCCGATTACAATCACCTCGTCCTTCTTTTCACCCTCGATTTTGCCGTAAACATTCCACAATGGCGTAATCTTGAACGTTTGGTTAGAATACAAATTCAATTCAACATCGGTGTTGGGGCCGATGTGATAGTCGTATCCCTCTAACTCGCCTCTCCATTCCTTTGGAGCCTTGACACCTTTTCCGTTCAACTTGGCCAAGATCGGTTTTACTTCTCGGTACGAAATTGGGAGAACTGGAATCTTCCCGATACTGTCGTGTGGATCCTTGCGTTCCACATCGCCCTTAGATGCATATCCTGGAGTTGTAGGATCACCAGGTGCTGCACCAATGCCTCCTAAAAATTGGACACTGCCTCTTTGCACAGAGCTTTCGTGTCTAGCCGGGCCATGAGGATACTGCTTGAATCCGTTTGCTGGTGTCACTCCCCCATCATCTCCGGGATCGGTATAAAGTAAAACACCGACAGCACCGTGTTCTTGGGCAAACTTGACTTTCAAGCCCCGGAAAATTGCACCGTATCTGGCAACGGCAATTTTGCCTTCGACTTCCACACCTAGCTCCTTCAAACGCTCGAAATCCTCTTTACGGCCATAGTTGACATAAACGTACTGAGCTGTCACATTGCCATTGGCTCCGTAGGACAAAAATGTCGGAACCAAATCATCGCCGGAAGACGTGCTATCTTCAGCAATGACATCCTCTTTCAAGGGAGCCTCGTACAAAACTTTACCCGAGCTGCTCAAAAGATTCAAAGCATGGCTTTCTGGGTAACTGACGTAAATATCGTAAGTGTCAATTGATGCGTCCAAGCCATACTCTTCAAACTTGTCTCTGGTCCATTGAACAAGACCAAAATTGGTACCAGGTAAATGTGCCTCGGATGTATATCTTTGAGACCAGTTGCCTGCAAGATTGATCTTCAAAGCTTCCGCGAGAACCTCAAAAGGGTTTTCAGATTCATCCCTGAAGACATCCACTTTTTGAGCAAGGAAGAACTTGGATATAACAAAAAGCAAGAACGTAACCAGAATGGCTAACGCCCTTCTTCCGATCGAAGATCTATGGACCACAATAGGGTCTGTTACCACCTTTTCTGACATAGTCATGATAAGATTACCGAAAAGAATAGCTTGAGGAGATAAGATTCTGTGAGAGGAGTGTGGCTCTGTATATACAGGTTGTATACAGGATAATGTGTGGCACAGATGCTTGCATGCGCGTGGGGGGACAACGTGCGTAGACGCATGTACGGTTTGTTGACAACACATTTTGACACATGAATGTTGACACACGCGTGACAAAAAACATTTCTACGACAAATGAATCGACAATGGCACATAAACACGTCAATTATCCATATGGTTATCTCAGCTGCTACTTAACTTGCGCTCCTGCTCCAAAAAATGTGTATGTCTAGGTAAAAAGAGCATTGACAGGAGAAAACGCTTTCTTAAGGCTATTCTCCTTACGGAAAAGAAATTTGCCATATTGGGGCAGATTTAAAACGTCATTTTTCTCATACGTGTAAACAACTTTGCCCCTTAGAAGCGTGTACTTTGGCCAGTTGGAAAATTCCATACCTTCGAAGGGAGTGTAATCGTATTGGTGAAGTAACATCTCGTTCTTCAATTTGAAGTTGATTTCTCCCTTTGGATGCCAAACCACTAGATCCGCATCATGTCCCACTTGGATTGTTCCCTTCTTTCCTTCGAGCCCATACAATTTGGCAGGGTTGGATGCGGTTATTTCTGCGAATCTTTGTGGAGAAATTTTTCCTTGCTCCACACCATAGCAGAACATAAGTGGTACTCGGGTTTCAACACCCGGAAGTCCGTTAGGGATTTTTTTATAGTCTGGTTTTCCTTCTACGAGCCCCTTTTTCTTTCCATCAATGTCGTCATAGCTCGAAGGAGCATGATCGCTGGATAAAATGGTGACTGTGCCGTTTTGAATCGATTCCCATACTCCATTCAACTCTTCTTCCGTCTCTCTAAGAGGAGGCGAGCAAACATATTTAGCTCCTTCAAACTCGTCGTGATGACAGTTTCCCTTCATGAGTGCAGCCTTTAAAAACAAATATTGCGGACAAGTTTCGGCCATGATAGGTATTAGTCTGTCTTGGGCTGCTCGAACGTGGTCCAACGCTTTTTTTGCCGACATGTGGACAATGAGGATGGGAATGTCGATTATTTTTGATAAAGAAATCACTCTATAACTAGCCTCGTCTTCGGCTTCAACTGGTCTGGAAACCCCGTGATAATATGGGCTGAGAAGTGACTTTTCTTGCAACTTCTCGTTGAAAAACTTGATAATATCGTGGTTTTCTGCGTGGATCATTTGAGTGATGCCAAGTTTCTTGTTCTCTAGAAGAATTGCTAGTAACTGTGAGTCGTCCAAGCGAAGCGATTCGTAAGTTGTGTAAACTTTAATGCTTGATACACCCATTTCTTTCACCTGGGGAAGTTTGGCAAGAAGAGCTTTAGAAGGCTTCCTCACAATTAAATGGAAACCATAGTCACAGTAGCAATTGCCCTGGGCAACTTCTTTGTAGCTTGCAATGTCTTCTATGACCGATGAGCTTTCTTCTGTATCTTGTTCGTTTTGGATTGCAAACGCAATGATGGAGGTGGTTCCACCTGCCAAGGCGCCCTTCGTGCAATTCAAAAAGGTGTCGCAATACGGCATTTTAGGCTCTTCAACATGAACGTGGGCATCTATTCCTCCTGGAGTCACAAATGCTCCTTTGGCATCGATCATCAACTCACCTTGCAAAGCAGTGCTAGAGATGGTGCATATCACGCCATTGTTGATACCAATGTATGTCGAAGGAGGTAGAATTTCTGATCCTGACACAATATGGCCATTGAATACCACTGCTTCGTAAGACATGGATATCTGGGAAGTCTGGGCTGGAAAACGTATTATGTTGGTACTTATCATTCACATTTCCTATTCGGGTAACCCGACGCACAAGTCGAAGATGAGCTTCACTACATTCACTTTGGCGAACCAATCAACTTACCAAAATATCAAAGAAATAGACCTCTTGCTTCTGTTGGCAATTTGCTACTGTGGTACTTGCAGCTGTGGTGTTTGCTGTTCTACGGTATCTGGCAATTATCATATTTGAACGCTAAATAATTCAAAAAGTCACTGCTTAATTCAGTTGTAGTCTTGGGCTTGTCTATAATGTCTATCTAAACGATAAATGCCAGAAGTCGTGGCCCAAGTAGACCTACTATTGGTGCTCTAGCCGTTCGTCTTGAATAATCACTGATAAGGGCACTCGCCCAATCCGGTAACCCGAGAAAGTATACCCGCAACAACGGAGCACATCCGCCCATTTCCTTGGCCTGTGGAAAGCTGCATAATCTAGCATGAAAAGGCTGTATCCTGTCACCCCTGAAACCCTGTGATTTTGAAAACTGGTGCTGATTCATTGGCTAGGTCACGTGCGACACCAGCAAGATAAGGATTACGACCCCACAACCTCAAGAAATATGCGTCCAAAGAACGAATACAAGGAGTTTCAGCTTGTGCTCCGAGTGAAAAATGATAAAATCATAACCAGAAAACCCATCCGGTTGACGAAAAGATCCTCCAACGGGTGTTTAAATTGCAAACGAAAGAAGATCAAATGCGACGAAACTAAAGATCAGTGTAGGAGATGTCTACGGAGTGGTATGTCGTGTGTGTGGGGACCTGAAAAGGCCAAAGTCGTTCCAAAACCTGAGGCTCAGAACGGTCAGGATTTGGTGCCACATGTCCAGAATCTTCCTCTCATTAGAAGCCTCGGTCTGCAAGTAGGAGAAGCACCGCTTGATGCGATGTTTTTTGCCTTCTTCACCAACGGTTTTCTTCCCACGATAGCCAAGCCTCACTTCTACGAAAAGCTTTCTTCGCAGGGCCTACTTTTGTCTGCGGCAGACAACTCAGCGGCGCTACGAGAGATCTACATTGCATGTGGAGCTTCTCTCGCAGCCAGAGAGGATGTGCGATGCAAAGACGTCGCCCAGAGGAGATACAAGAAAGCGCTTGAGCTGTTTGTGAAGCTCATGAAACATGGCAGAGTCAACGGCTACGAAGACTGGTTTTTCGTGGCTGTGCAAGTGCTTCAAACGTTGTGTCTTCGAGACTCGTTTTCGGGCTCCAATGCCACGCGATGTGCAGCTCATTTCAACGCCGCTTACAAGGTCATTGCCCATCGGCTTTTTGCAGAGCACTGTGTGCGTTCTCCCTTGGAGAAAATGATGATTGAGAATTTCATTTTCAACTACTCCATCACGATATTCTACTGTGAAAAGGCGCAGATCGAGGCGCTCATTCCTAACCCGTTTGACTTCTTCGCCCACGCCAACTCCAAACTCAATGAAATGTCGCTTGTCGATGGGAGCCCGCAAACCAGCCGCATGTCGATGCAAGCATTTCAGATTGCTGCCAAATGCTCGTGGCTGTGTCGTCTCCATTACCCGCTTCTGGCCGCAGACCAACGCTTACATTGGGAGATGTTTCTGCTTGCCGAAACGCTCCTCTTCTCTCTCGACTCGACAAACTACGATAACAACACAGTGCAAGTGCAAAACACCGTCTACATTGCCAAAGTGGTTCTTCGCGCGTCGATCATATTGCTTCGCAAAATGCTTTTCCCCGGTACGAGAGCGGTCGACTTGCAAGACATCGTAAAGGCTGCGGTAAACGACATCAGCCAACCTTGCAACGAAAAGGTGATTTTCCCCATTTGGGCATTGATGATCGGCGCCAGTGCATCACTTGACGCATCATGCAGGCGGTTTTTCGTCCGGCGTTTGGAGTGCTTGTTTCTGTGGTCCAAGTCCCAGATTGCAAAACAGGTGGTGATACATCTCGAGGGCCTTTGGGAATTGTACAAAAATGACGAGCCCTTCGAATTGCTTTTCAACAGCGATGTGTTAGACGAGGTATGTAGATAGCGAATAAGAAGAAGGACAAGAAAAAGAAATCGCACTTGATAAGCCATGCAGTTGTCTGCACAAGACATGATGGCGCACGGCTTTTTGAGTCCGTGCATCAAGAACCCGCCTATCTTGCGAAAAAAAAAAATAAAAAAAAAAAAAAGTGAGATGATGTAGATATATATGGATCTGAAATTTTTTTTCGCTTGGCACGTCCAGAGAAACAACAATGTCCTCCGCCACAAAGGGATATGACGACACTTTTACCAAATCAGAATCAGACTCTCAGAGTGTGACCCTGGTGGTGGACGAAAAGCCTTCTCTCTGGCAACGAATTAACAAAAAAATATCGTTGCAGAACCCAGACTTGTCCTTGGTCCAGAACTTTTTGATCAATGACGACTTGAAGCCCTTGCTCAACCCACAAGACAGAACTTGGAGATGGTTCCACTTTATCTTTTTCTGGATTTCCGACTCGTACAACATCAACACTTGGCAGATTGCTGGCACTGGTGTCGAGGCAGGTCTCAGTTGGTGGGAGGTGTGGATCTCGGTCATTTTGGGCTACTCTTTTGTTGGTCTTTTCATTTTCCTTGCCCAAAGAGTCGGTGCCTATTACCATGTTAGTTTCCCCGTTTCGTGCCGGGCAAGTTTTGGTATTTTCGGCTCGCTCTGGCCCATCATTAATCGTGTGGTGATGGCTGTCGTTTGGGCATCTGTCCAGTCATGGATTGGTGGTCAGTGTGTTCAGCTTATGCTCATGTCTATCTTTGGAGCCGATTTGGACACCAAAATCCCCAACAAAATCAAAGGTTCGGGCACCACCTCGTTCCAGTTCTTGTGCTTTTTCCTCTTTTGCTTCTTTTCGTTGCCTGCCATCTACTTGAAGCCGCAGAAGTTGCGCCACTTGTTCACCATGAAGGCCATTGTGTCTCCCGCATGTGGAATTGCTTTGTTGATCTGGACAATCAAGAGAGCAGGCGGAATCGGACCTGTTGTGCATCAAAAAACTTCAGTCTCGGGCTCTACGCATGCATGGGCGTTCATCAACTCTACCATGAACTGTATCGCCAACTTTGCTACGTTGACATTGAACGCACCAGATTTTTCCAGGTTGGCCAAGACTAGACACTCCTCATCTTGGACCCAGGCGATTTCGATCCCATTGTCGTTTGCGCTTACGGCCATCATCGGAATCTTGGTCTCGTCGGCCTCGAAAGTCATGTATGGCACTGCGTACTGGAGTCCTTTGGACGTGATGAAGGAGTACGTTATAAGTTACACAAGTGGAGACAGAGGTGGAGTTTTCATTATTGCGCTAGGCTTTGCCATTGCCCAGTTGGGAACGAACATTTCTGCCAACTACATCAGTGCTGGAACGGATATGGCCGCTTTGTTGCCCCAGTACATCAATATCAGAAGAGGCGGATTTATTGCTGCTGCAATCTGCTTCACCATCTGTCCATGGCATTTCTTCAGCTCGTCGAAAAACTTCACCACATACTTATCAGCATACGCTGTCTTCTTATCTGCCATCACTGGAGTCATTGCATCAGACTATTTCTGGGTCCGCAGAGGCTACCTCAATGTGTGGCATTTGTACTCTTTCACGCCTGAAAGTAATTATGCTTACAACTCACTTGGAGTCAATTGGCGGGCATACGTGGCGTATATTTGTGGCATCTTGCCCAATATCGTGGGATTTGTCGGCGCATGTGGCGTTTCCATTCCAATTGGTGCACAATACATCTACAACTTGAGTTATTTTGCGGGTTACATTGTGTCATTCACCATTTACGCATTGCTCTGCTTCTTCTGGCCCGTTAAAGGCGCTCCAGTCAAAGACATTAGAGAGAAAGGCTGGTACGAGGTTTATGTGGAAGATCGTCCGGGCGAAAAGTTCTCAGATATTGTCAGTGGAAAGTTGGAAGAGAACGAGTATGTTCGTGCTAGAGGTGGTATCAGACTCTTGTAAGTTATGTACTAATGTAATTTGTTTGTATAGAAGGTTTGACGTTAATGGTGGAAAGTGGGAAATTATGGGATCAGTATTTATTTAATGCTTATTATGATGGAAATTATGTCTTCTGTAGTTCACTGTAATTAAAACAGTTTGGGGAAAATAAAAAATACATGAGCTTTACTCTTTCACGAGATTGATAACAAAATGGCATTGTTACCAAAGGCATGTTTCGAAATACTTGACATTACCTGAGAAAATCTTATGCATTCTACCCGAACTCGTTTAGAACTGATTCTTTAGCAACTTTCATGTTTTAGTACTCGATTTGGTGGCTTATGGCTTCTGTATCAATGTTTGGACAAAGGCAACTTGATAATTAATTAGTTGTTGACACAGAATCAGTGGTACTCTAACAACTTTTCCTCATTTTAATGTATCTTAGGAATATCCGACGTCTATACTCTTTAGCTTAGAGGGACCGTCCAAGCATGTGCTATAGATCTCTTCTTGCTTTCGTTTGGAATTGTCAAGCAGGAGAGAAGCTTTTACAACTTACTTCATGCTTTTCCTTGAATTTTTTTTATCAGTAGTGTCTTGAATATTGACTTCACTACAACCGTGGACCCTTCTCTGTCAAAACAGGAAACCCGACTATGCACAATGAACATCTGCTCACGCGCGGTAAACCAAATGGGGCAAGCCGATATGCGAAAGTGCTCCTTTCGGTAACCCGACATGTACGTCTAATTCAATATAAAGATCAGAATGCCTAATGTTTTGAGCTTGTCCTATTCAACCACAAATGGCAACCATTGTACAAGAACCATCCATCACGCTCAGTGTGGAGACACAATTGAAAATCAAAGAAAGTCGCTTGATCGACACGATCCACGAAACTGCACAACTTTTTGGAGCTAAAGGCAAATGGGGAGAGCATCTTACGGAAACGGGCGTTTGCCGTTTGGCGTTGTCTGATGAAGACAAAGGCGTGAGAGACTGGTTTGTTAAAGAGGCCAAATCGCTTGGATGCACCGTGAAAATCGACGAGTTGGGCAATATCTTTGCTATCTACGTTGGAAAGAAAGACGGACCTCCGACGGCCATTGGCTCCCATTTGGACACCCAGCCTACTGGAGGGAGGTACGACGGGATTCTTGGGGTTTTGAGCGGGTTGGAGGTGTTGCGCACGATGAAGGATAACAACTTCACTCCCAACTATCCAATCTGTGTCATTGACTGGATGAATGAAGAAGGAGCCCGGTTCCCGATGAGCATGATGTCTTCTGCCGTGTGGGCCGGGGCAGCAAAGAAAGAAGACGTTTACGAGATGAAATCCGTCACCGACCAGACACCGGTGTCCGTTTTGCAAGAGCTCAAGCGCATTGGGTATTTGGGCACAGTTGCTTGCAACTACAAGGAAAACCCACTTTCGGCGCATTTCGAGCTCCACATCGAGCAGGGCCCGATCTTGGAAGAGCTGAACAAAAGAATCGGCCGTGTGCAAGGTATCCAGGCTTTGAAATGGATCGAAGTGACGTTGAAAGGGAAAGCTCAGCACACAGGCACCACGCCGTTCCGGTCTCGGAGTGATGCGCTTCTTGCCTCCTCTAAAATTGTGGTGAAGGGCAACGAAATTGCCCACAGGTACGGCGGGTTGTTTAGCGTGGGCATTATGGAGCTTGAGCCGGCTGTGGTCAATGTGATTCCTCAACAAGTGCGCTTTGTCATGGACATCAGACACGAACTAGACGACAAAGTTGAGCAAATGTACAGCGAAATCAAATCTGTCATGGACGAAGTCGTCAAGAGCTCGGGAGTGAAATTGGCCTACGACTTGAAGGAAAACGTGAGTCAGCCTGCTGTCCACTTTGACCAAAAATGCATGCAGTGCATTAAAGATGCATCGGACGAGATTTTCGGCGAAGAGGAGTCCATTGCTATAATCAGCGGCGCAGGTCACGACAGCGGTCTTGCTTCTTTACGGGTGCCTACGGCGATGATCTTTATTCCTTCGAGAGACGGGGTTTCTCACAATCCCGAGGAGTACAGCACACCGCAACAGGTTGACGATGGGTTTAGGGTATTGTTGAATGCTGTGTTGAAGTACGACCAGTCCAGAACAGAATGAGCTACGGTTTAAATTTATGGGTATGTGAACGGTTTACGAGGTTCTGGACATTTCGGGTCTGTTTCTGGACAGGTTGCCGTCTATCGTATTTCTGACTCGAATTCTTGGCCGGGCGGTGCGAGCACTTCTCGATTGGGGATAAATTAGTCCAATGTGATTTTTGTGATAAGGCGGTCGGAGATTTGCATCTGTAGGAGATAGTACACCGCTGTATCTTACTGGTCCAAGTCTTGGCGTGCTGCAGTGTACAGGAAATAAATCTGTAAAGAATAGAGGACGTGTGTTCGTGATTTCTGCTCCAGGGCCAAATTTCCAATTTCACGCAAACTAAACCGCCGACCTTAATATAGCCGAGCATGTAGTGTCGGCAAATAAAGTCGTAAAATGGCGCTTAGCGGCGTTTCAGTTCAAGAATGGGTGGGGACCTTCTCGACGTTTATCTGTGACCATGTGCTGATAAGCGCCGTGCATGGCCCGCGAGAAACACAACCCAAAACGGCGAAAATTTGACATTTTCCCGTTCCTTCCATTACCGAGAGATGCGTAATCTTTCGGAACATACAGGGCCCACCGCAAATGTGACTTGAGCTGCATTATATAGCTGGTGGATTGTCCATTTTCTCTTCTTCCCAACTTTCCCGCAGGCGATGGCAAGAACAACCACTTTCCAACTAGAAGCTCGAGACATTGACCTCCAGGCTCAATCCAGCACGTTTGTGCCCACAGACATTTTGTTTGTCTTGATGGGTTCCTTTGGTGTGTTTTTGATTACTCCGGCCATCGGATTGTTCTACGGTGGTACCATCAAGCGCAAAAACATTGTGCAGTTGCTTTTCCAGACCTACATGACCACCAACTGTATAGTCATCATATGGTACTTGTTTGGATACTCTTTGGGAAACTCTCCCAGCTCAGGCTCCAAGTTGATTGGTGACTTCAAGCACGCCGCACTCTACAACGAAGAAGCCAAGCCTTTGATCGAAGGTGGAACCATTCCTTCGGCCATCAACTTCTGCTTCAATGTGTTTTTCCCCGTGGCTACCGTGCAAATTTTCTTGGGTAGTATTGGTGAAAGAGGCCGTTTCCTTCCATCGATTGTCGTTGGTTGTATTTGGGTCGTTGTGTGCTACTGTCCCTTCGCCTTTTGGGTTTGGGGTGCCAATGGCTGGTTGCTCAACTTGGGAGCCTTGGATTTCGCTGGCGGAGGCCCGGTTCATATTGCATCTGGTGTTGCATCACTTATTTATTCCTGGTATCTTGGCCCCAGAGGCCAGCCTGGCAAGAGGACTGGCAAAATCACCCACTACAGAGGCCACTCGTCCGTATCCACCTTCATCGGTGTCACGCTTATTTGGGCTGCTTGGTTCATGTTCAACACCGGCACCTTATTGTCCATCAATGTGAGAACCTGTTACATTATGCTCAACACCATCCTTGCCTCGGCGTTTGCTTCGTTCACCTATGCGGCGATGGACAGATTGATCACAGGAAAATATTCCGTTCAAGCTGCCTGTGAAGGCGTCGTTGTAGGTTTGGTCAATATCACTCCTTCTTGTGGATACTACTGGCCTTGGGCAGCTGCCGTCACCTCTATAATCAATGCTATCATCTGCCGGGCTGTTGGCCTGTTCAATGACTGGACCGGAGTCGACGACTACAGTCTTTCATTTGTTGTTCACGGCGTGGGTGGCATTGTTGCTGACACTTTGACTGGTATTTTTGCATCCAAGACTGTGGCTGCTCTCGATGGAGTCACCGAAATCAAAGGTGGTTGGATCAATGGACATTATAAGCAGCTTGGATACCAAATTGCCGCATGGACGTCCATTGTCGCATGGACTACCGTCTTCACCTTGATTATTTTGTTCATTGTGGACAACATTCCCGGTTTGAAATTAAGGGCAAGTGCCGAGGCTGAAGAAATGGGTATGGACTTGTATGAGATGGCTGAGACTCTTGATGAGTTCGGAAACGACTATGAAGCGTTTTTCGCCGCTTACCATGCTCATCGTAGAGGCGTGGTGAACGAATATGAGGGTGGCCTCTTGGCTTCTAATGAGCAGCAGCAGCGCTCGTCGTCTTTGGGTTCAAGTTCCATCACAAATGTGAATATTGTGAACAAAGAAAAGGTATAAGCAATAAATAACGAAGGTATGCGAGAACTTGGTGTAGCAAAGGCCGCTTTTAGGGTGATGAATAAGCCATTCAATAGGATCGTCGTGATTGGTAATTCTAGGGTAGTCGAATTTCAATGGTTCGTCGTCATACATGTTAAGAGTCAAAGAAGATTGACTTTGTCATGTCGTGGTAGTGATTAATAGTTTTTTAACATTCCGTATCAGCTATTGGGGAACAACTTGTATCTCTTCCGTAAGAAATAATTTTCTTATTGGATCTTTAAATGGATAAGTGCCTCTTTATATGGAGTGAGCACTTTCTTACCAAAAAGAGAGAATCACTTATCTCTGTAATGAGTGAGCACTTTCTTTCCCAAAATAGAGATTTTAAGCAGGGAAGTAATCAGTCAGCCAATGTGAGAAATTTCATTCAGTAATGTCCCTCGGTTAACTGGGCCCTTTTCCCGGTGGCAAATGTGAAGAAAAATTAGAAGTACATAGTATGAAGTAATATGAATGGATATACAACTGATGGTTTATTAGCGTCAATAAGGTGAGGTATGACATATATGAAACAATATTGCAACATTCCTGGCAATCGGATGGCGGTGCTGAAATCTGGATGAATACCGAAGAATATTGGCTTATTTTTTCTTCTTCAACTCCTTGTTTCCTAGTAGTAATAGGAGATCGGGAATAAATGATATGAACTACATTTCTTGGTATTATCAAAAGCACTGGGATTCTCCTAAACCCAATTATTCCGGTTTACCACGAACCCTGATGTAAGATATTTCCTTTTTGGGCATTGGATTCGGAATGAGTATTCAAAGGTCGTTTTAGTTCCTGTCTTCCTATAAAGTGGAAAATAGGTGATTTATATAGTTGAAGATATAGGGATTATAAGGCAATTCTCGCCTCCCTGCAATTTTGACAATTTATTATTGCTCTAGTTTAGGTTTCCAGAGAGACTTGGTTAAGCATTGATAGAGATGTGGATCCTACAGCATTGAAGGTGACGAAACAATATCGCGGTCTAGTGATTGGACAACTCAGACATCCTAGCAAACTTCGAAGATTAGCTTTTGATTACAGTATAGTCGAGTTTTCGCCACCATATTAAGAAACTGGTGTTCGTCATATTTTTTCCTGCTGAAAGTACATTTGTTCAGGCTCTTCCTTCAATTGTGTCGTCTTCTATACAACGATTCTATAGATATGAAGTTCAGTCTTCACTGTTATTATTTTTTTCTTACTTTGATTCCTTGAGACAGCTTACATGAGGTTACAAGAGGATTTTATCCAGGTGGCAATGTAAACTTAATTTGTGAAGTGCGCATTTTCGCATTAAACAAGCCTTTGTGTATGAATTTTCCAATTGGACAATATGCTTCAAAGGTAAGACATCATGCGTATATATACCATTTTCATAAAAGATACCAAAGATACATCATGGATTCCGGAATGCATTCCTAAACGGGAAAGTAGAATTAGTCTGCATTTCCTATCTATGTTTTACAGGAATGTCGCACTGATAAGGTGTGCGATTACTACTGTAACGTTGCAATTGAATTCAAACGTGCATCCAACGCCTCTAATACCAATGCTTGTAGGTGCTTATCAAGAAATATTCAGTAAATGGAGAAGTTCTCTATAAAATTGATCATTTTGCAACTCAAACGTGAGAAATACCCATTAACTTTAATGCGTTTATGTGGAATTGTACTGTATACAAAATGTAAATGAAAGATGCTCCTGCAGGCCGGGGAGATGAGTGGGATGAAAAAATGGGCCATCCGCATGTTTGTACGGCAAAAAGCATCGGAAAAACAGTCGTTCTGAGCCGCGCACTGCATATTCATGCATGACAGAAACGGGTCAGCAGCTGAAAAAATTCTGTAGAACAGTAATTTTCTACAGTTTTTGAGAAGCTTAATTCCAGAAGGATGTAGTGTTTTTATTCCAAAACCTGTGATGTTGCCTGTTCTTAAATATCTGTAGAATACAACACCGTATTAACTCGTAAGAAAAACGATTGCTTCATCGCATATGCATGTCATTTTGAATGTCGCATGACAGGTCTGGGAGACACATTTCCTTTTTTTCTTTTTTTTTTTGTTATCCTCCCCTCCTCCTTTCTTTTCTTTCGTTTCCCTTATTTTTTGAATCATCACCCTGATACCTCCAATCGCAAAGCTGGACAATGTCGCTGCCAACAGAAGATAAGGAAATTAGCAAGAGAGAAGACATTCTCGAGGCTACGAAAGAAGAAGACAAGGAGGAGCAGGTTTTTCACTCGACGAAAGAAGAAGAGTTTGGAGAAACGGATTCTTCTGTAGATGTCAGCGAACGCGAGGCGAGGTTGGAGAAAACAGATAACTTCTTGAACAAGATCGGTCTCAAGTTCAATGCCGAAATTAGAGGTGTTGAACGGGTGCCTGAGAGCAAAAGAGAAGATGGAAATTGGTTGAACTCCTTGACTGTTTTCCTTTCGCCCAACTTTGCTGTTTCCACATTGAGTACTGGTATGATGGGACCAACATACTACGATCTCGACTTTAGAACTTGTATTTTGTGCATTGTCTTCATGGGTATCCTTGGCTCTATTCCCGTTGGGTTGTACTCTATTTTCGGAGCCAAGTTTGGCCTCCGTCAGCAGATTCTTTCCAGATACTTCACCGGTAACATCATGGGCCGTGTTTTTGCGTTCTTCAATGTGATCTCGTGTATCGGATGGAACGCCATCAACATCATTCCTTCTGTTCAAATGTTGGTGTCATTAGGAAGTTTGCCTGCTTGGGCTGGCTGTTTGATTTTTGTGGTTATCACTAGTGTTTTGGCTCTCTTCGGCTACAAAACAATCCACATTTACGAGAGATACTGCTGGATCCCAAACTGTATTGTTTACCTCATCATCATTGCCCGTTTCACAATGTCTCACAAATTCACTTGGGGTCATATGGAGACCGGAACTACGGAAGCTGGAAACGTCTTGACATTCATCAGTGCCATTTTTGGTCTTACTGCAGGCTGGTCGCCTTCCGCTGCTGATTATTTTGTGTACATGCCTAGCAACACTAACCCATGGAAGATTTTCTTCTGTATGGTTGTTGGCTTGAGTTTTCCTGCTATTTTCACTATGATTTTGGGTGCAGCTATTGCCACGAGTACCCACAGCGACCCAGCATGGAAAGCAGCTTATGATGACAACTCTGTTGGTGGCCTTATCTACCAGGTTTTGGTGACAGACAGTCTTCACGGTTTCGGTAAGTTTTGCGTGGTCGTTTTGGCGTTTTCCACCATTTCTAATAACTTGCCTGGTTCTTACTCCTTGTCTTTGGCCACACAAGCTATTTGGTCGCCATTGGCCAGATTTCCAAGATTGGGCTGGTGTTTGATTGGTAATTTCGTGTCTCTTGCTTTGTGTATCCCAGCTTACTATGTCTTTGCCGAAACCATGTCGAACTTCTTGAGTATTATCGGTTACAATGTCTCCATTTACATTGGTATCACGTTGGCTGAACACTTTGTGTTCAGAAGAGGATTCAAGGGCTACAATCCGGAAGATTGTGATGACAGATCTAAGTTGCCCGTGGGTGTTGCAGGTGTTTTCGCTTTTGCGGTTGGTGTGGCGTGCACGGTTCTTTCTATGAACCAAACCTGGTATCAGGGTGTGATTGCAAAAAAACTTGGTGAATATGGAGGTGATATTGGTTTTGAACTTAACATTGCTGGTTCTTTCATCGCTTACTGTTGCGCAAGACCATTTGAACTCAAGTATTTCGGACGTTAGGTCCGAGATGCCTCATTTTATAGCTGAGCGCTAAAGTTGATGTCTAATTTTTAAAGCTTACATTCAACCTGTACATATACACTGATAAAAATTTGGGTGGGTCACCCTTTAATGGTAATATTCTGCTGTAGTCTCTATCATACGTTCCGTAATTTGTCTAATACCATTATTTGTTTCGTTTTCAACATACGTCGGATCTTTAATGCGGCAGACAAGGCAAATGTTTTCATTACTCTCTCTTATGAGCTTGCTCTAATTAAATCTAATATATTTAAGAAGTGGCTGAAATTTTGCTATATTCAATGGTGATGTTACTCCAGCGTAAACTTCTGCCTGGTTCATCTGCAATTTCTTCTTGCTTTAAATCATCATTAAAGCACCGATACAAGATGCAAAGAAAAGGGTGAGACTACCAGGTAACGTTTGCTTTTCAGCAAGACCTTTAGAAGACGAGGACGGCTTTGTATCATTGTTATTGGCCTTGGACGAAGAAGGCTTTTCCAGAGAGATTGATTCAAATGATGGGCTTGTCGTAGCTGTCTGTTTAATGGTGTGAGTAGATGCAGTGTTAAATGATTCAGTAGCGCTTTCCTTAAGGCGTCTTCCCGTGTACATTGGGTAAGTTGGATGAGCCAGTGTGTAAATGAATTCCACAGTAGAACCCAATATTCTTTGCAGGTATTCCCAAGCGGTGGTGTAGTTAAAATACTGCGCTGGAGTTGCCAGTGGGACACCTGTGGAGATTACCTCAATATTCTGAGATCTCGATTCAGAAGCCAATGGGGCAAAGCCGATCTCTTCTGTGTCGTAGTCCACTATCATGTAACTGTCATTGAAAAATATTGAAAAACTTAACAGGGGACTCTGGTCAATTCTTGCCAACTCTCCAGATAGTTTACATCCTGTAACATTGCCTTGAGAGTCTGTGAAGTACGAAATGAAATTCTTTTCGGGAATTCTGTACTCCTCTCCACTGAAGTATATGGAAAAGTATTCTGTCAGGTTCATGTACAGACATGATATTAGTGGCGTCTGGATAAATAGTTGCTTTATGTCGAATGTGGCATTGAAGTGCTCAAGTAAAGCAACGTAATAATCTGGCTGGAATATAGTGTCTCCGTTAAGCGTCACTACAGTTTGGCTGGAAATCAGAAAGTTATTAGCTGCCATGCCGTCCAAAAGAATAGTTGGTCCTATGCCATTTAAACCAGTAGATAAATAATTAAACATTTTGAACTTTCGAAGAGGCTCCTGATATCTGCCGTGGTCGATAGCTCCAAATAAAACGTCCTGTTGGCCCAGGGTAATTCCATAAGAGAAAGACCTACTTTTGATGTAGCCAGAGTTCACTAACGAATCGAGTGGGGATGTCACTTCTATCAAGCTAGATAATCCGAGACCAACGATTGGATCTCCACCGAAAGGATCGACTGTGGCGCTGAAGTCTTCGAGTTCAAAGCCCCCAATTTCAATTCTCTCTTGGCCAAGCACAGGGTCATCTTCAAAAGGAAAGAAAGTTGCTTCCTCAGTGACATTGTCTGGCATATCGTAGTAAGAACCATTCTTGAAGCCGATCGAGGGTGATAAACAAATGAAAGAGTAGTCCATGTTTAATGAAGCATTTATGGGCTGTGGAGGAGAACCGAAGGACATGCCTGTTTCCACTTTTCCCTGGTATATCTCATCAGAAGACTCTAACGAAGAATCAGACTGACGAGAAGTTGGGTTTACCCACTGAGCAGCAACTGCTGCAACAGAGAGAAAGAAACGTTTCCACATGGCTTATAAATAGACTGCAAAAAAAGTATAATGGGAAGACAGGCCGAGTGTTTATATTGAAAAATGGAACGGCTCTAAATGTTGCATGTAGTCTTGCATAACGCCTCTCTTCTCTATCGTAAATACGTATGTCAAGAAACACGAGGATAGACTCACTTTCGTTTGCCGAAAGATGGCGATATTTTCTTGTTATTTCTCATGAGAGTAGCGCAAATGCACTAGTAATACCATATTTGTAAAATTGAAAAGGGAAAAGTTGCATCCGGTGATGCGAGAGAAGTTTCCTCGAGATGTGCGTGCATGTAATGTAGGAGAATAGTCAACCAACTGTCTGATATCGGCATAGGACTCCTAATTTGATGTAACTTATTTTCGCCAGCAATTTCTTTCCTGAATTGCATTATGATAAGTTAAGCTATCAGATTTTCGTTGTGGGTGAGCGTTGAACGCAGACTTGCGTCGACTGTGGAGCAAGATAAATGTCTCTTGAAAATTCCCTGCGGGCCTGCTTAAATGAAACAATGAAAACGGGGGATCTCCTCTGACTTTCATTCCGAGAGTGTCAAAGTACAAGAACTTGGCCACAAGATAGCGCTCATTTCAAACAAGATTTGGAATGATAATTTCGAGATTGGTGACTATACACATTAACCGGTGTGGTTTACAGTCAAGTGACTGATGATAGAAGGAACAAGCATTCAAGAACGGTGCTGCCCGTACGCCATAAGTTGACTTCAATTAATGTATTCATTGCATATCCATTCTTACTACTACGCGGGGCCAGAAATGATCTTCGTACCATCAAGGATTATACGAAAGATGATTTAAAGAACCTGCAACTCGTTGCATACTATCATGCTCGAATCTGAATCTGTGTTCAAGTCATTCTTGGCTGATCCATACGAACCAGTCATTTCTGTGATAATTCCATTTCAAATCAGGTCCCTTGGCCCAGTTGGTTAAGGCGTGGTGCTAATAACGCCAAGATCAGCAGTTCGATCCTGCTAGGGAACCATTTCTCGGGCGTGTGGCGTAGTTGGTAGCGCGTTCCCTTAGCATGGGAAAGGTCTCCGGTTCGACTCCGGACTCGTCCATTTTTTTAAAAATTCTTTGTAGATCTTCTGGCAGCGCAAGTTGCTTTACCCAATCTTTCATTCTCTTTTTGGCTATAAGAGTTTCAAAGGCTTTGAAAGTGTTGTATGCATTTCCTAACAATGACGTTCTTACCCTAAGCCTACTGTATATTACCCTCACATCAGCTGTATGTGTATTATTTCATCTGCTGCAATATCTTCAAGTTTTTTATTATCGAATATTTCTGTATCATTCTTGCTTTATGGTTCATTTCTTTTAGGTAGTGTATAACCTGAAAATTGTTTGTTGTTTGATTTTTCGTTGTACTTTTATTTGGGGTATTTTGTATGAGCCTGTCACAGTTTTTAAAAAATGCGAATTTGCATTAGAATTAGAAAAAAATTGCACAAGAGAAGGACTAGTAGAAAACGAAATAGAAGCATAATGAAATGGATTCAGGCAAGCATAAAAAATTAAATAATGATAAGAACAAGTTTGAGTCGATATGCTTAGTTATCCCAGCAGAAGCGTACGTGGATACACCTGTTAGGTTCGGAATATAAGCGGTAGTGTATATTCAGTGTGTGTGAACTTCTTGGTTCCTGGCTTCCAACTACAATAGGAAGCCAGCATTCTTATAGACGTAGTAAATAGGGGTATGAGGCTTATCTCATACGGCGAAGCTTATCAGTAATCGAGCCAGATAAGGGTGTGGCTTATCTGGTAGGTACCATAACCGGAAGTTGGGATACTGCCAGGTTCCCCGGTATGGTTGACCTAACAACACCAGGGAAGTTTAATTAACCATTTTGAAGATATATACCTGAAAACTTCCTTCACGAATGAAATTTCTTAAGGAAGAAATTCTTTTGCAGAAAGTGATCTGAGATTAAGCATTTGATATAGCCTCAATTGTTTGATACTGTATGGCATTCGAAATTTGAAACCAGCTCAGTCGCTGAAAAAAATTGGTGCTTGTTGCGTGACTCAATAAGAACTCTCTTCAAATAACATTGTATGCGAGATTGAATTTTGGTACATGTATCTCCTCTATTCCTTTTGTTCCTGATTTTGAGGGATGTTAATAGTTAGGATACCATGTAGAAAAGACTCGGTATGAGAATTTCTGCAGTTTAGTGGCAGGGGTTCACATAGGCCAAACAAAATTTTTTTAACTGATTGAGGACGACTTTCCATGGTTCCAAATTTGAATTAGAGTAGTTTATTCCACTCAGTATAGACTATAGTCTCTCAATAAAACAAAATAATCAGTCAAGTGAATAATCAGATGCCTTACCAGCTAGTTCAAACTTTTCGTAACAAAGCGCAAAGTTGTCTCACCTTGTTTTCTGACTGAATTTCTTGATATAAAAACGATAATGTAATTGTATAATTGAATTTTCTTGAGGCACGAAGGAATAACCTAGGAACGATTATGTTGAACTATGAACATTCTGCCAATAAGCCTTTTGCAAGATCTCAAACCAGTGGGTATATATCTGTTTTCATGTTCTTGTGAGCTCGATTGCAGTCGTGCTGTCGTGTTTTTAGTATAGACTTGGGGACACTGTTATAGTATGGGACGAATGAATCGAATCATAAATTTTCACAAACAATATGTATCCCATAATTTCGTCCTTGCTGTTAAGTCCTACCAAGATGCATTAACCGGCAAATTGTCAAATCCAAGCCACATGAGTACGGAATTAAGCGTTCAAATTGATGCAGACTGAAATTGTATGTACTTTTTGCAATGACCATTTCGCTAGATGTAACTTTTGGGAGTTTGTATGAGGTAGCTTACTTGTTTGCATTGTTAGTGGGGACCTTTGTACAATACAATTTGAATTGTGCAGCTTTCACATAAATTCAAAAATTTGGGTTAAAATTTTTAATGGGATGAACATAATTCCAAATCGGCCTATAAAACATAATTACGGGTGCTGGTGGAGAAAGAAATCCGTCCTTCTTCCCTGTTTACTTCATTTTCTTTCTTCTTTCACATGATCCTGTGCAACCAACGAGTCAATTCCGTTGAGTTTAAATTCAGAAAGAGCGAAAAAAGAGGGTTAAATGCGCTTGTGCAGCAAAGCTATCATAACCCATGCAAATGTGCATGCAAGTTTATGTTGAAGACTTGCGCAAGTGATGATGTGGTGCATAGCGCATATGTTGATGTACAGTAGCCTATGCGTGCTTTGTCCGCCCTACGTAGGAAATATAGCGGAGTTTTCCGTGATGGATAAGTGTCCCAAAAAAGGACGGCCAACAAATCCCATTTTCTGTTTCCTTTCATTTTTTCTAGCCACCCTTCATAAATATCAACTAGTTTGTCTTTAATAGAAAAAACTTAACTCGATCGGATTTCACCGTGACATTCCTGTTATACAACTTGTTCATGCTGTATATAAGAATTACTTGGGACCCAAGAACCGTTGGGCTATCAAAGGAAAATACTTCATGCTAATTTGTATGGCGGAACAAGCCTGCGCTAGTGAGACCTCCAGAACAATGTCGAATATCAAATTACATTCAGTTGAAGTTAGAAAAATGGTACTTACTATCGGAGGAGCCCAGCGATTTATTCGAATAACATTATATGTATTAAGGCATTCTAGCATGATGTCGTACCAAGAAACTAGCACAGGCAATGGCAGTAATGAGATACAGAAGACAATAGTGGTATTGCATCAAGTCAATAGATGTAAACAGGAAGGATTCACGACACTGTGGCTTATTGACAAGACAAGAGGGACAGGAATAATTGCTGGATGTCTTAAATGTCCCAATTTACAGACGCAGAAAATTGTGTAGAAAATGATTGCGTCAAGCAAAGGCACCACTGTATAACCAAAAAAGATGCGGAACATTTTCAAAAAGGTAGTAGAAATTGTTCTTGCTAATGCTTGCCATTCATGTTATTGAAGGGTCAGCTACACGGGAATGGTTGATAGTAATTTTTGGCTAATATTTGTTGAGCAATACACCCATGAACTGCACTTGCATTAATCATACATTAGACGCATTGCACTTGCGTTAATCATGCATCAATGCGAGCACGAACATTAAAGGATGTCGGAATTCATGATGCATGTAACTAGGCCTCTATCCGCAACGTCCTTCCTCCTCATTGGCCTGAAATCCTTCCCTGCATTTCTTTTTTTTTTTTTTTTTTTTTTTTTTAAAATTATTGGTGTTAATGCACGAGTTTCGGCAAGTTTTGCCTGTTCATATTCAAGCATGTATCGTTTAATGGAGCATAGCGTTTCCACGATGCATAACCATTCAGCTTCTGTGCCATTTCTTCAAACCACAACTTCGTAAAAAAGCTTCAAGTCCATCTACGCAGAAAGTTTTGACAACAATTGACTATCTACGAAGAGGATCACTACTAGCGATTGTATTTTAGTTCTTTCAGTCTTATGTGTAAGGGGAGAGAATAATAGAAACCAAGTAAAATATCCGCTTCCCTGTATTCGATTCGATTACTTTTTCCGCGGCCGAAATTTACCCATCCTTCATTTCAGAGCTTGTGCATCACACTTTATATTATACTGCATATATAACGACTTTGCATCACCAGCAAGTGAATTTTCGTCAGATAGATAAGAGCTGTTGCAACTACCTAGATAATAAATCAGGTCTAGAGCAAATGCATTGAAGATTGTCAATAGTAAGATTACATATGAGTTCGGATGCTGTGTTTTCATGTCAAGATTCTCGTCTCGCATAGAATCATACGGAAACAATGCGTTTTGGGGGTTCTCCCTCAGTGCCAAAGTTTTCTTCTCTTTTCTACATTACTTTCAATCCTATATAGTGCTATTCTCCAATTTTTTCCAATTTTTGTGTCTTGTTTTTGAAAAGGGTTAGCCCGTCACCGAGGAAGGCAAATGGTGTTGCAATTTGCTCTTGCATGATCATACATAAAGAGAAGTATGGTACTACCGATTTGCATGTAGAGATATGCATTGAAGGCAAGAAGTAGACGAAGAAGAGTCCGTAAAAGAGAATTAAGGAAGCGAACATTCTATGCTTCATCGAAGCCTCGGTAGGACCAGGTCCATCTTAATGATTCATTGCAACCCTCGTTTTCCTGATTGATAAGGATATGATGTAGTGGGGTTATTAGTAACGAGATTAACAAGCCAGGATATTTGCCCGAGGTAGGTCATATGAGTCTTATCACGCATGTTCCGGATTTTTAAATTCATTGTTTCGCAGAAAAAATAAAGCGATACACTTCACTACTTATCAAATGCCGAATTTTGAAGCAGGAAGTCAAAATAGAAGCGGATCTGTCGGAAATTTCCATCAAAGACAGACACTTCCCCGAGTTTCCGAAACTCGGAAAGAAGGATGTTGATAGCTCCAAAGAAATCAGCCTTCACGAAATACTCTCTGAATAGCAATTGTTGAATACAATCCATTGTAGATGCTTGATAGCCAAAGAACGGAATTATTTGAGGAGAGGAAGGGAAGGATTGAAAACTGTCGTGCATATCTCTGCAGTGCTCAATTCCTGATTGTGCATGAACTTTTGATGATTGCACCACAAATTTCAGGCTCTTCAAAAGCAAACGTTGAGTATATAGTGTTGAATCAAAGTTTCCTTAGATCCACCAGCTCTAGGTTTTAAAAGTCTTGGTCATGCAGCAATTGCCTTTGTCACCAGAAGTTCGTTACAAACGAGGTGTCAACAACGACAAAGGATCGAGAGCGCATGATGCATTATGCGGAAGTACAACATTTAAGCGTCATGCATGACACCGAAGTCCGCATCTCGCCGGATACCCGTTTGGTTTTCTCACCAGAAACGGAATCGGAAAAAGGCCAATCCCAAAAATTCAAAGTGTTCTTAATGACGCACATTTCCTTCGTCCTTGAAGGCAACTGAATTATGCGGCTTGCTTCTAGCTTCTTTTTGAGCTTGGCAGCCATAATTCACTTCGCGCTCGGATTAACTGTTGTTTCTCAAGATGAAGAGGGCTACGGTGCGGCAACCTACATTGACGATCTTCAAATCAATTCAGGGGCTACCCTTTCCTTTGACAACAGATATGGTATTTTGTTGAACGTTTTCGCTGGTGAAGTTACTAATAATGGACGATTGTTCATCACAGATTCCGGTACTAACCTCGGTATGACTGTCAACTTCTTGCAAGGTATTTATAATACCGGAGAAGTTGTTCTCAATGCCGTCAATGAGTTGGGAGCTCCAACTTTCAATTTCTTGGGTCTCTATTTTGTGAACTATGGGCAGATTTACATGGGAGGAGAAGGAGCCGTTGGCACCACAGTCATGGATATTTGGCCTCTTTTGACGGCGACTCCAGAAAACTACGGCACAATCACTTTTGCTCAAACCGTCAATTCTGGAGGTGTTGCCTATTTTGGTCAGATTGCACAAGACGTTTACAATAATGGTACCATCTGTTTATCTGAGGTGAACTTGCAACAGGATTCCCTGGTGAGTGGTACTGGATGTTACTCTGTCGGAAACAACTCCATATTGCTTTTGGATTCACCTGTAACTTTTGATTTAGGCCCGGATCAAACAGTGTATCTTGCCACGTCTACTTCGTCAATCCGTATTGGCGCAACGACCCCTCTCAACACCATCAACATTGCAGGATGGGGTAACGGTAACGTGATTGGGTTTGCTGCAGGTATCATCACTGGAACAAGTATTGACGGTGACACATTGACCGTTTTCCAGCTTTTTTTGCCATTCTACTTCAATATTGGTCCAGGTTATGACAATCAGTATGTTCAAATCGGCGCCACGTACTCAGAGAATGGCATCATTGTCATGTCTTATGTTTCCTACAGCCAGCCTCCTCCAAATCCTGCCCGGCCTGCTGTTTGTAACGCCTGTGGTACAGTCTATGACCTTCCTGCTGCTCCCCCGGCGCTTTTCAACTTTTCCGATTCTGCAAACACCAGCACTCCTCCAAGCACTTTTCTCCTGCTTAGTTCATCCACTCCATTGAGTTCAAGCTCATTCTCCTCCTTGGAATCGAGTTCCAGCCTTGAGTCAAGTTCTAGCTTTGAACCACATTCCAGCTCTGGCTCCAGTGTTGAACCCACCACTTTTAAACCCTCTAGCAGTGAAGCTGCTTCCAGCCTTACTTTCAGCTACAGTCACGGGTTTAACTCCAGCTTCCAATTTAGTTCGAGCACATTAACAAGTGCGGAGCCTTCAACCTATGGCAGTTCAATCTACGGCAGTTCAACCTACGGCAGTTCAACCTACGGCTCATCTGGGTTTGGGTCAAGTAATGTGCCAAGTGATATTTCTTCTGGCTTCAGTTCGATCTCCGGTTCTGGTCTTGGGTCTACTTCTCGTTTTGGATCAAGTGCTACCTCAGGTGCAACCGCAAGTTCCATTGGCTGTTCCGGTTGCACTTCATATATCACTACTTTCCCGGCCAGTATCCTGGGAGCGCCAGCCGAAACCGCCCAAATCCTTGTCACTACCCAATCAGATGGCTCTTTGACTACATTGACTTCGCCTTTTTCGGCAGACTCTGCTACGGTTTCGACCATTTCCAATTCCGCGTGTTCTGGCTGCACAGAATACACCACTACTTTTACTTCGCGCGATTCTTCAGGCGCCGAAGATACTTTAACAGAGTGTTGTCGATGTTACTACAAACTCAAATGGTGCTTTGGTTACGCTGACGTCTGTGATTTTCCGGAACATCGTCTTCTGGTTCGACTTCTGAATGTTCAGGATGCACTGATTACACCACTACATTTGCATCCAGCCGACTCTACTGGCGGATTAGACACATTGACTGGTGTTGTTGATGTTACTACAAACTCGAATGGTGCCATTGGTAACTCTGACGTCAATTATTTGCTCCCGATTGTACTGAGTACACCACTACGTTTGCATCCACCGACTCTACTGGCGGATTAGACACTTTGACTGGTGTTGTTGATGTTACTACGAACTCGAATGGTGCATTGGTAACTCTGACGTCAATTATCTGCTCTGACTGCACGGAATACACCACTACGTTTGCATCCACCGACTCTACTGGCGGATTAGACACTTTGACTGGTGTTGTCGATGTTACTACAAACAGCAATGGTGCATTAGTGACTCTGACTTCTCTCCTTTGTCCCGATTGCACGGAATACACCACAACATTTGCATCCACCGACTCTACTGGCGGATTAGACACATTGACTGGTGTTGTTGATGTTACTACAAACTCGAATGGTGCATTGGTAACTCTGACGTCAATTATCTGCTCTGACTGCACGGAATACACCACTACGTTTGCATCCACCGACTCTACTGGCGGATTAGACACATTGACCGGTGTTGTTGACGTTACTACAAACAGCAATGGTGCATTGGTGACACTGACGTCTCTTCTTCGTCCAGACTGCACGGAGTACACCACTACGTTTATTTCAACTGACTCTACTGGCGGATTAGACACTTTGACTGGTGTTGTCGATGTCACTACAAACAGCAATGGTGCGTTGGTCACTCTGACTTCTGTTCTTTGTCCAGACTGCACGGAATACACCACTACGTTTGCATCCACCGACTCTACTGGAGGTTTAGACACATTGACTGGTGTTGTTGATGTTACTACAAACAGCAATGGTGCCTTGGTGACGCTGACTTCTGTTCTTTGTCCAGACTGCACGGAATACACCACTACGTTTGCATCCACCGACTCTACTGGAGGTTTAGACACATTGACTGGTGTTGTTGATGTTACTACAAACTCGAAATGGTGCATTGGTAACTCTGACGTCAATTATTTGCTCCAGAATTGTACTGAAGTACACCACTACGTTTGCATCCACCAGACTCTACTGGCGGATTAGACACTTTGACTGGTGTTGTCGATGTTACTACAAACAGCAATGGTGCATTAGTGACTCTGACTTCTTTCCTTTGTCCCGATTGCACGAGAATACACCACAACATTTGCATCCACCGACTCTACTGGCGGATTAGACACTTTAACTGGTGTTGTCGATATTACTACAAACTCAAATGGTGCTTTGGTTACGCTGACGTCTGTTCTTTGTCCAGACTGCACTGAGTACACCACTACATTCACCTCGCTTGATGCAGAGAGTTCACTCATTACTTTGACCGGTGTTGTTGACGTTACGACAAACAGCAATGGTGCCTTGGTAACTCTGACGTCAATTATTTGTTCCGATTGTACTGAGTACACCACTACGTTTGCATCCACCGACTCTACTGGAGGTTTAGACACTTTGGCTGGTGTTGTTGACGTTACGACAAACAGCAATGGTGCATTAGTGACTCTGACTTCTCTCCTTTGTCCCGATTGCACGGAATACACCACTACATTTGCATCCACCGACTCTACTGGAGGTTTAGACACATTGACTGGTGTTGTTGATGTTACTACAAACTCGAATGGTGCATTGGTAACTCTGACGTCAATTATTTGCTCCAGATTGTACTGAGTACACCACTACGTTTGCATCCACCGACTCTACTGGCGGATTAGACACTTTGACTGGTGTTGTCGATGTTACTACAAACAGCAATGGTGCATTAGTGACTCTGACTTCTTTCCTTTGTCCCGATTGCACGGAATACACCACAACATTTGCATCCACCGACTCTACTGGCGGATTAGACACTTTAACTGGTGTTGTCGATATTACTACAAACTCAAATGGTGCATTGGTAACTCTGACGTCTATTATCTGCTCTGACTGCACGGAATACACCACTACGTTTGCATCCACCGACTCTACTGGCGGATTAGACACTTTAACTGGTGTTGTCGATATTACTACAAACTCCAAATGGTGCTTTGGTTACGCTGACGTCTGTTCTTTGTCCAGACTGCACTGAGTACACCACTACATTCACCTCGCTTGATGCAGAGAGTTGCACTCGATTACTTTGACCGGTGTTGTTGACGTTACGACAAACAGCAATGGTGCCTTGGTAACTCTGACGTCAATTATTTGTTCCGATTGTACTGAGTACACCACTACGTTTGCATCCACCGACTCTACTGGAGGTTTAGACACTTTGGCTGGTGTTGTTGACGTTACGACAAACAGCAATGGTGCATTAGTGACTCTGACTTCTCTCCTTTGTCCCGATTGCACGGAATACACCACTACATTTGCATCCACCGACTCTACTGGAGGTTTAGACACATTGACTGGTGTTGTTGATGTTACTACGAACTCCAATGGTGCGTTGGTCACTCTGACTTCTGTTCTTTGTCCAGACTGCACGGAATACACCACTACGTTTGCATCCACCGACTCTACTGGAGGTTTAGACACATTGACTGGTGTTGTTGATGTTACTACAAACAGCAATGGTAGCATTTAGTGACTCTGACTTCTCTCCTTTGTCCCGGATTGCACGGAATACACCACTACATTTGCATCCACCGACTCCTACTGGAGGTTTAGACACATTGACTGGTGTTGTTGATGTTACTACAAACTCGGAATGGTGCATTGGTAACTCTGACGTCAATTATTTGCTCCCGATTGTACTGAAGTACACCACTACGTTTGCATCCACCGGACTCTACTGGCGGATTAGACACTTTGACTGGTGTTGTTTGATGTTACTACAAACAGCCAATGGTGCATTAGTGACTCTGACTTCTCTCCTTTGTCCCAGATTGCACGGAATACACCACTACATTTGCATCCACCGACTCTACTGGCCGGATTAGACACATTGACTGGTGTTGTTGATGTTACTACAAACAGCAATGGTGCCTTGGTAACTCTGACGTCAATTATCTGCTCTGACTGCACGGAATATACCACGACATTTGCATCCACCGACTCTACTGGCGGATTAGACACATTGACTGGTGTTGTTGATGTTACTACAAACTCGAATGGTGCATTGGTAACTCTGACGTCAATTATTTGCTCCGATTGTACTGAGTACACCACTACGTTTGCATCCACCGACTCTACTGGCGGATTAGACACTTTGACTGGTGTTGTTGATGTCACTACAAACAGCAAATGGTGCCTTGGTCACTCTGACGTCATATTATCTGCTCCGGATTGTACTGAGTACACCACTACGTTTGCATCCACCGACTCTACTGGCGGATTAGACACTTTGACTGGTGTTGTCGATATTACTACAAACTCAAATGGTGCTTTGGTAACTCTGACGTCAATTATCTGCTCTGACTGCACGGAATACACCACTACGTTTGCATCCACCGACTCTACTGGCGGATTAGACACTTTAACTGGTGTTGTCGATATTACTACAAACTCAAATGGTGCTTTGGTTACGCTGACGTCTGTTCTTTGTCCAGAATGCACTGAGTACACCACTACATTCACCTCGCTTGATGCAGAGAGTTCACTCATTACTTTGACCGGTGTTGTTGACGTTACGACAAACAGCAATGGTGCCTTGGTAACTCTGACGTCAATTATTTGTTCCGATTGTACTGAGTACACCACTACGTTTGCATCCACCGACTCTACTGGAGGTTTAGACACTTTGACTGGTGTTGTTGATGTTACCACCAATTCTGACGGTGCTTTGGTGACACTGACTTCTGTTCTTTCGGCATGTTCTGGATGCACCGAGTACACTACTAGATTCACGTCTCTCGATGCAGCTGGCGATGTTGAAACATTGACTGGTGTTGTTGATGTTACAACCAACTCCAACGGTGCTTTGGTGACACTGACTTCTGTTCTTTCGGCATGTTCCGGATGCACCGAGTACACTACTAGATTCACGTCTCTCGATGCGGCTGGCGATGTTGAAACATTGACTGGTGTTGTTGATGTTACCACCAATTCTAACGGTGCTTTGGTGACACTGACTTCTGTTCTTTCGGCATGTTCCGGATGCACCGAGTACACTACTAGCTTCACGTCTCTCGATGCGGCTGGCGATGTTGAAACATTGACTGGTGTTGTTGATGTTACCACCAATTCTAACGGTGCTTTGGTGACACTGACTTCTGTTCTTTCGGCATGTTCCGGATGCACCGAGTACACTACTAGATTCACGTCTCTCGATGCGGCTGGCGATGTTGAAACATTGACTGGTGTTGTTGATGTTACCACCAATTCTAACGGTGCTTTGGTGACACTGACTTCTGTTCTTGCGGCATGTTCCGGATGCACCGAGTACACTACTAGATTCACGTCTCTCGATGCGGCTGGCGATGTTGAAACATTGACTGGTGTTGTTGATGTTACCACCAATTCTAACGGTGCTTTGGTGACACTGACTTCTGTTCTTTCGGCATGTTCCGGATGCACCGAGTACACTACTAGCTTCACGTCTCTCGATGCGGCTGGCGATGTTGAAACATTGACTGGTGTTGTTGATGTTACCACCAAATTCTAACGGTGCTATTGGTGACGCTGACTTCTGTTCATTTCGGCATGTTGCCGGATGCACCGAGTACACTACTAGATTCACGTCTCTCGATGCGGCTGGCGATGTTGAAACATTGACTGGTGTTGTTGATGTTACAACCAACTCCATCGGTGCATTGGTGACACTGACTTCTGTTCTTTCGGCATGTTCCGGATGCACCGAGTACACTACTAGATTCACGTCTCTCGATGCAGCTGGCGATGTTGAAACATTGACTGGTGTTGTTGATGTTACTACAAACTGCCAATGGTGCCTTGGTCACTCTGACGTCAATTATTTGCTCCGATTGTACTGAGTACACCACTACATTCACTTCAACTGATTCTACTGGCGATGTGGAAACATTGACTGGTGTTGTTGATGTTACAACCAACTCCAACGGTGCATTGGTGACACTGACTTCAGTTCTTTCGGCATGTTCCGGATGCACCGAGTACACTACTAGATTCACGTCTCTCGATGCAGCTGGCGATGTTGAAACATTGACTGGTGTTGTTGATGTTACCACCAATTCTAACGGTGCTTTGGTGACACTGACTTCTGTTCTTTCGGCATGTTCCGGATGCACCGAGTACACTACTAGATTCACGTCTTTCGATGCGGCTGGCGATGTTGAAACATTCACTGGTGTTGTTGATGTTACAACCAATTCTAACGGTGCATTGGTGACACTGACTTCTGTTCTTTCGGCATGTTCCGGATGCACCGAGTACACTACTAGATTCACGTCTCTCGATGCAGCTGGCGATGTTGAAACATTCACTGGTGTTGTTGATGTTACAACCAACTCCAACGGTGCATTGGTCACTCTGACTTCTGTTCTTTGTCCAGACTGCACGGAATACACCACTACATTCATATTCAGTGACTCTACTGGCGGATTAGACACTTTGACTGGTGTTGTCGATGTTACTACAAACAGCAATGGTGCATTAGTGACTCTGACTTCTTTCCTTTGTCCCGATTGCACTGAGTACACCACTACATTCACTTCAACTGATTCCACTGGCGGATTAGACACTTTGACTGGTGTTGTTGATGTTACTACGAACTCGAATGGTGCCTTGGTGACTCTGACTTCTTTCCTTTGTCCCGATTGCACTGAGTACACCACTACATTCACTTCAACTGATTCCACTGGCGGATTAGACACTTTGACTGGTGTTGTTGATGTTACTACGAACTCGAATGGTGCCTTGGTGACGCTGACTTCTGTTCTTTGTCCAGACTGCACGGCAGTACGACCACGTACGTTTATTTCAACTGACTCTACTGGCGGATTAGACACTTTGACTGGTGTTGTTGATGTTACTAGAAATAGTAATGGTGCTTTGGTGACGCTGACTTCTGTTCTTTGTCCAGACTGCACGGAGTACACCACTACGTTTATTTCAACTGACTCTACTGGCGGATTAGACACTTTGACTGGTGTTGTTGATGTTACTAGAAATAGTAATGGTGCTTTGGTGACGCTGACTTCTGTATCTTTCGGAGTGTTCCGGATGTACTGAGTATAACGACTACGTTTACCTCCAGTGACTTCCTACTGGGTGGATTGGAGACTTTAACTGGCGTTGTGGATACTATTATGAATTCCAATGGTGATTTGGCGACAGTAACTTCTGTTTGCTCAGGTGCTGTGGCAAGTGTACTGCAAAATATTTTGGAGTCACATACTTTTTCTCATACCCTACTTTTGACGACTGGTGCGTATGTGAGCAAAGTTCCGTCTAGTTCGACCTTGCTCTCTGATGTTGACCTCCTGATTAGCAGTCGTAGTGTCACAGTATCGTCCTTCAAGAAGTACCAGTTTTGCGCATTCTGCCGACACTGACGAACCTGGGATGCATACGGGCACTTTCTCTGTGGCTACTTTTGAGCCTGCAAAGTCGCATGTTGTTGAGGGGCTGAATGTGAATGTAGATTCACAAACGTTCCTGAGGAAAAAGACTCTTGCGTCAACCGGTGGAGCCGAAGCACCTGTTATCGCCAGTACGTTGACTTACAGGTTGTCCAGTTCAGGAGTTGCTGCAAATTCAGGACTTTGGGCCAAATTTCAGCTGCTCCTTCAGCAACCTCTATCGCTGGTGGTACAAGATTTAAGCGCACTACTGGTTTTGCTGCGTTGCTTTCACTTCTTGGCCAATATTTTTATTGTAAGGACTACTTTTAAATTTCTTAAATTTACTCGGTTAGTACGGGATCACCGTACGTCCTATACAGGGTGTTTTTTTTTTCGACTTCCAATCTTCGGAGAGTTGCAGTATTTTTAATTTTCATATTTTTTTTTGATATTCGTCTTCTCATATAAACATGTAGGTAACAAAATTCACCAAATTGAAGCAGTAACCAGAGAATGAGAGCTGCATGTTTATGTAACTTTACTGTAAGGGATGAGGATGAGGTTTAGACTCAAGGAAGTAAGGATAATGAATCCTTGAAAAGTAATAATCCAAGTATTCTGCTCAATTGTTTTCTTTTGGTTTGGTAGCAGAGCTTTCAATGTCTGTGCGATGTCGAGAAACAGATTTCGAGAATGAGCCATTCTCATTTACATAATTTTGAAGAATGAAGCAAAGACCTTGATTTGCATTCTATCCAACTTCGTTGAATGTGATCAACCAGAGAAGATTAAGGATGCCACGGAGCTATCAAAAAAGGTCGCTTGGCACATTCAGATTAGCAGGGTTACTCACGTATAAAACAGATGAACATTTGTAAAGAGATGTATTAAAAGAAAAGGCGGAGGCACTGTGCATGAAAAGTCCAGTTAAGCATGCTTTTCACAATGAATGCGCCATTATGAACAAAGTTGAACTTCCTTGCATTAGCCATCCAATTGTGCGTTGAGCTATTGAAGCCAAGCCTAAGTCAACAGTCTCATCGTTTCAAATATGACTACTGCCTATCCATCTATTCTTTGTTCTCGGAAATACAATTTTCTTGCCCATTCGTGAATAAGACGGAAGCGTGTGTGAATACGAGAAAATCGCGAATGAGGTGGTAATGACGGTGTTCAAGATTTTCATGGTAAAACGTAAAATCTGCAAGGAGAAGAGTACAAGAGTTTGAGTTTGCCTAATAAAAGAATGTATTTTTGCCTACATCACTGAACAAGAGGCGTTTATTGTAATTCGAAAGTTTTGATATAAGCTATCTGCAACTGAGCCTCCAGAGGATACTAAAAAGGAAATTCATGGTACTGTATGATCTCCATAGCATTGATTGAATTCAACTCTCATGAAATCAAAGTGCCAAAATGCATAGACGCAAAAGAGAATGCGATTCCAAGGGTAGGCAAGTTATGATAAGATAAGGAATCGAACTGATGAGGAACATCACACAGTAGAATAGAATATCCATATTGTAAATATGACGGTGTACGAATAGTCCAAAGCAGAAAATTACTACTATTTATCGAAGTAAGAAGGTTGAAAATGGTGGCAACTGACGTGCTCACTTGGAGTGACAAATGCTGCAGATGCGTATAGATAGAACATTCAAGATTATTCTTCTATAGTAAAAAGAATTACTCTTTAAGCCATTTTTTTTTCAAACTACAAAACAGTAGAACTAGACAATGTCACAGACCTCAATTCAAAGTTCCAGATCTTTTTATATAAATCTTGCAGATTTGGAGTCACCACCACATACAAGTGTGGGGCATAATAACAGGCAAAAGATTGAAAGCCGCATAAGGCTATCTTTGGGAGAATGTAAGAAGTACAGTATTCAGGATTAGGCGATCTCAATTGATTCAAGTGAATGAGCTTCCAGTTTTGTACATTGATTGAAACTACAAAGAGATATTTAACCTATGTAGTGCGAATTGTAGGAAAATTTGGGCGAATTTGAGAACCATCTGATTACCTATTTTAGTTTCCGTGTGTACGAATTCTAAATTTTTTCCATTCGAATATTGGTTTTCTTTAGTGTGAATTTTGATTTCTCGGAGGGCGAACATTGATATTCCGAAGGGCGAATTTGTATTTTCGATGGGCGACTTTTAGTTTCTTGAGAAGCGAATTTCGATCAACGTGTATGCGAGTTTTATTTGGGATTTGTACTTGTTACATGTTGAAGAGATCAGTCTTAATGAGTCAATCCACAAATTTATGAATGAGCGATTTAAAGTGTTTGATTGCAAAAGTTTTCATCTAAATACCCAGAAACCCATACGAAGCCCATCGGATTTGTATTCCCACTTGAAGTTAGGCGTGAGAAGTTTTGAATAAGACGAATACTTTCTCTGCCCTTTGTCATAATCTGTTCTTTTAAACAAAAAGGAGAATGGTACATTTTCGTTTTCCCTCGGCATAGCGAAGGCTAGAAATTAAATCTAGAGGTACAGATCACGGACGACTGTTCTTTCTTGTACAACATAAAATTCTGTCGGATTGGATGAAACTTAGCACCATGACGCTATTGGTGAAGCCTAGTATATACGAGGCCAAATCTATCGCTTCTATGCTCAAAACTTCGCTTTCAACTGAAGAATATGCCTTTGTGCCAAGCCTACATCCAGCAACTATAGTACAACAAACCTAAAAATGAATTTCTGTACTTACGGATGTCTGAGCTCACATGACACCCATTCGATTGGTGAATGATCCGACTAAACCTTGCTAGCAGAAAAGTCTACTTTCATTACATTAAATGCTTTTGAGTTGTGAATGAAGTTTGAGACCATAGCGTCCGCGGTAGCTTCCGTTGAACCATACTATACGAAACTAAGGTTACGAGATTCTCTCACAGAATGCAAATGACGCTTTAGTGTTCGTATAAAACAATCTTGGCCTTTTAGGTCGGTAATATCCCTCTTTAGCCTAATGTTGCATCAAAAGTAATTTTTGTAAGACTGTATAATGTGTTTGGGTATAGGGGTCAGGGAAAGGAACTATCCTTGTATCCGAATCCGAAAAGCGATTGCCTCCGTGTATCTACATTTTCTAAAAGCAGATTGCGACGCAGCTGCCAAATAGATCATTCCACAAAGGCTTAGTGAGACGATTTATAAATGGGGAAATTTCTGCTATGTGCGCGCTGGGCGGCAATATTATAGTAAGTATGAAAGCATGTGAAAGACTGACCACATTGGAGATAAATAATGCATTATGCACTATGCACATTATATTAATCATTGCATATATTTAGTGCATTATGCATAAAAGAGTACCGCGCAGATTCAATATGTGCGCTTTGTATGCCTCACCATAGGAGTTCTTTGATGTTTCTTCTGCGGGAACATGAAAAAGTAATCTCTTGATTCACCCGACATCCCAAACTACAATTGATAGCGATTTCAAGATAAAGAAGTTTTGTTCGCTCATGAAATCAGGAGTATATTGTCAACTAACATGAATGACCCCTAGCCTAGAAAATGTTCAGTTCTACTAGTATTTCAGGGGGCAAGGCCATTTTAAAACTTGATTTCTAATTCTCCACATTAATACTGACACCCCAGATTGACCAATCTATATACATCCCAGAATGAAGCCAGGCTCTTGCTTTATATGATGCCTATCACAGAAACAATGTTTTACGTATTGAGCACTGATGACGCATGGAGAGACATGAAAGCCATCTTTTTGGTGAAGTTATAGATAGTATTATATTGGGAAGGAGAGGGTGAACTCATTTATGGTAACAACATGCCAATGGGACTCTAAGCATTTTGAGATAGAATCTCTATCCAAATTACGGTTGTTCCAATACTTTCAATTGCCGATATCTGCCCTGATTGAAAATGCATCACTATGATTATTTATCATTATTCGAATTTTGTTATTTAGAGGAGCAACTACCAGGTACTGACAAGCTGCGAAAACAGAAAGATCACCAAAACTATGCATAGTATATAAGGTCCAAAGAGATTGTTAACATGCTTGGCCGTGCAAAAATTGGAAAAAAATAGTTCAATAGCCATTTATGTCACTATTAAATAGTTTAGAATGAAATGAGATCGCCGAAATACCTGTTCTTCGTTGCTGCTTAGAACCGTACTCGGAAGTTTTGATACCGCTACAATTCAATCCTCCTTATAAAAATGAAATGAATGACTACAGTATTTCTGTTGGTGCAACTCGTATACTTTTTAGACCGAAATGGTTCCGTTCCGCACTTATCAAGATTGGTGTACATGCATGAGGCGAATGATTGAAGCGCTCAGCGTCTACCGTATATACAAGTGGTTACCGAATTTCGGGATGCACATTTACGGGTTTCAATCGAAAATAAGTATGAGACTTCCTTTTATTGGCCGCAGCCTTGCTAATAAACGAGTTTTGGAAAGTTTCCCCTGTAGAATCGCGAAATACTCTTGTCAAATACCGGCCGAGAGCAATAGAATGAAGTTGTCACACGTTCCCTTGTGGAAGAACGGAAACTGAGCTTTCCCGGTGAGGTATTGAAATGCTAGATTACTTGCTCATTGCTATTACGAGTTTGTTGGATTGTGTGGATCTTACTCCTCTAATGAGAAAAGTGGAACGAAGTACGTCGAAGGAAATGCCCAGCGAACCCCGTCACGGCTCTTCTCATTCCCCGCTGCGTTGCAAGTGCAGGATTTAACCTTAGATTTAGTTGAATTATGCAATACTGCAGTGGTGCTGAGGGATCAACTGTTCGTCTTGGTAGCTTCGTTATCTCTTAAGGCACTCTGAAGAACCATCTCTGAGATAAGAAGAGATCTGCACCTTCAAATTGAGTATGTATCGAATTTTTAATGATGTGCTTCAATGCTTAGAATGAGTTAGTTTGTCAAAGCACGCTTAGGTGCTCATGCATACATATTTAATCAAGCACTATTCATCATGATGTGGTCGATGACCACTACCTAATGGGAAAAGAGTACTCTTAGTGCAAGGCTACGCCCATAACCTTGAAAAGGTGGCTGCTGCTTAATTGATCAAGTGTGGATACAGTGGTGCATTCTACAACTTGAAAACGAAGTGATAGAACACGACTCGGGAAATGCAAAATTGCTTATCACCTGGTCAAGAAAACAAAAGATGTTACATTCATCACTTGCAGATGCAGATATCGCGCTTCGGTTCTACCATGTACATGCGCGAAGAGACTTCAAGTGCTCTTGAATGCAGGTGCTTGCGAGATTATGCGAAATGTGCAGACACATGCAGATACATGCACCACAAGAGCGGAATTGACGCTACACAAAGAGGCAAAAGAGGCGTGGAGAAGAATATACGATGATGTACCAGGTAACTAGATCAAGGAATATCTTTTCCTCACTTGAACAAGCAAGTGATCATCGTAGCACAGCTAATCCCCATGGTGTCATGAAGACGCACACAATATTATTTAAACTGCTCACACCTTAACGGTAATCTCGACAAAATAATTTGAAAGGATAATGTGGGACAAGAATTATTTTTACGCACGCTTTCTGTCTCAAAAGCAGATACACCCCTGTCTAGATGCAAAATTAGGATCTCAACTAGTGACCAGTAATGCCCATAAGCAAAGCAAATTCTTTTCCACTGGAGCAAGAATTTGATATTAAATTGTGTATGGCCCCCATATCGGATCGGCGAAAAGTGCACTAATCTTCTCCGTGCATCAGAGCACTCCTCCCTAGCATGAAGGTAAGTCAGGAACGAAACCAGATGGGAACGCAGTCGGCTCAAACAGAGAGTTTTCCCTCCCATCATATTGCGTCACTCTATCATGAATAGTGGTTTCCGTGGAAGAAAACAACAGTGATAGCGTATGTTTCTTTCTGCAGCCGTAAATTTTTCTTGATTGAATAAACTATGCATAATTATTTCTTGGAGCATGCACTGTATAAGAAAGAATACATTTCAAACGGCTAGCATAGAATGCATCACTGGTGACGTGTGTTTTTAGAACTCACCTGTCTTCTAGTTGATTACTGGTTTAATGCATTGAAAAATCGTGTTAATATTTATTAGAAGGCAAGAAGGACATAGTCCTTACACTAGTGAAGTATTGGGTTCATTATATAGTTGTCAAATGCACGCGGATGCCCAGAGTAGATGTATCATGCATGAAGAATGAAAGATACATTCTAGGTACCCTTCTACTGCTGCATCGAAAACAGAATGCCAAGCCAATTGAAAGAGAAATAAGAAGAGTACAAGAATTAAAGAGCTTATAAAAGAAATGCTTCCTGAAGATTTGACATTCGACAAACAATGCGGTTCACCTCCAGCTTTTACTTGAGCTTGGCGACCCTAGTCAGTTTTTCTGTTGGCTTAATTACCATTTCTGAAGACCAAAATGGTTATGGAACTGCAAATTACTTTGACGATATTCGTATCGAACCCGGAGTTACTCTTTCGTTTGATAACAAATATGGTATTTTAATCAACACCTTCGCTGGCGAAGTTACCAACGAAGGAAGACTATTCGTCACTGATTCCGCTGGCAATTTAGGAATGTCTGTCACATTTATGCAAGGTATTTACAATGATGGAATAACAGTTCTCAATGCAGTCAAGGAATTAGCTGCTCCTAGCTTTATCTTCTCCGGACTCTATTTCGTGAATAACGGAGAAATTTATATGGGTGGCCAGGGAAGTGTTGGAATTGCAGTCATGGACATCTCCCCTCTCTTGGTAACTACTCCTGAAAACCATGGTACTATAACCTTCGCGCAAACAACGAGTTCTGCCGGAGTCGCCTACTTTGGTCGGGCTGGACAATCAGTCATCAACGACGGTACCGTTTGCTTGTCAGAAATGAACTTTCAACAGAGAGCCAATGTCGAGGGTACTGGTTGCTATTCGGTTGGAAACAATTCTCTCATGCTTATGGATTCGCCTGCAATTTGGACACTATCTGAAGGGCAAACAGTTTATCTTTCGTCACCTTCATCTCAGATCCGAATCGGAGCGGCGACGCCTCTCAACACCATCAACATTGCCGGATGGGGTAATGGAAATATGATTGGCTTTTCAGGTGTCGTAACAAGCACCAGAATATCTGGTTCTACGTTGACAGTTTTTCAGCTTCTTGTTCCGTTCTATTTCAATATCGGTCCAGGATACGACAACCGGTATGTCAACATTGGAGGTATGTACTCCAAAAACGGATTCATCGTGACGTCTTATGTGTCATACAACATGCCCCCACCAGATACCTCTCGCCCCGCTGTTTGCAATGTTTGCCGTGGTGTTTATGAGATTCCTGTTGCACCTACGCCAGAATTCAATTTCACTACGGATGGAAACTCAACTGCTCCACCCTCTAGTTCTGGGGTTCCGCTTAGTTCCTCAACTCAGTTGAGCTCTAGCTTTTTGTCTTCATCAAGTGTCGAGTCTTCTTCGAGCTTGGAATCCTCAAGTTTGATATCATCAAGTTTGCAATCCCTTAGTTCAGAATCTTCTAGTTTTGCTTCCTAGCACAGAATCCAGCTCCAGCTTTGAGTCGTCCACTTTAATATCCAGCTCTAGCAACGAGCCGGTATCTAGTTTCACTTTCAGTTACAGTCTTGGCTTGAACTCAAGTTACCAACTTAGTTCCAGCACCATATCTAGTAACGCTGAGTCTTCGAGTTTATCCAGTTCCAGCCTATCAAGTTCCGGTCTCGAATCTAGTTCCAGTTCTGAGTCTAGCGTTGGTCCTTCTAGTTCAACACCTGAGTCTAGTTCAGCGTCTGAAACTTCAGCGTCTGAAACTTCAGCATCTGAAACTTCAGCATCTGAAACTTCAGCATCTGAATCCTCATCTACTGAATCTTCAACGTTTGAGTCTACTTCTGGGTCTGATTCAACTGCGGAATCTGGGTCCAGTATAGGACCTAGTACCAGTGATCCTAGTTCCACTCTTGACTCCAGTTCCAATGCTGGCTGTTCTGGTTGTACTTCATACATCACCACCTACACAGCCAGTGCCCTGGGATCCCTGGGATCTGGCCAAATCGAATCTGCCGAGATCATTGTAACAACTCAATCCAATGGGGAATTGACCACCTTGTCATCGCTTTTTGCCCAAGAATCTTCCTCCCTTAGCACTTCCGCAACCTTTAGTTCGGGATGCTCTGGGTGTACCGAATACACTACAACATTTACTTCGCGCGATTCTTTAGGCGCCGAGGAAACTTTCACGGCAGAAGTTGATGTTACTACCAATTCCAATGGTGACTTGGTGACACTGACTTCGATACTTTCTGGCGTATCGTCTTCTGCTTCTTCTGAATGTTCTGGATGCACCGAATACACCACTACATTCACTTCACTCAATGCTGAAAGTTCCGTTGTTACTTTGACTGGGGAAGTTGACGTTACCACAAATTCAAATGGTGACTTGGTAACTCTGACTTCCATCATTTCTGATGCATCTTCTTCCGGTTTTTCTTCCGAATGTTCTGGATGCACGGAATATTCAACCACATTTGAAACCACAGACTTTACTGGAGGAGTTCAAACATTGACAGGTGAAGTTGATGTTACGACAAACTCAAATGGTGACTTGGTGACTCTGACGTCCATTATTTCGGATACAACTTCCTCTGAATGTTCTGGATGTACTGAGTACACCACGACTTTCACTTCCACTGATTCTACTGGAGGAGTTGAGACTTTGACAGGTGAAGTTGATGTTACTACCAATTCCAATGGTGTTTTGGTGACCCTGACGTCCATCATTTCTGATGCATCTTCTTCCGGGTTCTTCTGAATGTTCTGGATGCACTGAATACACTACAACATTTGAAACTACAGACTTCTACTGGAGGAGTTGAGACTTTGACAGGTGAAGTTGATGTTACTACCAATTCCAATGGTGTTTTGGTGACCCTGACGTCCATTATTTCTGATGCATTCTTCTGCTTCTTCTGAATGTTCCGGGATGTACTGAATATACTACCACATTCGAAAGCACAGATTCTACTGGTGGAGTTGAGACATTGACTGGCGAAGTTGACGTCACTACCGACTCCAATGGTGTTTTGGTGACTCTGACTTCGATACTTTCCGACTGTTCTGGATGCACTGAGTACACCACTACATTTGCAACCACAGACTCAACTGGTGGGGTTGAAACTTTGACCGGAGAAGTTGACGTTACCACAGACTCAAATGGTGTTTTGGTGACACTGACTTCGATACTTTCTGATGCATCGTCTTCAGCTTCTTCTAAATGTTCGGGATGCACGGAATATACCACCACATTCACTTCTGCAGACTCCACTGGTGGAGTTGAAACTTTGACCGCAGAAGTTGACGTAACGACAAACTCGAATGGCGTATTAGTGACTCTGACTTCCATCATTTCCGATGCCTCTTCCTCTGAGTGTTCAGGATGCACTAAGTATACCACTACATTCACTTCCCTCAATGGTGCTGGATCTTTTGCTACTTATACGGGCGAAGTTGATGTTACTACCAATTCGAATGGCGTTTTGGTAACTCTGACATCCATCATTTCCGATGCATCGTCTTCTGCTCCTTCTGAATGTTCTGAATGCACAGAATACACCACCACATTCACTTCTGCAGACTCGACTGGTGGAGTTGAGACTTTGACTGGAGTGGTTGATGTTACTACCAATTCTAACGGAGCCTTGACTACTATGACTTCTGTTCTTTCTGAATGTTCTGGATGTACTCAGTACACTACAACGTTTACTTCTGCAGACTCTACAGGTGGAATCGGAACTTATACAGGCATTGTTGGTGTTACTACGGATTCAAGCGGTGATTTGACCACTCTGACGTCTGTTTTTGCTCCTTCGGAATGCTCTCACTGTACCGAATACACCACAACTTTTACTTCCGCAGACTCTACAGGCGGAACTGCCACTTTCACTGGTGAAGTCTTGGTCACTACAAATTCAGACGGAGCCTTGACTACCAGAACTTCTCTTCTTTCTCCATCATCCGAATGTTCTGGATGTACAGAGTACACCACCACTTTCACGTCTCTCAACTCAGATAGCTCCATTGCTACTTTCACAGGTGTTGTTGGCATCACCACAAAATCTGATGGTGTTTTGACCACCCTGACGTCTGTGATTCCCGGATGTGTTGGATGCACAGAATACACTACCACTTTCACATCTGCAGACTCAAATGGAGGCGTTGACACTTTTACTGGTGTTGTCGGCGTGACTACAAACTCCAATGGGGATTTGACTACTAGAACTTCTGTTCTTTCAGAATCGACAGCATGCGATGAATGTACAAAGTATACAACAACATTTACATCTGCAGATTCTACAGGAGGAGCAGGAACTTTTACGGGTGTCATTGAGGTCACCACCAATTCAAACGGCGATTTGACCACTCTGACTTCTGTGATTTCTGACTCTGAATGCTCTGGATGCATCGAATATACTACTACCTTCACCTCTGCAGACTCGACTGGAGGAACGGGAACTTTCACTGGTGTTGTTGGCGTCACCACCAATTCTGATGGTGCTTTGACTACCCTGACTTCTGTTATTTCGGAATGTTCTGGCTGTACTGAATACACCACCACATTTACCACTCTTGATGCTGAAAGTTCTCTTGTTACGTTGACTGGTGAGGTCGAAGTTACTACAAACTCCAATGGCGCTTTGGTGACTCTGACTTCCGTGCTTTCTGACCCTACGTCTTCTTCGGAGTGTTCTGGGTGTACCGAGTACACTACAACTTTCATTTCAACTGACTCAACCGGTGGAGTAAACACTTTGACAGGTGAAGTTGTTGTTACGACAAACTCGAATGGTGCTTTGACCACCGAGACCTCTATACTTACGGAATCTGCATCCGAATGTGCTGGTTGTACGGAATACACTACTACTTTCACCTCTGCTGATTCTACTGGGGGTGTGGCTACATTGACAGGAGTTGTTGGTGTGACTACCAATTCAAATGGTGCATTAACCACCAGTACTTCGGTTATACCAGGATCGAATGAGTGTTCCGAATGTACGGAGTTTACCACAACACTCACCTCTGCGGATTCGACAGGTGGAGTTGGAACTGTCACTGCTGTCGTTGGCGTTACCACAAACGTGAATGGTGCATTAACCACTAGGACATCTGTGCTTGCTGCTTTCGAATGTATTGGATGCACAGCGTACACTACAACGTTTACTTCTGCTGATTCCACTGGAGGAAGTGGTACCCTCACTGCTGTTGTTGGTATCACCACAAACTCGAATGGTGCGTTGACTACTACAACGTCTGTTATTCCAGCAGTGGAGTCCGAGTGTCCTGGATGTACGATATACACCACAACCTTCACTTCTGCCGATTCGACAGGCGGAGTAGCGACTCTTACTGGTGTGGTTGGTGTCACGACAAATTCAAACGGTGCATTAACAACTCTGACTTCTGTTATTTCTGCTTCTGCATGTGTTGGATGTACTGAGTACACTACAACATTCACATCGGCTGATTCTACAGGAGGAATTGGAACTTTCTCTGGTGTGGTCGGCGTGACCACAAATTCAAATGGTGCTTTGACAACGCTGACTTCTCTTATTGCCTCTGCATGTTCTGGTTGCACCAAGTACACCACTGTTTTCACATCCCTCGATGCAGAAAGTAGTCTTGTCACCTTCACTGGTGTCGTTGACGTTACTACAAATTCCAATGGAGCTTTAACGACAAGAACGTCTGTTATTCCAGGAACGGCTACTGAATGTGTTGGATGCACTAAGTACACTACAACATTCACCTCTGCTGGCCCTACTGGTGGAGTGGAGACTCTCACTGGTGTCGTTGATGTTACTACCAATTCGAATGGAGCTTTAACTACACTGACTTCTGTGATTGGCGGATGTTCAGGATGCACAGAGTACACAACGACATTCACTTCTGCAGACCCTACTGGTGGAATTCAAACTCTAACTGGGGAAGTCATTGTTACTACGAACTCAAATGGTGCATTGACTACGCTTACTTCTGTTATTTCTGAATGTTCTGGCTGTACTGAGTACACCACGACATTCACGTCAACTGACTCTACTGGTGGACTGGAAACCTTAACTGGTGAAGTCATTGTTACTACAAACTCAAATGGGGCATTGACTACGCTGACGTCTGTCATTCCTGGATGTGTTGGATGCACTGAGTACACTACAAGGTTCACTTCCCTTAATGCAGCGAACTCACTTGTTACTCTTACTGGTATTGTTGGTGTGACGACAGATTCTAATGGCATCTTGACTACCAGTACATCTGTTATTCCTGCCACTGCCACTGAATGTTCTGGATGTACTAAGTACACCACAACGTTCACGTCAGCCGACTCCACCGGTGGTGCCATCACATTGACTGGAATAGTTGATGTAACTACGAATTCAAACGGTGCTTTGACGACTTCGACATCAGTTATTCCTGCTGCTGTTTGTTCCGGTTGCACCCAATACACCACCACATTTACTTCTACAAATCCTACTGGCGGATTAGACACGCTTACAGGTGTTGTTGACGTGACCACTAACTCCAACGGTGCATTGACCACTAGAACTTCTATCATTTCTGGATCAGTTTGTTCTGCATGCACTGAATATACTACGGTGTTCACATCAACGGACTCGACTGGTGGTATTGGAACCTACACTGGAGTTTTTGGCGTTACGACAGACTCCAACGGAATTTTGACCACTCTGACTTCTGTTATTCCTGCCTCTGTCTGCGTTGGTTGTACCGAGTACACTACTACGTTTATTACTACAGACTCCACAGGAGGAATTGCTACTGTAACTGGAGTCGTTGACGTGACTACTAATTCTAATGGTGCTTTAACAACGTCAACGTCGGTTATTCCTGGCTCTAGTTCTGGTTGTGTTGAGTGCACCGAGTATACTACAACTTTCACTTCTCTCAATGCTGCAGGCTCTCCTGTGACTCTTACAGGTGTTGTTGGTGTAACCACTGATTCAAACGGTGTTTTGACCACCTCGACTTCAGTTATTCCTGGATCTTCTGTGTGTTCTGGATGCACTGAATATACTACAACATTCATCTCGACAGACTCGACTGGTGGTGTTGACACTTTCACAGGAGTTGTTGATGTCACTACAGACTCGGACGGAATTTTTACTACTCTGACCTCTGTTATTTCGGCTTCTGAATGTTCTGCTTGTACTGAGTACACTACCACGTTTATTTCTACAGACTCTACTGGTGGAACTGCAACTTTCACTGGAGCCATCGGTGTCACTACCAACTCCGACGGTGTTTTAACGACTTGGACGTCTGTTTATGTACCCGAAACATCTCTGTTCCTTGGACACCATAATAATTCGAGTGCTGCTTCAGTATTTCCTACGGCAACTGTGTCACGTCTTTCGTTAGGGGAGAGCGTTTCTTCCACTTCGAACAGTTTCGTGACACTGCCTGGTTCGGGACCAGTTTTGCTGACAAAGGACTCACAAGGTGCTGTTTCTCCTGTTACTGGAGAAGTAGAGGCAACAGCCTCGGCTCTTTCTGGAGATGCGACAGGTACTGGTAAACCACTTAGCCTTTCGGTTTCTGGTTCTTTGGCCACAAACAAACAATCCGCAAGCGGGGTTAAAGGAGCTGACACTCAGAATACAGTGGTGCATGTGAGTGGTACTGGATCTGTTTCTGCCTCTGCGATAGATTTGCTTCAAGGTGATTCAGACTATTCGGATACTGCTGCTTCGTACATCCCGAAGCCTACTGGCGTATATCCTAACGGTCAACTGGTAATAAGTACACTCACGTACAGAACTTCTGCCGCGGAGATTCCTCAGAATTCTGGTTCTCCCTCGGCACCAAGTGTCAGCTTCACTGGAGGTGGCAGTCTCAAGAGAACCTCTCTCTTCGTGACAATGTTGTCTATTTTTACAACTTTGCTTTTCTAGAGGTTTCCCTCACTTGTCGTCAGACTAATTTGCTTTGCAATAATTTTGGATAAAATATTCTTTCTAACGTTTCTGGAACTCAATTTTTCTTCCCTTCTAGAATTTTATAGCGGTTTGAAGTAATGAATAATTTCTTCACGTAAACGTGGTATAGTAACTGTAGCAATAAAGCGACGACATCATCTTTTGGGGATAGCACAATGTGTCAAGTAATCGAATTATGGGAGGTCCATAACCTTAGACTGCAAATTTGAAATGGAAAAATTACCCAACTTAGTTTATCCAACATGTCCAATGATTTAAGAGCGACGAATGTAAAACAGACTTACCATTACATTACAACAGCAAGAACTAAAAAATTTAGAGCTAGGCAAAATATCAAGATTTTATTGCAAGCCATCATGGGAATGTTGGAGGCGATTTATCATTAATCACTGCAACAATTCGGCTCTCCAATTCGGTTCTTCTGCAGAAAATAGCTGCCCGAGCTAGAAAAGGTATAGAAGAAGCATGGAAACACAGCATTTGTACTCTCATCAGTGCATGAAGATGGAATAGGGAAAAGCGGGAAGCGGTAGCGAGGGATAGTTTGAAAATACTCTCAGTTGTTTAAGCACTTTCCTATTTTATTCCTGAGACAGTGGTACAGATATTCTACCAACTTGTAGAAGTTGCGTCCCTAAACCAGCATTCACAATCTTTCAGACGCGCGTCAATTTACTGAGAAAGTAACAACTTCAGACAAGAGTGTCCAAGTCAATTCTATTTCAAACTGGAGATCGACCTTCTCCAAAACTCTTCTCATACAATGGAGGAAGGGATGTCCAAAATCAGACCAGAACTGGCCCACAAGCGATGTGTTTGTCTTGATGGGCCATTTTAGTGTGTTACTGATATCAACAGTCATTGGATATCTCTACGGAGACTCAAGCGCAGTATGGCGAATATATTTTTCCAGGAGACATTATTGCCAATTGCGTGATTGTGCTCTGGTTTTTGTTGGGAAACTCCGTGGGCAGTACTCCAGGGTCGGAATCCAAGTTGATTGGAGGAAAGACATTGGAGGGAGCCATGCCTTCAGTGATTAACTTTTGCTTCGAGATGTTCTTTCCTGTTCCCACTGCGCAATTGCTTTTGGCCAGTGTCGGTGAAAGAGGCCGTCCCCTTCCGTCTATTATCGTTGGGTGTATCTGGGTGCTTTTGTGGAATTACGGTGCAAACCACTGGCTGAATTTGGGCTTGGACTTCGCTGGCGGAGGCCCTGCTCGTCTTGCCTCTGGTGTTACAGTGCTTGTGTACTCTTGGTACCTTGGTCGTAGAGGAAAGAAAATGTGCAAAGACAGAATCACCAATGAAAGAGACAACTCGTCCTTTATTGGTGCCACGCTTGTTTGTGCAGCATGGCTCATGTTTAATGCCAGCACTTTGGCTTTCAATGGCAGAACATGTTACATTATGCTCAACACAATCCTTGCTTTCTTCGCCCACTCGGCTATTGACAAATTACTTACGGGAAAATTCTCACTTCAGTCTGCTTGTGAAGGATTTGTTACTGGTTTGCTTGATATCACTCCATCCTGTGGTTGCTACTGGCCATGGGTAGCCGTTATCACCTCCATTTTCACTACTACCATCTGTCGCTCTGTTGCGAGATTCGGAATCGATAATCACAGTCTTTCTTTTTTTCTTCACGGACTAGGTGGAATTATTGTTGACAGTTTGGTTGGTGCTCTGAATGGAGATATCGCAGACTGGACCAATGAACAACGCAAGCAGTTAGTGTACCAGATTGGCGCATGGAATTCCCTTCTTGCTTGGACTGGAGTTGTTAGCTTGATTACTTTGTTCATAGTGGACAATATTCCGGGCTTGCAGTTGGAAGCAAGTACGAAAAATGAAGAAAAGGTGTAAATATTACAATTAACAAGAAATTGAGGATCATTCAGGTACAATGATGTAGAAACTATCTTTTATGACATGTCTCAGTATTCGCATTTCTTAGAAGAGGCAGGAATGTGAACAAATTGTAAATGGCTACAATGCAAACTGACTATGGACAAAAAAAGTCATTTAGAAACAAAATTGGAAGTTTCCATACTATAATGGTTTACAGATATGAAGCAAGTCACATTTATTTCTAACAATAGGCTATTTGATCTCAACCGTGTATTGAGTTTCTATGCCAATCGCACTAAAATCACTCTCCGAAGCGTCTTTTTAAGCCAACCCGCATGAAATCAAAATGCCACAATGCGTACAAGCAAAAGCCGATGCGATTCCAAGGGTGCAGTAAACGCAAAATGAAAGGATAAGGAATCGAACTGATGAGGAACATAATACAGTAGAAAAGGATATCCATGATGATAGAGAAAGATATTGAATTATCGAAAACAAGGAAATTGTCTTTATTTATCGAAGCAAGTGGTGGCGACTGACGTGGTCAATTGGAGTGTATGAAGGCGCATATGCGTATTGATGGATAATTCGTAAATAGTGGTGCAGTAGCCCTCCAATAGATCAAGTTGGCAAGGAAATGACTCCTAGTCCATTGAAATCAATCCATGTGGCTGGCTCAAATAACCTACTTTTCCCATGACCATCACCTTACATCGCACCACGAAGATTTGGGATACAAGCGTGTGTACACAATCTGAAAGCCAAATAAGAAGATCATTGAGACCATACAGTCTGTTTACAACTATTGCCCACACGTAGACGTTAAGATATCTCGGAAATTAAAGGAAGAGAGCGATTGGAAGATACAGCAAACAATTCTTAACGTGGGACGTGAAACACACCTGCACAACCTTCGTATTTTAACCTTAGATGCAGATAACAATCTACAAAGACATTCATTTCTGATTTATAGCACTAAAGAAGGTCATTTGCCTTCACATTGGATTGTGTAGCTCTTTAAATAGTTGCTGCACATATTCCTAAATCCAACTAGTATATAGATAAGACGGAAAAGAACATAAGTCCTGCACCGTCAATGTTCATGCAAACACGAGTGAAAAATAATGTAGATCGATAATATTTCAGCGCCGCACACGAGTGGCGAATAAGTGCATGGTAAATACTCTCAGTGGCAAAATATGTCTGTGAAGTCAGCCAATTGCAAGGTATATTAAGACAGTGATTCTGCACTGTTCGTTTTAGCCAACAACTAAAATGTCCGACCACGAAGGTATGCATACTGTTTACTAATCTTTGATACATACTAATAAGCAGAAGATTACAATACAAGATGCGATAGCGACTGTGATAGCATCAATAGCGACTGTGATAGGCTACGATAGCTACGACATGTACGATATATACAGTGAGCACACTTCTAGGTGGCCCTGGGAAGAGTGTGTATTGTCCATTCGTCTTGGATGAATACATTTCATAATAGGGTGGGTTATGATAGCTGAAACACGGAAACGCATGAAACGCATTTGGAAAGAGGTTGATATCAAAAATCTACCCGAAGGATCAGAGTGTACATTCTGCAAAAGAGCGTTTACTGATAAAAGACAATCAGGGTGGTGCTTAAACGGAGTGAGTCAGAATGCAAAAAGGATAGTCACGTATTTGTTCATTGGGATTGCTGCGAATGTGAGTGGAATGAAAGCGTTGTAGAGTATGAAGAGGGCCACTATTTTCGATGATCTGGAAGAGTTCAAGAATCTTAAGGGAGGTACTGATGTTCTTTAGGGAGGTACTGATGTTCTTTAGGGAGGTACTGATGTTCTTTAGGGAGGTACTGATGTTCTTTAGGGAGGTACTGATGTTCTTTAGGGAGGTACTGATGTTCTTTAGGGAGGTACTGATGTTCTTTAGGGAGGTACTGATGTTCTTTAGGGAGGTACTGATGTTCTTTAGGGAGGTACTGATGTTCTTTAGGGAGGTACTGATGTTCTTTAGGGAGGTACTGATGTTCTTTAGGGAGGTACTGATGTTCTTTAGGGAGGTACTGATGTTCTTTAGGGAGGTACTGATGTTCTTTAGGGAGGTACTGATGTTCTTTAGGGAGGTACTGATGTTCTTTAGGGAGGTACTGATGTTCTTTAGGGAGTGTACTGATGTTCTTTAGGGAGGTACTGATGTTCTTTAGGGAGGTACTGATGTTCTTTAGGGAAGTACTGATGTTCTTTTAGGGAGGTACTGATGTTCTT